TAACACCATCAATGCTCCCGTGATTATTAGCACCACTGGCCATGATGGACCGTTTGGGGCCTTCTGTGCTAAGCGCCTTGTTTCTATGTCCGCGGTCGAGAAACTAGGCGGCATGCGGGGCTTGGACATGAATTCGGCCGAAGAGGCCATTGTCAAAAATACCCGTGAAGTCACCAAAGGTTTGATTATTGGTGGAATGGAACTTAGTGAGATTGATGGCTGGCACCGTATGGGTCCTATCTTTTCTGCGATGATGCTAAGCGGGGTCAAGGCTGCCGAAGTTGCATTGGAGGTTTTCGATCAGCGCAAGAAGGAATGTGCTGTGTAGATTTCCTGCCTACGTACGGAGCCCTGGGGTCTGTCTACTAAGGTTGTGAGTGCAACGCTGGTTGACTGTCATTAATTACTTTACTTTGTAGCTCAATACATAATATATTAGTCACAATGGCTTTGTTATAGTCTTAATACTCAGAAGCCTCCTTTTATCCTATGACATCCCGCAATATACAATACCACGAGATTGGAAACTATCAATGTACATGTCATATCTGTAAGCTTGGAGTAAACCGGCAAAAAATACGGAGTAGAAGCTGTCATGCTTAATTAAACGAAATAGAGTTTAGTGGATCTTGAGTAGCAACCGGGTAATAATAATAAACGCGTCATCCTTTGTTCCCTGTTGTTTATACACCCTAATACTCCGTATTATTTTTCATGTGCTAATGAGTATTGACAGTGATGCACCCACAGGCTTTGATTATATCCGCCTGCCCAATCACCTGCTCTCACAGGTCATTTGCATTGATTTCAGTTTATGAATTTTCCCCCAGGCCATGGTAGTTTTTTATTCGGATTTAAATTACTCTGTAGGCCAGGCTGCTTTTATGGGGTATATATACTCCATGTTTCCGGGATGGACTCCGGATTAGCTTCATTTGAAAAAGTCGGTGTTAAGGCTGTTGTTCTGCAAATCAGCCTCCATGGTGGTGCTACAAAGTTATCTAGCACTGGTGCTAGGGTTGTTGATACCACGCTCCCTTGCATTCTCTCGTGAAACCGCCTCTCAGGTCAAGGGCGCATATATTGTCGAATTTAAAGATAATATCAAAATCGTAGCTTGCCCGATTTAACGTACCCCTGAGAGTATCTGCTGACTGGTATAGACTGCCGACGACTTCATCGCAGAAGTTAAGTCGAAAGAAAAACTTTCGTTGACCCGACGTTTTGAATATACGTCGTCTATTTACAGAGGGCTTTCTTTCGTCCTTGACGACAAAAAAAATGTCGAGGCCGCCGTTGCAAAGATCTCTGCCATGCCAGCTGTGAAAAACATATTTCCTATTCACGCTGATACAGTAACGGCACCACCAAATCTGGAACCAAGACGCTTTGTACCTCACGGCCGCTCTAAACGTAGCTCTGAGGCCAGCCCTGAACAGTATGTTGAGGAGCCCTGGCATAAGATTACAGGTGTGGACCGCCTTCGGAAGCTAGGGTACACTGGGAAGGGCATAACAGTCGCTGTTCTGGACGGTGGCGTCGATTATAAACACCCTGCTCTTGGTGGGTGTTTTGGAAAGGGCTGTCTTATCTCCTTTGGACGCGACTACATTTATAACCAAACCACTCCCCTTGAATCAACTGGTTATCATGGTATGTAAGGTCAACTTTACTTCTTCCAGCGATAGCTGACACAGTTTACTTCAGGAACCCATGTCACGGGAATTATCGCTGCTCAGAAAAACCCTTTTAATTTCACTGGAATTGCCCCTGGCGTGACCTTGGGCCATTACCGCATTCTTACAGAGCGTCCAGAGCCACCGCATTTCCTGGGAGACGTCGTTGTTCATGCATTACTGGACGCATTTGAACATGGGGTGAATATTATTACAGCTTCAATTGGCGCCGTCTCGGGTTGGAGCTACGGTATGTCCATATATTCACGCATGGATACATACATACGATTCCTGTCATTTTTACTTTTGGCTTGTCGAGTAATTGATCATGGCTGACTTGACTACTAGGGCCCGTCGCACTCCTTGTGGAGAGATTAACGGAAAAAGGTGTCGTATGTCTCTTCGCAGCCGGGAATAACGGTGTTAATGGTGCCTACCTCACAAACCATAATCTGGGTGGGCTTGACAGCATTGGAGTTGGCTCTGTCCATAATACTGAAATACCAGCTCTTCTTGCTACCGGATTTTATACTACCTCAGATGGCAAAAAGGGGGAGTTTGGCTGGAACAGAAGAGCCGACTTCCGCAATGGAACGTATGGTCTCACGATGATCGGCCCTGATGCCTGCAATCCTCTACCATCCAACATCAGCCTTTCTGGTAAGACCGTATTGATTGCGAGGAGCAAATGCAACATTCAAGAACAAATCATCAACCTTTCAGCCCGGAAAGCGGAAAACGTTATCGTATACAATAACGATGATAACGTCGAAATCACTGTCCGTGATCTTGAAGATAGCGGTAATGATATTTCTCGGCCAGCCAACAGTACCATTCATGGCATTGCATTTCTGCCCAAATCTTTCGGCGATGCTCTGAAGTCCGTCTTAGCAACTGGGCCTGTGAATATCACTATGACAAGCTGGTCTTCATCGCCTCCACTGTTTCATGTTCAGAGGCACCCCCCCTATCCAAGGGCAGTCACATACTCTTCACAGTGGGGTCCGTCGAATTCTTTGCGCTTCCTTCCCACAGTCCTTGCACCTGGAGAATACATCTTTTCGACAGTTCCTCGCAAAATTGGTGGCTATAGGACCGATAGCGGTACTTCTATGGCTACCCCATATCTTGCTGGTATTGTTGCACTTCTTATGGAAGCACGGGGAACACTTTCTCCTGCCGCCATCAATTCACTGCTCAGTACTACTTCACACCAACTGCCTCATTTTGATGGGGACAATATCCAACCATATCTGAGCCCAGCAATAAAGCAAGGGTCGGGTCTCGTTGATGCCTACCGAGCCCTCAATACTATGACAATAATCAAGCCTTACAACATCCACTTCAATGATACAAAACACATGCCGAAATATGTTTCGCTTTCTATCTTAAATACTGGCACGTCTCCCATAACCTACAAGATTGGGCATGTGCCTACCCAGACAGTGTATTCACTAAATGATAATTCTTCCACCCCCCCAAACGTCCCCGACATTCAAATGGTGCCTGTTTTTGCGACGCTCACTTTTTCTCATTCCACCGTCACCGTCTCTCCAGGTCAAAATGTCACCATAAAGGTGAGCGCTAAACTTCCTGAAGGGTTGGAAAAATCCAGAATTCCTCTGTACAGTGGCTATGTGACGCTCAATAGCACAGAAGGGCCGCTTGTTGTTCCCTATCTTGGGGCTGCTGGGGTGATGCGAGATGCTCCTGTTCTCGATAGTACTCATCCCAAAAGAAATTATCTCCACACCGGCGCAACTGGACCCCCCGTCAAAGAGGGACAAGTTTTCTATCTCAGCCCCTCTAATACACCAGATGGCGACACAGACATTTGCCCTACATTTGCCTGGTGGATGTCCATGGGAACTCCTCTCTTCGATTTCAAAGTTGTGTTGGCAAGCAATCACACCGCGTCAGCAAATGATTCTACGAGTGGGGTAATCGGCTCCGTCGAGCACTTTCCACAAAGGTTTCAAGAAAGAAACTTTCTCGATACCCTCAGTAGTCATTTTAATGGTAGGCTAAACAATGGGAAGCGTGTGCCGGAAGGCCTTTACTTTTTGCGTGCTCGTGCGTTGAGAATCAACGGAGATGAGAAGGATGCAAACGATTGGGATATCATTGAGACTCCTAGATTCGAAATCCGGTATCGCCTACAGGGGAACAATACGTCCCCGGCCCGTTCTCCTTAGAGACCGCCGTTGCTCGTCCCATATCGGAAGATGCCTGGCGGAATCGCTGGTGGTGTCTGGTCATGATTTGATAGAAGGACCTTTCATGTTGAGTAACAGTGGACAAGTTCATGTAACTACATGCCACCTAAGGTCATGGTATTTTCTAAAATGAGTGGAAGAAGCCCAGAGGCGAATGAAAGTTGGGACAGAAAGGAGGGTAATTATAAAACTATATAGCTAGCAAAATGTACGACAGCTACCCTTTCTAGCCCAGGTCCTGTTCAATATCCAATCCCATTCCTAGCGCTAATTTTTTCGCATTTATAACCTCCCATTCAAATTCTTTCAAGGCCCTCAACTCACTACTTACAAACAGTCCACCAATCAAGCCATCAATAACCCCGGCTGTCAAGCTCAGTGTACTCAGTAGGCACAATATAAACGACACATATGCGCGCGCGGACCACCAAATTCCAACCAAACAACAAATCGCAACACAAAGGGAGGCGCAGAAGTGGCCCAGGCGCATCCGGCGTTGAAAACGCTCACGGAGTTTGTACGTATGTATCATTTTTAAAATTTCGTCGTACATGTCTGCAGTGGACGCCGCAGGCGTAACAGGTTTGGGGAGTTTTGCTGAGCTAGGGTTCAAAGTCGCCGACACTGAGGAGGTCTGGGGGTACGGCGCTTCCTGCTTTTGAATAGGAAGAAACGGTGCTCCTTCGTCTTGGGACGATGTTTCTGCCTCTGGAATATCGCGCGATATTACCGCCTCTACGGAAAAATGGTCACTTAGCGAACAACGAAGAGTTGGGTGGCGTTCCGTCATGCCCAGGCGGGTGGACTCAATGGTCCATTTCCAATGAGATAATGGAGTCGAAGAGAGTGTGGAAGGACAAGACGCAGAGCTTTGCGAATGGGCCCCTCCGTCTCCGACAAAAATATAATCCAATCTTTTCCCAAGGGGGTCAGGCAGCCTGCCATCTACTTCAATGTGATCGTCTTTCAGTAATCGCTTCTGTTTTGCTTTATCCCAACGCCACGTGTTGAATGGCCCATCGCATGTGGCGCCATTCTCGCTGAGGTTGTAATCTGCCGAGGGAATGGGTTTCCCGCGAGCCATCTCAACTTGATCGACGGCTGCACCTATCGATGAATCGGGATGCAGATATCTCCATACATCCTCAACCGGTGCATGTGTAGTAATGAGGCGGTGGGCAAGGGATAAAGGTAGCATGTTAAAATCTCCCAAGCCAATAACCAGATGTCCCTTCTCCGCCGCGGCTCGCATGAGCTTTGCAATCTCCCACGCCTGTGCCGTTCTATGACAAATGTACGAGTCGTGTGGCTCTCTTTCGTAGGGTGCGTGAAGATGGGTGCAAAAAACCGCAGCGATGTCCTTCGGTTCCGGTCCGATTCGTATCCTTGCGCAAGCAACTCCCTTACCAACAAACCAATCACCTCTGAAAAAGGCCGTGGGCCTGCCGTTCAGCGGATATGCGAACATACTGCTCTCCTCGATTGGCCATTTCGACAGAATCGCAAGTCCTCCTCCAAACACCCCACTAAAATAGAATTTCCCATAAGGAAGAATGTGTCTAGTTTCTTTGCGAATATTATTATAGTCTTCCTGCGTCCAACATTCCTGCAAACCAACAATTTCAGGGGGATAGTCGAGACTTGCCAGCCGTTTTCCAATTTCTAGAAGTCGTTCTCGGCGGTGTTTCGAGATAAATTTGAGGCCCCAGCAATTAAGTGACAGAATATTTATTCTCCGGGGTATATCATCGTCAGCGTAGGAAGAGAACATTCCTGCAACAGACAGAGAGAAGGCGGCGAGAATACCGGGCCGATAGGTGTGTGGCCGCTCACGAAACGCGCCGTGAAGCTGAAACAAGGTAAAGGGGGTATACTGCCCGTGTCCACCGCCCTGCACGGCGTACTGTGATTGGCCCGAGCTCTGCCACTGCATCTCATCGCGACAAGCCCTTGCGGCACGCGAGGAGACACCAACCCGGTTGCAAGAGGCGATCCGGCGGAGTTTGTTTCGCCTCTTGACCCGCGGGGAAGCCAGCATCGCTCGATACCATGGCCCAGGACGCACACCCCCCAAAGCGACGACGTCTCGACGAACGCGGGTGCCACTCCCAGGACTCCTCGTCGGACGAGCTGGGCGGGAACTCCGATGTCGAGCGGCGCAGAGCAAGCTGGCTGAAACAGGTGAAAACGACGTACCAATCACCCCGGCCTTTCAAAGCGACTCCCCGCGAAAAAATGCGCAGCGACTCCGAAAGCCCGGACGAATTGACTGTGGACCATCAGGCATACTGGCGCAGACAGAGTGGAGCTCATTCCGCAGTGCGGTCGACGTCCCAGAAAAGCAGCACGTCGGGGAGAGGCTTCTGGAAAGACATGGACGATGATGAAGACAAGGGCGACGCCGAGGGAGAGGGTGACGAGGAGGAGGAGAACGAGAGAAGAGCCAGCAGCGAGGACGAATCTGACAACGGAAAAGCCGAATCCCCCGTTCGCGTACGGACGCCTACTCCACCACCACCACCACCACCACCACCGCCAAAGCCGGAAAAGCTGAATTATAGGGAAAAATTGGTTCTGAGAGGTCATCAGCGGGGGGTTTCGGCTGTCCAGTTTTCTCCGGATGGGACAATGATTGCTAGCTGCTGTGAGAAAGCACCTTTTGCTTCGTTGCCCTATCATTGCGCTCTAATCACTCTCTAGCTGCGGACTCCACGATACGGGTTTGGAATTCCTCCACCGGCCGGTTAATACACATGTTTGAGGGCCACCTTGCTGGCGTTTCTACCTTGTCATGGAGCCCTGATGGAACATTCCTTGCCTCAGGCTCTGACGACAAATCAATCAGACTCTGGAATGTTTTAACAGTACGAATTTTTACCCTTTCCAATTCTCGCGGTTTTTGCATATATTTTAACTATTCTTTGCGTCATGACAGGGGAAACAACACCCAATGCCCTTCCTAGGTCACCACAACTATATCTACTCTATCGCATTCTCCCCCAAAGGCAACATGCTCGTCAGCGGCTCTTACGACGAAGCCGTCTTTCTCTGGGATGTCCGTTCCGCCCATGTAATGCAGTCTCTCCCAGCCCACTCAGATCCTGTCGCCGGCGTCGATTTCATTCGCGATGGCACATTAATCGTTTCCTGCGCCAGCGACGGCTTAATTCGAATATGGGACTCCGCGACGGGGCAATGTTTACGAACGCTTGTTCACGAAGACAACCCTCCTGTTACCAGCGTGAAATTCTCCCCGAATGGGAGGTTTGTGCTGGCGTGGAGCCTGGATGGGTGTGTCCGGCTTTGGAACTATGTTGAGGGCCGGTGCATAAAGACGTACCAAGGACATAAAAATGAACAATATAGCATATCTGGCGGCTTTGGCACGTATAATGCGCCGGGTGGACCGCTCAATGCTTTTGCATACAGCGGAAGTGAAGATGGTGCGGTCGTGTGCTGGGACGTTGTTAGTAAAAAAATTCTCCAAAGGCTTGAAGGGCATACAGACGTTGTATTAGGCGTCGATGCCTGTTCTTCCAATGGAAAGCGGCTCATCGTGAGCTGTGGAATGGACAAGACGATTCGTCTTTGGGAGGAGGAAGAAGAAGAGCAGGAGGGGAAGAAGGAGGAGGAGGTCCAGCAGGAAAAACAAGAGGTGCAGGAGCAAAAGCCCAATGAACATGACCCAGATCAAACCCAAGTGAATGGCATGTCGATATTAGAATGTGAGAATCAGCCTAAGAGCTCGAACACGCCACAGATCGATGCGGATGGTGACTCAAAAATGGGCTAACGAATATTGTCTTCTTTCCATTCGACCATCCACACTTTGACACTCTTGCTATAACTAATACTAACGAATTTTATGAGACGATCTTTGATGTTCGATATTTGGTTCATGTTTCCTGTTCACTTTAGGAGTACGTATATATGAATAAAAAGTGCTTTATAAGGAAGTACTTTTGGTGTATGGTATATTTTGCGGTCAATCAATACTATTTTCAATTTTTAGGACGAACATCTCATAACATAAGTCATATCTTGTTTGCTTCATTTAACATCATCAGGCCCAGAATGTATTTGCATTTAAAACATATCGCAAAAAAAAAGCAAGGTGTACACCGAAGTTCAGATTTCTATTTACATGCGGAGTACATGAAGCCTATAAGGCATATCAGAGTAACAAAAAATGTAAATGCCCCCAATCTATTCTCAAAATCGACTGAAAGGGCTAGAAAAAAAACTTTTTAGGCGGCGACGTAGGCTTTACCGACAGCGTTTAGTTGACCGCCAGAGACCATAGTGTCAGCCATGAAGTAGGAGTACCGGGCAACAGCCGGGTTAGCATCCAGCCAAGGCAGAGCCTCCTTGAGGAAGTTGATCTGGGCCTGGTCGTCACCGAGGCCTTGGAACTCGGTGAGCCAGACTTGGTCAATGCCATGGCTTTTGGCAAGGTCGATAGCCTTATTCATATGTTGTTTAAACCCTTCTATTTCAGTGGCGGGACTATACCAGTGCACGGCAAGGAAGTTAATTCCGCAGTTACTTCCACAGGTGTCAAGGAAAGATCTCATCCAGGTGAGGCCCATGTCTCCTCCTCCATTAGTAACGGCCGGAGACCCTAGGCTAACCTTGTTTGCAAGTGGGGTCAGGTATTTTTTGAATGCATCGACAGCAGATGGAGGAGACATATATGCTTGCTCGCCGTGATCTGGTTCGTTGAAGCCGAGAACAAACTTTCGACCGGAGGAGAGAACCTTGCGTGAGGTGGATTCCCAGCCGTTGAAGAATTTGGGGCCCCAGAGCATGGGCACGTAGTCAGAGCCTTCGTCGCCATCTGGAGAAGATCCCCAGTTGTAAGTCCAGGAGTCGGCGGCCGTGCCCTTGAAAGCAGCAACGGCTTTGGGATCATTGTAGCAAAGACCTCGCTTGCCAGACGAAGGAGAAGAAGACGAAGTGGAGCGAGGCTGCTGAGCAGGTGCAGCGAGAACGGCAGTAGCCAACAGGCCAAACACCATAGGAACGTTGAAAAACATGTTTGCGGGAGAGAGTGTGGCGTCTATTTGCTTTTGGAAATGGTATCTGCTAGGAAGCGATGAAAACTCAACCAGTATCAACCTGGGAGATAATGAATGACAGGCTTGGTAGAGGAGGACGGCTGTCAAGGAGTGAACAGCTGGAAAGGAGGGTGTTAAATGGCAGCCGAGATTATCGGAAGCCTTAAAAGGAGTGTAAGGGTGGGTGAGGCGAAAGAAAAGGCAGAAGCGTTGGAGAAGCAGTAGCTATAGGGCCAGGGGAAGGAGGGACGGCCCGTACTTATAGCTGGGAAGTAAGGAGTACGGAGTAGTACCACCCTTTTTAGACCTGAACAAAACAAAATTTCTGTGCCTGATAGCGCCTGCAACAGTGGGGAGTGGCTTCTTGGAAGCCAGCGAATCCAGAACAATAGACATGGCCCAGCCAGTGGGGAGAACATTCTCGCTGGGCGGTAACTTTATGTAAAACGAGGCCAGAAGAAATCGACCAGCCCCATACGAGAGAGCCACTCGGAAGCGGGTCGGAAGCGGCCAGTTTCTCAGCACAGATCACTGTCTGCCCCAGGGCTGAACGCCTTGGTCAATAATACCACGGAGCACTCGATCAAAGACAAGGGGTCACTAATCATGTTGCCGCCCAGTGGCATGCAATGCAAGATTCAAACTTCCCATTATTATAAAAGGAAACAAGGGAGTATCTCGCCTAGCTGTAAAACCCATGAAGGTCGCTGGGCGCTTGCAGACTGAGTGTGTTTCCCAATACTCATCCGTGGTTGGCTTCGTGAACGTTATTACGGAGGGCTCGGGATCAAGGGGTTTGCAGCTATGGGGGCCACTTGGCAGCCACCGGTCGGCTTCCAAATAATTGTGCAAGCGATAATTGGCACACAGATATTCCTCGTTTCACATTTAGTTTAACTTTTGTGCCTGAAGCCAAAAGAAAAGAAAAGACGAAAAAAAAACTGCCTCGCCGCAAACTCTGGCCGTTCCTCGGCGCGAAGGGCTTTCATCGCAGCGATTGGGCAAACGGAACGTTTTGGGGCGCCACTGAAGGACCGTGGAAAGGTATCGGGGTGCCACGGCATCTGGCATGCTGTCAGAAAAACACAAGGGTTTTAGCGAGATCGTGAAACCCGCCGATCAAGCATGCTGCTGCCCCGCCAACACCGGGGTTCACGTCCTGTCTTGCCTGTTGTTTCTGGTAGAGTGTTTCTTGTAGAGTGTTTATGCTGGAGAGCGGGTGGCGCACAGACGACGATGCTCGGCTGGCCGTGCGGTGGGGATCGCTCGATCGAGACTTTAGGGCTGCGCTAACCCGATGCGTCCGGCTTCCATCACGCCGAGGAGTCACGGCCGGTCCATTTTGCGCGTAATAGGAGTACAGTTGGGCAGCCGTTCAACGAGTGCGAGGTCCACAGGCGGGCTTCCTGCTAACAGCGACTGGTGGAACAGCGCAGGAGTCGGGAACAACGGGGCATTCCTAGACAGCTCCCTCTTGATGACTTTCTGGGCAATCTAAGCACCTTGACAGGGAGTTGGCCGAGTGGTTATGGCGCTAGGTTTAGGCTTATGTAATCTCCTGGTTGCGTCGCCAGATCCCTAGTTTCGAAAGATTCGCGTGTTCGAATCACGCACTCCCTATCATCAATTTTTTTTACCCTCAGCATTGACATACTGTAGACACATACACCCAGCATGTGGTGGAACCAATTGCCAAAGCAGCGAGGATAACGTATGAGCTTGATACAACGGACTCCCGATTCTCGTAAGAGGCATTCTATGTAGTCCAGTTCGGCGAGCCGTGGAATTCATGCCATCAAGCCTTATCCGCCGTCTTCTTCCTCCCTTGCAACACGCTCATCACATCGCTGGCGCTATCCTTATTACCTTTCCTCTTTTTTGGGCCACGCTTCCTCTTATTCCCCGTACCGCGCTCATCCCAGAGCTCTTCATCCTCGTCATCATCCCCAAACCTACTCTCTCCAAATCCAAGATCAAGGTCCATCGCGTCCTCCTGATCGCGCTGCCTAATCTTTTCTAGAAATTTCCTACGCCGTAGCAATGCTTCTCCGTCCACTTCTCCGTCATCTTGCTCGTCAGAAGGCTCGGTAGTTTGTTGGCCAATTTTCGCTGCGTGCTTTAACGCTGCCAGAATGGTGGGATCGGAAGACAATCCATTGGGAGGGTTGCTTTTAACCGTCTCGCTAGTTGTGCCTGTATCAAAATAGTTTCGAGGACCAGATGCTTGCGTTATGTTACTCGAAGTCGTTTGATCTGTTATTTCTCGCTCAGGAATATTCTGCGAGGTTTTTGCTAATTCTGTTTCACTGTCTGATGATGAATCGTCATCCTCAATTTCTGCTAGAGGGTTGTAGTCAGCCCCAACGCCCTCAAATATGTCATCCTCTTCTTCTGGCTCTGAGATAGCATTGGCACGCATCAGGACCTCGGCGGGAACTTCCATTCCCAGAGGCTGTGCATCTTTATCTACTGTCAGGAGGTGGTCCTTTTTATCATCGTCTTTGTCTAACCAACGAACTTTTCTCTTCGATTTTCCTTGTGAGTCGGTCACGACTAGTACTTCCCTTCGTCGGCCGCGACCATCGGTTTCAACCCATCGTTTTCTCTGATCACTCGCACCTATTTTCTTAAATCTATCTCCGAGAATCGACATTGGTGGATTTTGAGGTAGTGATATCGAAGTCCCAGCAGCCCGACTAGCTTTCAATTGCTTTAGAATTTCATCTCTTGACAGCCTCCCAGGCGGGGGTGCCATGTTTCCTTTCTTCACTCTTTCCTGCTTCTCCACCATCGCTACCGCTTCCTTCTCTCTCTCTTCCATAATTCGCTCGAATTCGTCACCGATATCTCCTTCACCCTCGGGGTGTTCGTCTGGCCCAGTGTCTGAACGAGGGGCAACATCTTCGCCTGCTTTTACTTTTTGCAATAGTTTCCAGTCCAGGCCCTTAACAAGATGGGTGCTTTCAACATCTCCTCCTATTCCGATTTCGTTTTTAAGCTTCTCAAACGTAGCTGTATCAATTTGGCCGAGTTTAACCATTTCCTCCAGAGCCTCAACTCTCTTTCCGCGAGAATCTTTCCCGGTCTCCGTATCCACCTCCTCCTCATTTTGTCGCAGCAACGTGCGATCCGTATACTTTCCCGAGAATTTTGTGCCCTTAGGTGCGGAGGATTTGAATTTTTTGGCTGGCGGTTGATTTTCTTGCCGATATTCGGCAAGTTGCCGCGCAAAGTTTACACCTGTAACGGAGCGGCTGCGCATTCTTAACTCAGGGGTGTACATGTGGGCAGTGCGAAATCTATACGTACGGTGTCATGGGAATACTTGAATGCATTCTTGAGCCCAATGCCCTAGCTTTGGGGTCGCCGTCGGCGGAGGTTTCATTGTTTTGGAGAGGCTTGGAGGATGTTTTTTTTGAAGAAGGCGGTGCATCGAAGAGCAACCGTCGAAACTGTTCATTATTCATGGTGGTAAGTTTGACCGGCACACGTACAGCGATTTACCATGGAGGGTGCTTTCAATATTGTATAGCATCATCAACCTTCTTTGGCGGGATTAATATATTTTCCGGAGTTTAGTTTTAGTCAAGTAGTTAGTTATACTAATGTTATATAACTAATCAATCTCAATGTTTCAGTAGAGGAAAAGCCCACTTGTTCCAATAACTCGTTCGCTTTATCAAAAGGTATACAGTATATTCTGTCGAATGAATTTATTTGTCGAGCAACTATGTATTCAGTAGGTTATCAATAATCCTCCTGCAAAACACCCCCATGCTTCTGTAGAAATACTAAATAATTGATACCCATTGTTTAACTAAATGCATCATAAGAGAAAACAGTTTTACCAGTGAATCCTGTAATGGACGCCTCCGAATTCAAATTTCATTGGGTCTCCCACCCACCATTGTTGATTTCAGACTCCAGTTTTCGGCTCACTGTAGCAGGTATAGAGTTTGTGAGCCAAGCTTCACGCACAAGTCGATCGTACCGCTTTTGATTAAGGAGTAGAGGTCTATGATGCCTGAAGCCAAGGTCTACTTCCCCGTGAATATCAAGGTAGGGTGCATAATGCCAGCAACCGTGCTGGTTATGCAGGAATAACAAGGCACATTTGCGAATATTGATGAAAATACCAACATTCTTACCACATCTAAAAGCGATCATGTCAGTAGAAATTAATATGAGGAGAAAACCGGTAACGACTTACTTTTTGACGTGCCTGTTACATCCACCCAACCTCGACGAGTCTTCACAGCAAACGGCCTGGGAGCAGAAAATCTCCCCGCAGAAAAGGCAAATACTTGGGTCAGTCAGTTCCTTTCCGGTCGTTGGGCAGCGTTTTGAGTTGGCTTCTTCGAATAACGTATCGAAATACTTCGGTAGCCCTACAAGCTCGAATATGCCTGGGTGTGGAAGTGATGGAGTCCATGGATAGCCAACTTCGGGTTTGGGGTCTAATCTAGCCACATTCCAATGAGCAATCCACCCGCACGCTAATGGGTCCATTGGATTCATGTTGTGGTCTCCTGCAAAAGACTCGAATATCTGGTCGATAGAGGGCAGTCGTAAAAGGCTTGTTAAACGGTCTATCTCAGGTAAATCTGCAAGATCAAGTCCTGTTTTCGGAAATTCGACTCCATACTGTACATGAAGCAATATCACAACTTTTCGAAGGAAAGGAAGTGCGTATCTAGCTGTGAGTAGTTTTAATGCTTTTGGAATGTTATTGGGAATGTTACTCATATTGAGGGGGCTCTTCGCGCTATTGAGAATAGGGTCATCTCGCGGGGCAGAAGCCCGATAGGTTGCCACAATCCAATCAATAAAACCGCGAGAAGAGTCAATTTGCCCAGTTGCATCCTCCTGTTCGCTCATCCCGTCCTTGTGAAATGCTAGGTTACTTATCAACCCTTCAGGATGGATGATGAAACTGAGCGCTGTCTTGACAATTTCGGCGACGTAGCAAATATGAATCATGTGAAGAATATCGATGTTTAGCACTCGTACTAAACATAGTGAGCATTCAGCAAGGAAGATAAAGGTATCCGTCGAAAATAGCGGTTCAATAGATTTGTTTTCACTGGCAAGGCTTGCAAGTCCTGTGATCCCCCGGTGGCCTAAGAAAAGCTGACATAACTTCCTGCGATGCATATCGCGGAATTCATAAACGGTCTTGTTTCCCAGGTTAATGTTGAGGCCGCCTATAGCGGCATATGATAGTGCCGTCTCCGAGAGGATACGTAAATGTGTTAAAGTAATCTGAGGGATAGTACTGAGTAGTGTTGCTCCCAATTCGCACCCCACACCCCTCTGGGAAATCTCCACGCCGGAGATGGACGATCCAAATGTTTTTATTAGACTATCCGTGTGGATTAAATCGTCTGCTACAATTGTACTTTGCTGATACCCAAAGCGGGATGGGATCTTATTCACACGGAAGGTTTCTCGTAGCCTCCTATAAATAGTGACAAGGTCGGATACAGGAGATTCAGTTTGCGCTAAGACATGATATAATGGGCTAGGAATTGGGTCGTCTCCTGAAGGATATAAACCGGGCATTAGCATTCTCGGAGGTGGTGGAAGAACCGACGGTGGAAAGGACGGTGTGATGAGCTGTTCAACTTTACTCGCTAATGGGGCTATAACATTTTTCTCGACATAATCAACAAAGAGATGTTGGTACCCAGACGGGTGAAGCTTATCACTATCCATGATAAGCGCGTGGTGTCGAAATCGAGAAATAGATTGGACAAGCTGGCCATCGAGGAAGTCCCCGATGGGTTGGCCTGTAACCAAAACACTTGGATAACATTCTTCTTTACCCTTCCAAATTATGGGCAGAAACGCATTGCCTAATGCCTTGCAGAGAGGGCAAACAAACTCATTCAATGATATTCGTTCGGGGTGATTTCGAGCAACCTGATGGCTATGACGCCTATGAGTCGCACCCCAGTAGGTCTCAAAACAAGAATAATGCATTATGTGCCCGCAGCCTGTCATTATGGGAGCTGCAGCAACGTTATTTGGAGAGAAGCCACGGCCAAGGCCCTGCTTTTCAGATATAACAACTCCCCCAGTTGAGTCCAATCGGCGTACTTTTTCACGATTTTCACTTGCTACACCGAATGGCCGAATAGTATCTGCTGATCTGTCTAAACTTAAAGGACAATTTATGGCCTCTCTCACATAACTCAGGTCGGCCAAGTCGGTTTGTCTAAACAGTGCACTTTCCGTCAAAAGGGCAAATGTTCCATACAGTCTGGAGTCGTTGGTTTCCTCCTGACACAAAATACAATTTCCTGTGGGGTATCTCCATAACTTTGCCTCCGTGGAGTTGGGTATCGACGGTTTTTCATCCGCGCTAAGGTCTTCTTCGCCCCAATCAATATTACTTTGACTGTTCATAAAATTCTGCTGTTGCTGCTGAAACTGAGCCATTATCTTTGCTTGCCGGTCTAGTGCGCGTTTTTTCTTCAACTCCAACTCACTCTCCGCGCCAGGAGCAGGCGAAGGGGATTGGATTTTGTCATATGGAAACTTCAGTCCCTCTGTTGCAGTGGCATAGGTCTTTGGCCGTTTTTGCCAGAGTCGTTTCAAAATATGGCATATTTTTGATCCACAAGACTCGAACTCGGCCACCGTAGAAATGTGTTGAAGTAAGCTAACAGTAGTCAAATCACCAAGCAGTGTATTTCTCTTTCGGCAAAGGGAATGGAAAACAAATGATTGGGAGACGGCGTCTGTTGACCCATTCTCTTCCTTAGATGAGTCCTCCATCACTGCAAGGAGGAATAGATGTAAGACCATATGAAGTAGGGTCTCTACCCTCGTCACTGTGACACCAGGTGTGCATATTTTGAACATTAGACAATATTCAAGGCAATGATTTATAATCTGAGCAAACAAAGGTGTTTGCGAGAAATCGCTTAGTTTTGAGAAAAGGCCGCTTGACAGAGGTTTTAATTTTGGCTCGAAGACGATGCTCGCCGCATTTTTACCAGTTTTCTTCGCCATCCACTCCTTAAAAATATTTTCCGCCTCATCCCTTTGGCTCTTGCTGTAATGTGCAGCATAAGGGTCAATATAATCAATGTACTCTGGTTTTAGTTCAAAGATTCCAGAGTCATTCAGCCCATCTGGCGGTCTAAAATTTGCCACTTCACCAAGTACATCCTGAAAATCTTCAGCATCTGATACTTTCTCACTCACCCGATTTAATAATTCAGAATAAGAGAGAGCTTTGAAGCAAAGTGCATGTGCAATATCCCTTCTGAATATATCACGTTGTAACACTAGCTCATTTTCAAGTGGTAATAGTGCTGTGCGCTCAGTGATTAACATTATTAAAAGATGGATAAATTCTTCCGCAACATCGATGTGTTGGGCATCATCGTAGTTTGGACGAGTTGTATAAGCTCCTTTCATCCAATCTGACATTCCGTATCTATCAGATATCGTAGCTAAAAACCGACTTGGGTCACAAATTACCATCGCGGCTTGGATCATAAAAATGTTTCGATAGTATGACACGTCACGCGATAGAACAGAGCGGTATTGGCCCATTTGATGACGAAGGCTGAGTCCGTTTCGAACCCACATGCCAGCCTTCAGTTGAGCAAGCCACGCACAAACCCGTAATGGATAATCAAACATTGCAAGTAGGATATCGTCATTGTCAAAATGTTGGGCGGGTGTGTTGATGAACTTCTTTTTCGAGAGTTCAGCGGCTTTCAACAATAGTTCTCTGACCATTTCCGCAGAAAGTACCCTGCCGCACTCCAAAAGCCATGAGAGTGTGTAGTGGAGGGGATGATGGAAGCTCATTGAGCCCTGTTCAACAACGAAATCAACAATCCGGTGACGCGCAACATTCTCAAAGGCATCGATTTCGAATGTAGTATATGATACAGATTTGAACCGTGTAAGCTCCTTAACTTCAGCTTGATCAAATCGTTTCCTTTCAATGCCGATGGAGTTGGCCATTGTGGAGACACTTGCTGCTACAATGGCCTCCGCGAGATGTATTTGGCCCTCTTGAAGCTTCTCGGGCTGGAACGCTTCACAGAATAAGCGACAGAGACGGTTTATTTCTCTCATTAAAAGGGATGCGCTAATCCAGGAATCCGTTTCGTATTCCACATGTTCTCCAACAGCTCGTTCATTTGGGCAGATACCCTGAGGAAGTTTAATGAGGTCGAGGAATTGTAAAAGGTACTGCCGCTCAACACGAATGCGGCGCTGCACCTGCTCCGAGGATAGGAGATAACGCAAATCAAAGAAGAAATGATACAGTCGACGATTGGTAATAGAGGCAGAATCCATTGCAAGTGTGACGGATGGGTTCACATCTCGGGCTTCTCCAACTTGTCGTGTAGTAAGAAATGTGTATAGAATAGCCATGATGTTGGTGAGAAAATTTCCTCGCTCGATCACTTCTTCCGTTATGGACGGGGTTGTCACAAGCTGCAACGAGAGATTGATAATAGAATGGTCGGGTTCTCGATCTGCGATCAGGTAAAGTTGTGCGAGCGCCGTGTATAAGACTGAAAAGCGAAGCCCAAGAATTCGCTTGAACTCCGGAACATTGATAACGGTGCCCAAACAAAGATTCCTGGCATCTATCCGTATCTTCTTCCACAGTCGTAGATCATATAATATCAACCAGTCAAGCCTGGTGCGCCGCTTGAGATCCTCATATGGACCCACGTTATGGTCATGATAACCAGAGGGTTTTATCTCCCAATATGGTATTGGCTTAGGTAACTTTTTGGCTCGGGAGCCCGGCGTCTTGGGGATTTTGATGGTATTTGAGGCACATGCATCTTGACTCTCCCCATGTGGCCGACTCCTTAACTCCCTATGTTCTGCTGGCGCTTCCGTATCTTCGGCAGCTTGTGGGGTGTTTTCAGCAGACCAGAATCCATAGGTACCGTTGTTAATTAAGGCTGTGGCTATTTCAGAAGCGACGCGTTCTTCCTCTCGCGTTTGGGGTGGAGGTAGAGGAGGAGGTGGATAACTGGCAAATGTTTCTTCTCCTGTTTCGAGATCATCTTCCGTGTTCATGTCAATGTCAGAATCTTCCCGTATTGCCCTGGCATCGGCAGCAATAAGCATTGAAATATCATTCATATCTTCATCTTCACCCTCACCCTCCTCGTCAGCTTCAATTTCTTCTTCGTCATATTCATCCACGTCTTCGTCATTCCCTCCTTCATTTGGATCATCGTCCGTGGTTTCTACCACATCAAATTCTGCTGTAGTAATAATCTGAGTTTGTGTTGGTGTGATACCAATAACCGCATGATATGTTTTCCGTTCTTCGCGCGAATGATCATCAATACCCTGCATTCCGATATTAAGATTGGAGGCCCGGCTACCTGCTCTCCAGGGGCTGAGCATTTGTTCACAGATGGTTTGCCTGAGAATATGGCTATCGTTCTCAATATAACATCCAGAAATATCGGAGAACCATTCGATAATCGCTCCACACATCTGCTCTCGATATGTATCTCTAGAGGACCTAACGGTAACCGTAATCCTAATCTGCTCGATAACACTTGAAACTCGTAGTAGACTCGTGAGGTCCTTAGTATATTTCACCACGCTTCTTCCAAAATCATTCGTTTCCATAGCTTTATCCTGGCCAAATTGAGAGCTCTCCCTACAAGCCCGGGCGACTTGTTGTTTAACTTCGGAGATAGTGTGTTTCTCATCGTTCCAAAGAACAAGTGCGAATTCGGGCTCCTCTTCTTCAGGGTCCGCCCCACCATACCATCCTGCAGATAACCGTGATGTTGTCTCATCTTGTCTAATATTTTCCTCGGTTTTCGGGAGCCTGAGCTGTTCGGGTGAGCAGGAGATAACATCGCAGAAGTAATCAAACGCTCGGGCAATTGTGGTCTGTATGCTGTCTAAGAGGTCGCTAGGAAGTTGTGACGATGCCTTGCCTTTTGTTGAATTACCATCTAGATCTGTGTGGATTGCACAATTAACGGGCAACCGAAACGCTTCCTCATCTCCGCAATCGCAACAACCAGAATGCCCGCCGGAGACAGTAATATTGTACTTATGACCAGTATGATCCGAGGCATTAAAGCATCGGGAGCATAGCGCACACGTCTCATCAGTAGAGCACGTTACACAACGGAAGAGCGCTTCTCCTGCCTTGAATAAATGTCCGCACCGCTTCCCGCGCGCAGCATCGGTATATTCAGCACCTTCCTTTGCACCTTGAGCTTCGGATAGGCTCCAAAACCCCCGTGGACAACCTCCTGGAAATAGGAGGCGCAAGTATTCATCGTTGAAACCGGTTAAGGAACGGAAAAGGAGCTGGAGGAGATCGCGCTTTGCAGTTGTGTCGAAGCGGAGCCCGTAACGGGTCGGATGGGAGAGTAACGCTCGGCCCAATGTTAGCTCAAGTTGTGGCGGCTTCATGTTTGCTCAGGCATCTGGCAAAATATCATTAAGATGGGCAATGAGCCCATAAGACGAACGTGACTAGAGGAGTGGCGGGGTTGAAGGTTGGCAGATGTAAGAGACAAAATAAATGCTGGTGCCTTGCCACGCAAAGGGGGATAGCTGCCAGATTCAAAACCAGGGCAAGGAATAGGGCACTAGACTTCTGCTTCAGTAGGACTTGGAAGTTGTTACATATGTTGAGGTTCTCTAAGTGAAGAGCAATTGTTGACTCGTTATGTAACAACCGACTTGAGCTCTGTTGATAATTTGCAACTATGATGTATGCAATGTCCAATGATATTAGCTTCGTCCACAGAGCACTAACTATGTAACTAATCATCACTCGCCACAGTCAGGCGCATGGACTCCAACTGAAGTTTATTGCAGTCAAAAACAAGTGAATTACAATCGGAGATGGGTAGCTATCGAGCAGTCAAAAGACTATCCCAGGCTGCGGCTGCCCTTCACTCAACGACTTAGATTACGAAATAGGAGTGTATCGCAGGGTAATGGCACCCCTGGGTCGGCCGCAATATAGGAACATATAAATGCCTTCTTACTATAAAGAAGAGATACCTGTATTCAGCGGCTCTAATTCATATCTATACAAAGAGCGTTTATTCATAACACTGGAAATGACGTTGAACTTGTAGTATTAGGACATCCGCTTATTCTTCCTCCTCCTGGCTAAGGTATCTGGACTTGATGTCCTTCCATTGTCGCTGTTCTGGAGTTAGCTGGGAATCGGGTGAGAGCGAAAGTATAGGGAAATACCCCTCTGTTAAGAGTATCCCAAACACTATTGCTGACTGTATCAAAGGCACTGGAGGGCAGGCTGTTAGATATCCGAATTACGGCTAAATTGCGACTTAACCCGAGGATATACGTACATCTCGAACGCGAAGGCGCCGACGAATATCGTGCTCAAAAAAACGGCATTACGTCGAATAAGGGTGCTAAGATGGGTGTAAGATCACTTGCAGTTCGGATATCGGCGTGCAAAGTTGCACAGTCCCTTACTTGTAGATTGAGGAAGAAATCTATGCCCAAAGGTGAGGTTAGCTTATCTGAAACAAGGCACTGGGCAAGCAACTTACTCCGGCCATTGCGAGCAAGAATTGCAGGGCAAGAGCAGGGCTGTTAGAGAGAGAACGTGCAAAGGAATGGTGCTGAAAGTCTGAGCTTTGTTTTGCTCTTCCGTGAAGTCTTCGGAGACAAAAGTTGATGGCCACTTTCGGGAATTCAGAGCGCTCTGATTGGTCAGCGACCGCCCTTGTTATTTGACACTCACAACAGCGGTTTGTCTAAGGATGCCGCTGGCTCTCTTAGCCATCTCTCTCGACCAGGCTGCTTTCTGCCTCTGCTGCGCCTGAACACATCAACAAAGATCGCTTTCGTTGGCCCATGTATGCTCATCCGTACAGGCGGCAGTAGCACTCAAAACCATCACTGCAACCCACAATGCCATCCAGCAACAGCACTACATCTTCTGGCATAATCACTAATGCCACTACCGGCGAGCGGCATGTCCCTGCTTCTGTTCGAGCTGATGGGTCTGTCCGACGTGAGATCCGCATTCGCCCCGGCTACCGCCCTCCTGAAGACGTCGAACTCTACAAGAACAGGGCTGCAGAGTCATGGAAACATCGCGAAAAAGGTGGGATTCCGGGAGCTGAAGGGTTGAATGACAATGAGTCAAAACTACCGACACCCGCGAGTACGAAGAATGCGAAAAAGCGTGAGGCAAAAAAGCGAGCAAAAGCCGCTAATGATTCCAGTGACAAAGCAGCCGACAAGGAGACATTGAGTGGTGATGTTATGAACCAGACACCTTCGCGCCCTGGCAAACAAGGAGAACAAGAAGCGGAAGTCCCCCCTGATCCAGAACTTGAGAAGGAAAAGAAAGCTCGAAATTTGAAGAAAAAACTGAAACAGGCTCGTGAGCTACGTGACAAAAAAGATAAAGGAGAGAGCCTACTTCCCGAGCAGTTTGAAAAAGTTATTAAAATCAACGAGCTGATTCGCCAACTGAACGCTCTCGGCTTTGATTCAGAAGGGGACAAGTTGACGACAAACTTACCTACCGATTCAATAGAAATAAATGGAAGATGAGCTGTGAAGATGTCCGCGTGATACTACCCGCGCCATGCGCCCATACAATTCGGTCCTTGAAGATGGGGATTCAATATGAAGCATTTAGCTTAGAGATATCTATAAGCGATCACGAATGGTTGAACCTGCAATAGAAGAAATCGAAGCTAGGAATCGGACGTTGCTGCTTTCGCCTGGGGCAGCAATGAAGCCTTATGGAAGTTTCGCTGGCGCAGCAGGCTCCAGACTACGAAGCTGGTTTGAGGGCCCAAAGGAGAAAAGATGAAGGGTTTTTGAGCACAGCTACTTACTATGCTTCCCAGATACACAGATGCGTCCCCGCTTGATCCAAATACCAGGCCAATTTATCCTGGATGGATGATCTCAAATACTATTCTATGGTCAGGCGTAGTAGTATACAAAAGCTATGAGGGTTCCCCATAGCCCTCTATATTATCATCAAGATATCGCTCTAAACCTGTCTCTTCATCGTTCCCAGAAAGTATTGAATTCGCGGTTAATCTCGCTGCACGTATACAATCATTCACTGCAACACCTGTAAACCACGAACCAGCGACTTTCAAGCCCGGGGCTTCCTGCATTAGGATCTCATGCAAATCCGCCATGCGAGTAGCGTGCCCAACGGTATACTGTGGTATGGCCTGTTTCATCAGTTTTGCCCTCGCAACGACGGGTTCTTCGGTAATCTGCAAGTGACGCTTTAGTAATTTTCTAGCCATTTCGATACCTTTTTCTTCGCTGGGTAGCTCGCTGTCTTCCCAGTGGCTCCACCAGTGTCCTCCGAGCATGACAGTAAGCTTGGTTCCTCTGGCCGTGTCTTGGCCGATATTGGAATCAGACATAAACACCACGCCGAGAGCTCGTTCGGGGTTTTGCTCCAATGGTATAGAGCGAGGAATCAAGTAGCCAAAGCCATGAACAGGAACAAGGTTCGAGGATTTGAAATAAAGGTTAACAGTCATCACCGTGGCTGCATCAGAGTGAAGGTCAATGTCTTTAAATTCAACCATTTCCTCAAAGTCAGAGCCTAATTGACCTTGAAGCTTGGGAAAGGGAATAGTAGAAACGACATGACTGTAGTTTTGCCTAGCAGTATCGCCGACTGAGATCTAAACAAGCTTAGTATGAAACACAAACTTATAAAGGCATAGATATACACTTTCACTTACCTGCCATCCTGAGTCTCCTCGACGCATCTCATTTACATCTGCATTAGTTTTGATTTCAACGTTTGGGGAAGAATTAAGTGCCGATGAAAGAGCATCTACAAGCTGACCCATTCCACCCTTCAATGCAAACACGCTGGACCCAGAAATGTATGTGGAAAGCTCCGACATGAATTTTATACCTCTCTCCCTCCGAATTAGTCGCCCTCCATGAAATATATCGTATGGTAAATGGTTATCTTGCATCGAAAGACAAATTCCACGCTTTGAAAGTTCAGACCACCATATTTTAGGCAGCAGTGACTGTGCGCTGAGTTTGTATATATCGCCAGCATATATCCCATGTATCACTGCGGATGCGAGGTGATCCGTGAGGTCTTTCCCAAACCTCCGACTAAGGAAATCACCGATAGACTCGTCTCGCACGTTCATGTCACGTTTAGGCACAAAATACTCAGACAACAGTGCCAAGGGTATATTTTTCAGTGCTGGTTCTGTAAAAAGGTTCATGAAATTTGAGATTATGTTCACCAGCAGGCCAGCTCCGGGTTGGGGCCCGGGGAGCCGAACAAGATGGTCCGGGTAGTAGATATAACGATTGCGCGAGGCGGCATCGTGGATGCTGGTTCGAAGTATTTCCTTTTGAAGATCTAGGTCTTTTATCTAAAATCGAAAAGCCTTATTATCAGTTACTTTGGAGTAGCAAAATAGAGGGCAATTCGAACGACGAAAGCTTACCAGCTCCAATGTCGCCAGAGCCCCGGAAAGCGTCGAGCGAAGAGTACGGGGCCCATCATCAAAAACAATGTATTTGCCGTCACCAACGTCAATCTTCTCAGATCTTATCCAGCCGCCTAATCGATTCGAGCTCTCAAAGAGTGTGACTTTGATCAAGGGATCTTTCGACAGTCGGTAAGCCGTAGAGAGGCCAGTAATCCCACCGCCTATGATCGCCACATTCTTTGCTTCGTTATGTGCTGTCGATGAAAATTGGGATCGCCATGGGGCGCGCAATCGTCTAGAAGACCCAAAAAATGGTCTGGTGTGTATTCTATTGGTGTGAGCAAACCGCCAGAGCTCTTCAACTGCGTGGGCGGACGAACATCGCGGGCGCATTGCAAGATAAGGGTAAAACAGGATTTGAGAGCTGTCTAAAGCCGCATTGAATGTGCAAATTATCTTAAAATGCTAGAACGTTGAGGACTGGGGGGGGGTTTTTTAATCCGCTGCGTAGTTATGTAACTACTCTGTGGTTAAAATTCAAGCTTTCATTGACTTTTGTAGCTTCGGTGCTGATCCCTCCCGATCACGCCGTTATACTCCGTATGTAAGAAGTGATAGGAAGCAACCAGCACCAGCACCCTCCTGATCCTCCACAGCATTATTGCAGAAAACATAGGAAGCCACTAAAAGTCAAGTATAGACTCAGCATCATAGCCATGAGCGTACATTACTTATTTGTATCTAAAGATAATCCACGGACCATACGCCGTTCGAAAAGGTCGTCTCACTATTTCCCGCCCTAGTTCCCCCCGATCATCCCAATCGACGCCACGCATGCCAAAAAGAAGATGCGAATGGTAGTATAAACACAAATTATCGCACAAAGGCAATTCTTAAAAAGTAGCTAACCCATTCCTTTTTAAGTCATTTAAAAAGATCAAGTAACAATCTCAGGTTCGCTAGATGGCGGAAGACTAGGCTTAATCAATTCCTCCTCTCCGTCTTCCTCAGTCACGAATTTTCGCTCACTGACATGCTGTCCATTTTTATCGGAGTCATGTGCCGTCCATACCTTGTCCGAGAACACACCCTTTTGGCCTTCAGCATGTTTGTAGGGACAGGTAGGGTTAAGACATGGATTGTAGCGGCAGGGCATCTGTTGATGGGTGAATTTGCATCCAGGGATGGAACAGTCCGCACCATTGCGGCATAGGGGCATGGCAGGATGCTTGAAATGGCAGTGGGGGTTCTGGCAGTTTGGAAAATATCGACAAAGCTCCTCTGACTGATGTATTGCTTTCTGGGCCGGCGAGGGGTGTCGGCCAACACATTTTCGATTCTTGCAAGCAGCGCCAAACGAACAAGTGTCAGAAACGTCGATAGTAGTTCCCTCGGGAGCCGCAGGAGACTGGTGTGCATAAGGGCAATCTTTATTTGTACACCTTAGATTAAAACGACAAACACTCGATCCTCGATCCTGCGATTCAGCTTGCTCTGGCCCGTCACCCATTTGAGTGTCAGCAGACTCTTGCGGTTTAGTTTCCGCATCCATGTTCGAATCCTGGAATTTTCGACCATTCTGGTGACGTTTCTGAAAGTCGGTATTCCTTCCTGACTGCATTTCAGCACGATCGAACAAGGAGCGGCCTTGTGGCCGTGTTTGGGGATTTTGAAACGCCGGGTTGATAGCGGGCGCAACGAATCCGGGCATGAATTGGGCCATCATGCGAGCCTGTTCCTCGAATAAGGCCATCATTTGGAGTTGTTGCTGGGGGGACATTTGCATCATATTAGGCATATTTTGCATGCCATTGCCCCCCATTCCCGTAGCTGCCATGCCAGCATTCATACCCATAGTTCCGGGGGGTCTACCAGGCCCAGAGCGACCACCTCTTGATTGGAATGCCCTGGGGCCTTTAGGTGGTTCTCGGTGTGTATTGATCCTCTCCGTGCCATGCTGGTTTCGAACGCGATGTAAGACGGACTCGCTGGATCGATCCATGGCTCTCGTAATTTGGTTGAGAAGCCTCCCTCTTCCATTATGCTTCGTATTTCGCATTGTTCTAGGGCCACTAGGTCTACGTAGAAAAACAGAATTAATATAACGGCTTAGATCATAGTGATAATCAGATATAAAATGATATACGTACATTGAAGAGTCCTGGGGTAAATATTGCGGATCACCCATCTCAGTATCCATTTTCATCGAAGCATCAGCAGCCATAACATCCGTTCCATTTGTCTCGTCAGAGAATGACGGAATAGCCTGAGCTGCGGGTGGTTGCTCTGGCTCCGCCGGCTCACCATTCAATCGCTTATGGGAAACTTCCACCTGCTCAAACAACCATCTTGAAAAGTCCACCGCTTCAGTATCATCTGGACCGAGGCCAAGAAGGTCATTCGCCAGCTCCGATGCGATTTGCTCCTGTGTCTTGCCGTTGACTAGCATCAAGATAACGTATTCGGCGAGGGCCGAGTCATCTCCACCACCGGTGCTCCATCCAACTTCCACCAACTTGGGTTGGATGACCTCATTTAAAGCTTCTGCCAGAGGCGTGTTCAGCTCAACGGAGATTGACATCACGAAAAAGGGGGGTGGTGGTATTCGGCGACAGACGGATGTTCGGTGGCAATCAATTCGGAATATAGGCACTGGGGTAGAGACGGGGTCCTGGGGCGCAGCTGAGGGGCTTTGAAAGGAGGGTGCGGTAGTAGATGATAAAAATAAGAATGTTAAGTGGTTACCATCGCAAAAGACTCGGCGGCCGGGATAGAAGCTCAGCAGCGCCGTCGTGAACAGCTGCTGTTTTGCGATGCAGGTTGGAATTCTGAAGCAGCCACACGACCCAGCACCAGCCACAGCTCACGTTTTCGCAACAACACGCTTAGTCATTCACCGTTAACTAGACATTAGCATTAGTCATCCCGCCATGTGGCTGACCGTTCCTATCTGAGCTTATTTACTGCGTTTCTTCGTCCTGCAGGAGCTGCAGTTCTCCAGTGCTTCCTCCCGCTCGTTCTCGAGCGCCCCAAGAGCCATGGCAGGGGCACTTGACTTGCTGCCATGCCTTTTCACGAGAGGCCTAAGCCCTTCTTTCACACCGATGGCCGAATCTCATTTTTGAAAATATTTCTCTCATTCATTACATAGAGTTGCTGGTACTACAAAACCAGACTGCAAAAATGCAAGTCCTTCTCTTATCCAGTTTCCTCCTGGCCGGTCTAAGCCAAGCACTATGGCCAGAACCAGAACAGTATACCCATGGGAACGAGGTGGTGTGGTTGTCACCAGACGTGCATTTTGCTTACCACCCAAGGGGCTCGTCAGGAAACGCAACAGTTTCCAAAAGGCTTCAGTATGTGGTGCGGTCAGAACTTCAGAGAAACTCCAGTCACAGTCCAGCGGCACCGGTTGAGGACATAGTCAAGAAAGCCATCCAGCGAACTACGAAGCAGCTTCAGACCATGAAGTTTGTACCCTGGAAATTTCACCCTCGCAACCGGGCTTTTGAACCATCACCACAAGCTAGCAAGCGAATCATTAGGGAGGTTGTCATCAGCGAGCAATCATTAGGAGGCAATAGAAGCCATGTTCGGGATTTCATTCATGGCGATGAAAGCTATCAAATCAAGATAACTGGGGACGGAAGTGCGAGTATCTCGACAAAGTCGCCGATCGGAACACTGCGCGCTTTGCAAACCTTCGCTCAGCTCTTTTACGCACATTCGTCTGGCTCCGGTAAATATTCCCCATATGCCCCAATAGCCATCTCAGATAAACCCAAATGGCCCCATCGAGGCCTCAATCTCGACATTGCGCGGAACCCTATCACCCCTGGTGATGTTAAGAGGACAATCGATGCCATGGAGTCTGCGAAACTGAACAGACTTCATATTCACGCGACCGATACCCAATCCTGGCCGCTAGAAATCCCGTCAGTTCCTGCGTTGGCAGCCAAAGGTGCTTACCACTCCAGTCTAATCTGGTCAGCAAAGGACCTGCAAGAGGTACAGCAATATGCCACTGAAAGAGGCGTGTCAGCATTCCTGGAGATCGACATGCCGGGCCATACGGGATCTATAGGGTATGCTTTTCCAGAATTAGTTGTTGCCTCTGGGGAGAATTTGTGGGAGAAGTATGCACAACAGCCGCCGTCCGGGCAGATAAAACTGAACTCATCCGCCGCTAGAGAGCTTGTCGACAAAGTGATGGATGATATCCTACCTCGTGTATCTCCCTTTACCAAGTATTTCCATATCGGAGGGGACGAGTTCAATCTTGAAAGCTACATGTTGGAAAAATCCATAAGTTCTAGCCAGAGGACTGTGCTTAAGCCTCTAGTACAGAGTTTGATCACCCGGGTATGTGAGAAACTCGCGAAGGCAGGATTGATACCAATAGTTTGGGAAGAGCTTGTCGTGGACTGGGATTTATCTTTCCCGCCTCAGTCTTCAGAGTCAGGAAACAACACAGTGATTGTACAGGCGTGGCGAAACTCCCGAGCCATCAGAAGGGTCCTCGATAGGGGATATCGTACTCTTTTTGGCACCAGCGACTTCTGGTATCTCGATTGTGGCGTTGGGATTTACCTCAATCCTCGGAACGGCTCTGAAATTATTAGGCCACCGTATACCGACTGGTGCTCGCCGACCAAAAACTGGCGACACATGTACATGCACGACCCTTTACTGGGCATACAAGAAAAACTACAGCCTCTCATCGAAGGCGGCGAGACACATATGTGGAGTGAGAACGTCGACCCAGTGAACATGGACCAACTGATCTGGCCACGGGCCGCCGCAGCAGCTGAGGTTCTTTGGAAAGGGCCACGAACTCGATTTGATATCAAAGGGGCATCGTTTCGGCTAGGGGAATGGCGGGAGCGGGCAGTGGTCGACAGGAAAATTGGGGCGGGCCTTGTACAGATGACATACTGCCTGATGCAGGAGGGGAGCTGTGAGCGCTGAGGCTTTTGTAGGATTGATTCCGACTGCCGATGCAGCGGATGCAGCACCAACATTCATCATTGTGAGGAATAGTGTACATATCTCTGTTCACCGACTGAGGAGACTGAAACTATCGCGAATACGAGGTGAGCCCGCCGCTGCTGATTGGCCGGCCCCCCGCGTCTAGCCAGGAATAAGCCGTCGCATTCGTACTCGGAGTAGAATATAAAACAACGTAGGAGCCTGCTGTCAACCTCAAGAAGTCGGCGAGGCCGGGCCGACGGCGCGTTGCTGGACACATGGCAGCGAAGATGCGCCGTGCTCCGGCGACCAGGCACGCGGCGTGACGGCCGGTGCGGTGGTTCTGGCGCTCAACCGCAGCATCGCGGCGCCGGCTAGATGGATGCGCCCGCAGGCCTGCCTGCCCAGCCCCTAAGGATAACTAACTAGCTGTCGAAACGCAGGCGAATCGGCGCGGCCTCGTTGCTCAGCGCAAAGCATGTGAAGCCGGGGTAAATCGAACGGCTAGCTCCTGCCCATCGACCTGGGGGGGGCCGCCCGTTGCTTTGCATTATCATTCCATTATTAAGAACAATCTGGATGCCAGGTTTGAACTTGCGACACGGTTGACTCTGGCGGGCGGTTCTCTTCTTCCCGGGTTCGTTGTTTATAAGCACCCTTGGGACCCGCTGACACCGTGAGAATTGCAAATTGCCGGTTGACCCTTCGATTTGCCCCTCGCAACCGCAAACCCCTAGGCCAATTTCTCTTTGAACAGCGTGTTCAGGAGTTCTCTCTTTTCCTGGGTTACTGGCTGGCCTGCAGCGAGCCACTGCTGCTCCTTCTTGCATTTCTCCTGCCTGGCACTGCTTTGTGCCCTGCTGTTTCATCCGATAGCCCGATTCCTTTTGGGCCCAACTCGAGTATATTTTCGACATTTCCATCTCGTCAAATCTGGACGTTTTTACGCTGAGAGGCGTTCTGCTGCACGCTTCTTAGACGTGCATTATCGTATGTCAGGAAAGATCGTTTAAGACACTCGCACGATCGTGAACAAGATGATTGAAGAGCTTCTGGCAAGGCTTTCGCTGGGCCAGGCATTTCTGATTGCCATTGGCCTGGGCTTTGCCGTTCTGTCCTTCATTAACTTTAGAATCGACTGGAGGATACGAAGACTAGGTCCACAGGCGCCACGCATACGGACATATCTACCCTTGAGTATGGCAATCGGTTTTTTGGGCTGTCTATTTCGTTGTCACTGACTGTTGGTGCTAGGTCTGGACTTTATATACCAAGCATTGAAAGCTGCCAAAAGTAAAAGAGATCTTCAATTTTGGGAGGAACAGCGGCCACGCGTTGCGTATACCGGGCCCGGGCTCCCATCCACGATGGAAATCAAATTTCATTATTTCGCCCGCAGCGTTTTCACGATCGACCCAGAGAACATCAAGGCCGTCCTTACTGGCCAATTCGCTGACTATGGCAAGGGTGAACGCTTTCATGAAGAGTGGAAGGAATTTCTGGGAGACAGTATCTTTGCCACCGACGGCGAGATGTGGCATAAGTCTAGGCAATTGATCCGGCCCATGTTCGCCAGAGATCGAATCGTCGATACCGAAATTTTCGAGAAGCATATTCACAAGCTAATCCCGTTATTGGCTGGTGGCGCGAACCGTGATGGCTCGACTACGGTGGATATTGGACCGTTGTTCTTCCACTTTACTCTGGATGCAGCGACCGATTATCTTATGGGCCAAAGTGTTGACAGCTTGGACAACCCGAAGACTGTATTCGCCGAATCGTTCCAATACGTGCTCCATCGCCAGGCTGTTCTATTTAGAGCCGGGTATGTATATTTCCTTGTCTTACTATCTATGCCCTCTGCAAAAAACTCATATTTCTTCTTAGGCCGCTAAATACGTTTATGTCACGCAAACTGTTCCGTGAGAACTTGAAAAAGATGGACACTTTCATCCAGCAGTATATTCAACAAGTTCTTGCACTCTCACCTGAAGAACTAGACCACAAACTTTCCAAGAAGGATACCTTCCTTCACGCCCTTGCCCGCTTTACCCGCGATCCCGTTGTTCTTCGTGACCAGCTCGTGGCCATCTTACTGGCTGGCCGTGACACAACCGCCGCCACTCTCGCTTTCTGTATTTTCGAACTGTCCCGCCACCCTGCTGTTGTCGAGAAACTCCACGCAGAAATCGACACTGTCTGCGGCAAGCGGAAGCCGACGTATGCTGAACTCAAGGAGATGAAATACCTCAATTCCGTCCTCAATGAAACCATGCGTCTCTACCCTGTCGTGCCGTTTAACGTCCGCCACGCCATCGTCGACACTACCCTTCCACGTGGCGGAGGACCAGATGGCCTCTCGCCTGTCGGCGTCCCGGCCAACACTCGCATCCTGTACTCGACCATGTCAATGCAACGCCGCCGCGAGCTGTACCCGCAGCCGCCCGCGCCAGGCGAGAAGCCGACCACACCGTATTTCGACCCTCACGAGTTCCATCCGGAGCGCTGGTCGTCATGGCAGCCGAAACCGTGGCATTTTATTCCGTTCAATGGCGGGCCGAGAATCTGTCTGGGCCAGCAGTTTGCCACTATTGAAATGGGGTATACTGTCACGAGGATTCTGCAACACTTTGACAAGATCGTAGCTGTGGGGGCACCGAAGCCCGGGGTAGACCCGGACTTCAAGTTTGATGTGACCTTGAGTCCGGGACAGAGACTTGACTGTATTTTCGTGAAGAAGGACTGATTATTGGCCTTGGAGCTTGTTCATTTACATGCATGATGAAACTGCGTGTGTATATTTGACATTTTTGTCTTGGATTGTATATAAATGAATTACTTTTGTTCACAATTTCTACCCATGCAAGCAGCCAACGCACCGTTTCCTTATAGACCAACATCAACCATCTGCATCGCACCTGGTTCTAACTACATCAATGAAGACTACGTAGCTGCATGCTAAACTTCTAATACCAAATATGCTTTCGGGTTATCTATAGTCGATGCCTAGTCATTCCGAGTAGTTATGTGCTTAAACAATGAAAGCTACCATTGGCAGCAGTTCATTGGTAGTCAAATGCACACCATCTCGAATCCGTCGTCACACGAGGGAGGCAGAGATCAAAGCCACGTATCAATTCGTGTTCTGCGACGGTGCGACGGGATCTTCTCACACCCGTGGCACACAGGCAACACACACCACACACAAAGGGCGGCGTTTGTGTATGTTTCACCACCCAGACCCTTAAAACTCGCCCCTTGTACTCCGTATGCATTTCATGTTTTCTTTGTATCAGGCGCGATTTGGAGAGACCCAATCATCCTGTAGGGGGACGGGCAGGAGTGTGCCAGTGATCCTGGAGCCAGCTGAATTCATGGGATTGATATATACAAAATGAGGATGAGTATCGAATCCATACATATTATCATTGACTTTTATCCGAAGAGCAGCCAGCCCCTTTCAATAATAATTAACCGATCCGATTAAGGGTGCTCCCGCATGCGATATTTTAACAGGGCCAATAAGGAAAAACTGTAACCTTCCCACAGGAATAATGAATCAGGCATCCGCAGGAAGAAAAGTATAACATGCCTTCATTATTACCGGCGTACCGCAAGACCATAATCTTCTCACGACCGACCCTGGTACAGCATAGCATATGGGGGCCAGAAGCAGACGTTGTCCCACGACACCCACAGAAGATGTTATGCCAACGGTTGCGATGTCAAGGCATACTCCTTAGGAGCATGCACCGCAAGTATGTAGGCAGTCCAGGCTATAAGAGCACCTGAAGTCCTCTTCCCACCCAACCCAGCATCGTAGACAAGCCTAAAATCAATCAATCCATTCAAAAAAAAAAGTAACTCCCTCGGTACGTCCAGGAACCCATCCGTCCTTCAGCTATCCAGACCAAGACAACTAGACTGGAGAACCACCCCACTTACCCATCAGCCAAGCTCAGGAACGAAGACAAAAAGAAAAAACCCTCTTCTCCATCAGACCATGAAGCTGCCAAGCGTGCTCCTACTGCTCACAAGCATCAGTGCAGCCGCCGTTGTCGCCAGCCCCGCGGCGACCGCCCCCCAGCCGCCATCGTTGTCGCCCCGCGCCGAGTGCCGCAAAGAGCGCGAGACCTGCGGCCCGCAGATCGGATCTTGCTGCGGCAAGAAGATGCGTTGCGAATATATTCCGGTAAGTTCTTGTTTTTTATGAAGTTATTAGTGATTAGTGGTTTGGGGGCAAATGAATGGGAATTGCCCAAAGAAAGGAGCTGTACGGAGTCGTTACGGAATACGGAGTACGGAGTATTATTTTTAAATAACTATTTCGCTCTGCAATCCTTTCGGGTGGATAGCTCCGGAGTATAAACTAACTAATCAATTGGCTATTAGACCAGAGATACGCCGCGCATTTGCATGTATCCACGACCAGAATAAACTCGTTTTGACTTTGTAGGGCGGATGTTAGATTATTTTGGCTTCCTGGTGACGTTTATCAAATCTCCGATGAACCTGCCCAGGGCCCTGCCAGATTGAAGGTGGGGGGTTTCAGGGGCTGTTATCCCTAAAACTAAGTGCTAGGGAGTTTGTTTATCCGCCATTCAGAATAGTGAGAAAATCAAAAGAGAATCATATGCTATATTTTACACGTTCTACGTTTTCATTACAAAATTATTGAAATGTAGTACAAAACATGTCGGAGTCATAGAATATGGCCGTCTTCACCCCATAACAGTCATAAGATTGTGTTGGGAAGCCGATCAAGCTTGCTCAACCGATATGAAATAACCTCCCCCCCTTTCCCAGTAAGAAAGAAAAAAAGAGAAAAAAAAAATATCGTGTAAAGCAGCCGATGGCCATTCATATCTCCGACAAAAACATTTGTTCCGACCCGCCTGATCCTGAACCAAACTCCGAAAATATTCCTAGATATATTTGGATATCCCAATCATCCCCTTATGTAAACCTGTGCACATCATCGAAACTGTACAACCCGGGGGTGGGTAGAGTTTTTTTTTGCTTTTTTTCTCAGCGTGTCAGACGTCGGTCGTCTACTCCTTTTTGTTTAAAAGAAGGCAAAAATCGCCGATAAGCCGATGAGGGCAACGAGCCCGGAGTATGGGCCTGAAACGTGTGAGGCAGCGTTTCCGGGGGCCACGGTGGCGGGTGGGTTGGTTGGGCGGGTGGGGGTGGTGACGCTTGTAGCATTACGGCTGGGAGAAATGGCTGGACGAGTGTTTGTGGCATTAGGGGCGCCAGATGCAGCTGAAGCCGAAGGCAAAAGCGAGGGTCGCGAGGTAGAAAGGGAAGGTGGCTGCACCGAGTACAACGAAGTCGTGTATTAGCCAATTGTTCAAGTAGAAGCACAGGTCAAAACAAAACGGGGGTTTGCTCACTCACAGAAGCCGTGCTCGGCGCTGAGGGTCTCCCATTATCGGTGACTAGCCAGCCACTGGGGACCCCTGCTACTCCTGTTATTGATGATTGCGTGGTGGTGGGAACAGGGCGGGGAATGACCCATGATCCTCCGGTCGTACCTTGAGAGGGCTTGATGGAAGCCTCAGCTGGGGGAACGGAGTTCTGTACCTGTGGACCAGAACCAGGGGTTCCAGAGCCAGAAATCTTGCCATCTTGGGCACGAATAGATTGCCAGGTGCCAGTCTTGTCACTGTAAGTATACTGTGTACCTGTGGAGTAGTCGGTCATCTTGACGCTCTGAACGAGCATAGTGTACGGGCCGGCCTTGTAGTCGGTCAAACCACCAGCCCATTCTGATAGAAGATTGATAGTTAGGCCGTATTCGAATTGATATTCTAAGGGCCAACTTATTACTCACCAATTGTTCCAGGCTTGTTGTTTGGGTCTCCTCCCGCCCAAGAGCCAACTCTGAGATGCATGGGCGTCTGGGGGTACTGGCCTTTAGCGTTGGCATCATTTGGAGTTATGGTACGGATTATGGCGCCATCAATGCCAAACTGAATGCGATCTTTGGTCCAGTCGATAGTGTATTTGTGGAAGGCCTTCTGGTTGTTTGGGTTTGGATGTGAGGCGGAACGGTCGTAGGTAGCGGTTTTGCCCTGGCCAAAGAAGTTGGTCTGAACCTGACCATCGTTTCCACCAAGCCATTCCCAATCGATCTCATCCAAACAGTCCGACTGCAGAACGACGCTGCTGACGATACCTTTGCCTGGCGCTGCCTTCATCGTCACCTCGACATAACCAAACATCATGTAGAACTTGGATTGAATGCGAGGGTTGTCGCCCTGCTTAGCGACCGTCAACGAGACGCCTTCTCCATTGTAGGTTGGCGTGCCACCAGCGAAGGTGAATCGATCCGAGGCGCCTTTTGTGAAGTCGAAGTTGCCGGTTCCGCTGAGGGCGGGGTTTGGGGGGCAGGCTGCAGCGGCCGTAGGTTAGCAAAGACAGCAAGCAGGGAGCTGCAAGAACATACATTTTTGCAGCGGGTTGCAATCAGTGAAGGTCTGAGCAGCCACGAGTAGTGGTGCACCCAGCAAGGCCGCAGCAGCCGAAGCGCTAAGCTTCATGATGGCGGTTGTATGTATAGATGGAGCTCTGAGGTATCAAGGCGTGCAAGTGGAAGAGGGTACGGAGCTAGTAGTACAGGCACGCAGCAGTGATCGAGCTGCAGGTTTGTTTTAACGAGTGAAAGAAAGCAAACAGCAGCCAGGGAGTACAGAAGGCAGATGGGAAGAAGGAAATCCACCGCGAGGCCCAGGAGGTCTTTTAAAACACGAAGCGAAAGGCGTGCGTGTTGCGGGCCCACTTGGTGGAGGCCGTGTTGATCGCTCACACGAAGGAGGCTGGCCGAGTCATGGCGCGAGACACCACCCGCCCACCGGCCCCAGCCTTCGTCTTGCGCGGATTGTCTGGGATCGCAAGGCTCCCGGCCACCAGCCAACCCACCCTAACCCAACATGGCCCAGCTGCCCAGCCTGCAGCGGACGTTACCTGCTGCAACCACAGGCTTGCGCGGAAACGTGGTGGTCGATGGTGGCTGCGACGGCCAGCCCGTCCGCCCAAGGTGCGCGCGACCACGACGACGAACACCACCACGGTGCGCGATAGCTAGCGACCGGCGCCGTCACATCGTATCGCATCCCGCAGGCGAGGCTCGCATCCGGCGGGATTCTTCGCAGCCTCTGCTTGCTCCTGCGATGCTTGCCCAGCCGCATGGGCTCCCCGCCCGCTGATTGGCCGCTGCCCAGGCAAGCTTTGCCGGGCCCCGCCACATGACAGCTAGCCCGGCCGCCCATTGGCCAAGGCTGCCGAGCGCGCCCCGCCGCTCGTCCTCGTGCTGTTTGCTCTGTTTGCTGCGTAGGGCTGATGGGCAATCAGCTCCTCTGAATGAATTATCGTCTCCTGGCGGACAGCTTCCTGCAGCACGCAAGCAAGCCCGGTCCCGCGTGGGCTCTGCGCGGGCTGTCGTGCGTCCCAGTGCCTTATGCATGTGACTGGTGGAGTGGAGGGCGCTCGCCGTTGCTGCTAGTAGTAATTCTGCTTGGTGCTACCTGTGGGGTGGCGCGCCAACGCCGTTGCCGAAGTAACACGGCCGGGCACGCTGGTGTCGCGCTGGCCCGTCCACCTGGGTGCGCACCATCGCGAGAAGCCGCCGGCCACCCCGTGCTGCCATCCCGACCGGTCACGAGCTGTGCAGCAAGAATAGAACGGCAAGTGGCGTTGTGCGGTGCGCTGTCTTTCACCCTCCCCAGCGCGCTGCGGCGGAGCAGGAGACCCTCAAGGAACAACCTCCGGTGCTGCTGACAAACATCCTACGCCCCGTCTCGACTGAAACACTACCAACCGGCGTGATGGAGGCTACGGCGTTTTGGGAACATCCAGCCGCTCAGCTCTGTTCTTGGTGCCATCGGGAAATGCCATTGCCAGGGGCAACATGAGAGGTCTAATTCGGGGTGGCAGGTGGAATACTGAGCCATTATTGGAGCTGGCCACTGATATTTTTGGACGCTCGAACCCAAGCCCAGCCAAATATCCGGGTATTGAGTCGCGAGCTTGCTTTTCGCAAGTCTGTTTTGTGGAGCCTGTGGTGTGTTTCATCCAGCAAACCCGGCGCCTATCTTCTCCATTTCCACCCACCTTCCTGTAGTTGTATAAATAGCTTGGATGCCTCCGGCTGGCAGGTCTGTGGTTATGGTAGACGCCATTCAGGTACTCCGTACGGAGTACATTACCCCTCGTCGACGTTTTCTGAATGAGGAACACGGAGGGCATTCCATACTCCATACGTCATTCGGAGTACGTCACTCGAAGCGCCGGGACGAAACCCGGAGAGATCCCTGGGCCAAGTCAATTCTAGTCTTGTGACGTCGCAGGTGTATGCCTGCATACGCGCCCGGCATGCCGCATACGGCACTGCTGAGAATGGTTATGGATTTGGCACCTTATCACGTGCGAAGAAAGCCCTTGCCCTGATTTCCAACACAGCCAATTATGACAATTCTACCGCTTTGATTGGCCAAAACGACATCGTGCTTCTGTAAGCCATCCACGTGTCTGATTACTCATCAATCGCCGCCCATCTCTACGCTCCAATTGGCTGGCTAGGAACCGCCCGCCACAGCGTAAGAGGAGGTGTTGAAGCGGCCATGAAGCACTCCACTCGCGCCCAAGAAAATAATCACCCAAGAGTTCTAGAACTAATGGATAATGTAGCCAGCGGGCCACTTGTAATCCGATCTTACTGCTTATCCAAAAATCAGCTCAAAGAGAATTCAAAGTCGACAGAATTGGGGGCTTGACGCCAGCGATCGTGTCGACACTTTGAGATCTATCGGGCATGCTAACCGAACCTGGCTGATCTTGGGGGGTTTTCAGCCTGTGAGGAGAGTGTAGAGCAAGGAGCGGTGTATGTTTGACAATGAAGCTCCCAATCAGGCTCTTGGCGCGAGGCGTCTTTTTGGCACAGTTTGAATATATTGAGAGGGCGCCGCCACGGAGCTATAGTGTCCAAGACGAGACGAAAAAACTCGGTAGATAAATGTAGGAGGTTGCCGGCTGCAGCGGCTCTGCGTGTATTTTTAGATGCATATGGCATGTGTGTGTTCAATATAGGTTCACTATCAGATGGGCCCAGATCCTACGAAGCTGTGAGACATTTCATGCTGTCGTCAGGGAGCCGTATACTGCTACACATCTCCGTTAGCATGTGCCGCGATCCCCAGTGGTTCGTCAGATTGGCAGATACTTTTCAGAGCACTCACTTCCCAGTCATGCTGCTAGCCAGCGCGGCGTTGGCAGGGGCACTTATTAACGCAGTTGTGCAGGGCGAGGACTAGTCTCGGGGATCGACAGAGGGAAGCTCGCGAGACAGCTTCGACAGAGAGCGCCCCAAGCGCAAAGGAGAGCAAAAGACGGAGTCCACACAGAGACGCACCCGCGGTCTAGGGCCAGCCTGAGACGCTGCCCGAGTTCCGTCTGTGAAGTGCATTACATATTGTTTGGCGGGCGGTCAGCTGGTCTGTGCGCCCCCGTCATCGTCGCCGCCCGCGCGAACAAACCACAGACCACATCCCCTTCGTGGAGCAACCACCACAACGGCCTCCATGATCGCCTCCCCCCAGCCCACCAGCACGCCCGTCCGGCCATGCCATTGACGCCCGTCGCCCGGCTTTCCGATCCTGCGCCTGGACACAAACACCAGGCCGCTCTCGTTTGAGTTCTCTTGGTACCGCCCTTGCATCATCGTCCGCCGTGTCTATCCCTCCTACGTGTTTGCCTGGACATGGGTACAGGCGCACCTCCGAACTGACCAGCAAGTCTCCTGCTGGCTTCTCCAGATCTTCACAGCCCTTCTCCCTCTACGGCTCACCGCCATCGAACCTTGTCCGTCCCCGCCGTCCCCGATTTTGGTTCCTGCATGCGATGCGCATTGCGACTTGGACGACTAGATTGTGGCCTCAAACTCCATCGGGGTTGACCCTTTCTTTTCGCACTCTGCACATAATCTCGATCGCTAGCTATACCTTCCCGACCCTTACATGCCCGCCTACGACTTCTGCATGAGTAACGACAGTTTTCGCACACCTCCAGGCATTGACAGCTGCTACCAGCTGTTTCTCGTCTTGGCTTGCCCGCTCTCGGCCCCCCAATACGAGAATAAAACTCTGAGTAAAGGGAAGAACACAAACATCGGGCCTGCCACCGACATTTACTTCTTCTGGTGGTTCGAGCTGGCGCACATCTTGGGCGCCCGCAGGGGAATATGGCCTCGCGCCGGCGGGAGCGGTTTCGGGCTGCCAGGCACGGCTCCGACAGCTCAAGCATCGATTCCTACGATGCGCCGCGCCAGGGTCTTCGACAGCCTGCGGTCAACCGCTCTATTGCGAGCCCAGCCCCAATGGGCATAGAGGATAGGTACGCGAACTTCTCCTTCAATCCTTCGCCTGGAACCTATGATTTCCATGATGAAGAGAGGGCGAGTACACACTCGCCTCGGTCGGGTAGCAGTCGCGATATACCTCCTCCACCACCCCGTAAGGATATAACGCTGGGAGTCTTGTCACCGTTGAGCCTATCTACTACAACTCTTGAGCGTTCGATCAGTCCGACGCCTAGCGCTCGAAGCTCGAATTTAAAAGACCACGGTCAAGCCTCTCCCCGCGGCCACCCTCCTAAGCGGTCATTTTTCGATAAAATACGACGTCCAAAAGGCCAAGTTTCATCCATTCTACGACACCTACCCGCGTCGACTACCGTTCTTCATGAGCCTTTGAAAAATCCTAAAAACGCTAAGGGTGAGCTATCTCCCGGACGGCCCAGGAATGGTAGCGAGAATGGAACACTAGAACCTGCTCTGTCTCCCCGGCAGTGGGAGGCCATTGACTATGACCGAAAGAAAGAACTTCCAAGCAGACCTGGTCCGAGTAAGCTACGGCATGGACGACTACATTTTCACAATGAGTTTGGGTTCAGCAAGGAACCTGAGAAGCATGACCCCGAAAAATTTGATTTTGGAGGAGAGGAACTCTTTTTGGATACGAACCTTGGCGATATGGAGGGGATAATCAGGCAACCCCGGCCTGGCTCACCTACAGATCCTGGTGGTATCTTTATCGGTACTGAGCTAGGCGCAGACAGTAGCCAGTTTCGCACTGTCCTCGACACCCCAGCTGCCGGGGATTGGCATGCGCCCGAAAGCTGGGCTGTCAAGAAACAAAGCGATGACATCGTCAGCAGACTCCCTGAGCTAGCCGAAGATGATGTCAATATGTCAGTAGATGAAGACGGTCATCCATTCTGCGTGCGTGTCTTTCGGATTGATTCTACGTTTGCGACCCTGTCTGCAGGCCTCAATACAACTGTTACTGAGATTCTAGAGATGCTGGGACGCAAATCGTTCCTTCAAGATGATTTGAACAACTATGATATTGTGATGCGGAAGAACGATCTCACAAGAAGGTTGGATCACGGAGAGAGGCCGATTCTTATGCAGAAAAAGTTACTCGCGGCTGCAGGCTACCATAATTCCGATCGGATTGCCGATATAGGACGTGAAGACAATAGCTATCTTGTCCGGTTCACCTTTCTCCCAACCAAACTGGGTATCTATTCTAGCTTTGACTCCGAGTTGGCTTTTAACGAAGGCCAAAAATTCACCCACCTAGACCTTCGAAGCCGAAACCTTGTCACAATTCCAATTAGGCTATACAAAAAAGCTCCTGAAATAATATCCCTGAATCTCTCCAGAAACCTGTCCCTTGATGTCCCCAAAGACTTCATTCAAAGCTGCATCAACCTTCGAGAAATCAAATTCATGAGTAATGAAGCATGGCGTCTTCCTTCCAGTTTCAGCATGGCCAATCGATTGACCTACCTCGATATCTCTAACAACAGCCTCGAACAACTGGAACACGCTGAGTTATACAAATTGCACGGCCTTGTTAGTTTAAGGGTGTCAAATAACAAGCTCTCATCGCTGCCATCGTATTTTGGCGATTTTGCGTCCCTCCGAAGCTTGAACATGTCATCGAACAGTTTCCGGGAACTCCCCGAGTGTCTGTCTAGGCTGCCAACATTGGTTGATCTTGACGTAAGTTTCAATCAGATATCCTCGCTGCCAGGCCTTGGGAAAATACAATCTCTGGAGAGACTCTGGGTCAATAATAATACTCTGGCTGGCCCCCTTGGGGATGATTTGGAGAATCTAGTCAACCTGAAAGAGATTGATGCGAGATTCAATGAGATTTCTGCAATTGAAGGTCTGACGCAGCTGATTCGTCTGGAGAGCCTGCTGATCGGCCATAATTCTGTTTCCTCCTTTTATGGCTCATTCGCCAAGCTGCGATTTTTTATCATGGACCATTGTCCCGTTACAGATTTCCACATCACTGGGCAAGTTCCCACCCTAGTAACTCTCAATATTGCGTCCGCAAAGCTTGTCCAGTTCAAGGACTCCATGTTCTCCAACATACCAAACCTAATGAAACTTGTCCTCGACAAGAACCACTTTGTCACTTTGTCTCCATATATTGGATATCTTCGGAAGCTGGAGCATTTCAGCATTGCAAAGAATCCGTTGTCCCAGTTACCACCCACTATCGGTTGTCTAACGGAGCTGAAAAGTTTTAATCTGAGGGAGTGTAATTTAAGCAAGCTCCCATCTGAAATATGGTGTTGTCACCGACTTGAGGTGCTTAATGTTTCTTCTAACGTTCTTGACGCTTTCCCTAAACCCCCTGGAGCACGCCCACGCCTACCCTCCGCCGACGGTATATCGACTACCACTCCAGTCACTACTCCTGGATTGACTGGTGCTCCTAACTATGAAGAAATTGGGAGAATGGAAGGGTTTGAAGCGCGGCGACCTAGCCAAGCTTCTGCAGGTTATCTCAGCGTGGCGAGCTCCCCGTCCGATCCCCCCAGGAAAATGTCGGTCACATCAATCGGTGGAGGCCGGAAACAGTCCGTAGCATCCCGATCCGAGGCTGATACGGTGAGAAAGGACTCTACGTACTCCCAGAAAAGCCTCAACACATTTTCTCTATCGCTAAGGCATCTATATCTTGCGGATAATCGGTTAGAAGATGATATTTTTCACCAACTCGTGCTTTTGTCTGAATTACGTGTTCTGCACCTTTCATATAACGAATTAACGGAATTTCCACCGGGTGTTTTGAGACGGCTACTTTTTCTGGCGGAACTACATCTTTCCGGAAATGAACTCAGCGCCCTTCCCTCTGAAGACCTTGAAGAATCCAGCAATCTTCGGACGCTTTATCTAAACGCGAATAAATTCCAAGTTCTTCCCGCTGAACTTTGCAAGATCAATAAACTCGCTGTTTTAGACATTGGCAGCAATTCTTTAAAATACAACGTTTCGAATTGGCCGTACGACTGGAATTGGAATTGGAATCGTAATTTGAGGTACCTTAATTTCTCAGGTAACAAGAAATTTGAGATAAAAGGAAGCTCCTCTTACGCGTCAGGCGCAAACCATGTTGGTGGGACAGATTTGACCAGCTTTAACTCTCTTAGCTACATTAGAGTATTGGGACTGATGGATGTTACGCTCACTATCAGGAACGTTCCTGAAGAGATGGAAAATAGACGTGTTCGCACATCTGCATCGGCTTCTGGGTTAATATCGTATGGTGTCGCGGACACTCTTGGTACTACTGAGCATCTTTCTATGATTGATATGGTCGTTCCTCGATTTCGAGGAAGTCCCGTGGAGACAATTATGGGGTTATTTGATGGGTATCCTTCCTTGGATGCTGGGTCAAAAATTGCTAAATATCTGCATGAGAACTTTCCTGCAACGTTTGCAGCCGAGTTAAATAAGTTACGGACATTGAAAAATGAGACTGCAGAGGATGCTTTACGCCGATCTTTTCTATCACTGAATAAAGAGCTAGCTACGGTAGTACCGCTACCCACTGATGACCGAGAGACCTTACTCTGGGATCGGTCGGACAAACCCCTTCCCCTTGATGACGCCCACTCTGGCGCAGCTGCGACGATCATGTATCTTCGCAATATGGACCTCTTCGTTGCCAATGTTGGCAATGCACAAGCTGTCTTGGTTCAATCAAACGGACAGCATAAGTTTCTTACGGCGCACCACGATCCTGCGGAAAAATCAGAAAGGAATCGCATTAGGGCAACGGGTGGATACGTTTCACGGAACGGGCAGTTGAATGATCTCCTGCCGGTTTCGCGATCATTCGGGTATTTTCGTGATATTCCCGCTGTCATGGCTGCCCCACATACGCTGAAAATAACGTTAACATCACAAGATGAAATGATAATCCTTGCGTCAGGGCAATTGTGGGACTATGTTACCCCTGATGTGGTAGTGGACGTTGCTCGAGCTGAGCGTGCGGATTTGATGATCGCATCTCAGAAGATTCGTGACCTTGCAATGTCATATGGCGCTACAAGCAAGCTAATGGTGATGATCGCCGGCGTGAGCGACCTCAAGCGACGCCAGAAGAACAAGCTCACAAAGAGTGCAAATATTCCCATGGGCCCGACCGCCCCGTTGAGCGAAGAAAGTATACTTCTCACCAGTAAGCGAGTCAAACGACCCCGTGACGCGCCGAGCGACTCTAGACTAGCAAGACTGGATCGAGTCGAGGCCCCGACCGGAGACTTGGCTATTGTATTTACGGATATCAAGAAATCTACGTCGCTCTGGGAAACTTACCCTATAGCCATGCGATCCGCTATTCAAATACATAACGATCTATTCAGGCGACAACTTAGTCTAATTGGTGGGTTTGAAGTCAAGACTGAAGGTGATGCGTTCATGGTTTCTTTTAGTACCGCAACTGCAGCATTGCTGTGGTGTTTTACGTGTCAGACCCAATTGCTTGACGCTCCTTGGCCAACTGAAATTCTTGAAGCGCCTCCTTGCCAAGAACGATTTGACATGGATGGTAATCGTATATATCGAGGTTTGTCGGTTCGAATGGGTATGCACTGGGGCCAGCCGGTGTGCGAGAAGGACCCTGTGACCGGTCGTATGGATTATTTCGGCCCAATGGTCAATCGTGCCTCCCGTATATCAGCAGTCGCAGACGGCGGGCAGATATTCGTTTCTTCCGATTTTGTTGCTGAAATCCAACGGACATTAGAAACATTCGCTGACTATGAGCGAGGCAACTCGACAGGATCAGAGGATACCTGGCCAGATGACTTTTTAAATAACTCTATCCGCAATGATTTATACCAGCTTAGTACACTTGGATTTGAGGCGAAAGATCTTGGCGAACGCAAATTGAAAGGCCTAGAGAACCCTGAATTTGTATACTTGATGTATCCGCACTCGCTGTCAGGACGTCTAGTCTATCAGCCCGATTTGCTCGAAGAGCAGAATGAGACCATGGCCCCTGGGACGTTAGGGAGAAATTCGCAGTTGAATATCGATGCAGACCAGTTCTGGCGATTAATGAAAGTCGGTCTCCGGCTTGAGGCTTTTTGCAGCGCTCTGGAGAATCCGAATGCATCTACGTTGGTAGAGCCAGATATTAATATGATCAATGCGCTGAAGGCTAGAGGTGGAGAGATCACTGATGCTTCTGTTCTGAATTTGCTTGAACATCAGATTGCTCGGATCGAGGTGATTTTTGTTTCAGCTCCTAACTCTTTGGTTTATTGCTAACAATACCATAGACTTGTACCAACACGCTTGCCATTCGCCATATGATGCGGCCTCTTCGACCTGGGCATACACTTGAGGACCACGCTGTCCCCATGGTCGAAATTATAGCGCAACTACAAGTCCAACTTGCCGAGTTCAAAGCCTTGAAGGAGCAAATTAATATTGTGAGCGCTGACCTCTCCCTCCCAGCATCCTCAATTGGTACGCCGGCAGCTTCGGTAGCGTTTGGTGTACACCAGACGTCGGCTACTTCCACCGTAGTTGATCTCCGCAGCGAAAGTCGAAGGAGAGGCAGTGAATTTTCAGGCGTGGGCACTATTTAATGATATATACTGGGCGGCGGCTATCTTGTTCTGCCGGTGTTGCACTGTATACTGGAGTAGTTACTTCTTGATCTTTTTCTCCTGGTCATTTTCCTTCTTGCATATCTTTTGCTCCTACCCCTCTTTTGGTTTGCCTCCTGGTTAATATTTGGCTTTATTCACATGCTTCACTCTTTTGTTGGCCACTTAATACCCGTCTCGGTTTCTGAAATGAATGTAAAAAAGCCCTTCCTTTTTTTTATGGACATAAATAAGTACCCATTACGCTGCACATAATCAATTGGACTACTCCGTAGTTTTGATGCCAAGGCCTAGGTTCGCATTGTAAATGGCTTCAGCCACAGAGGCATGTGGCGGATATATCTAGTCTTGGCAGTGGCTTGATTGCTGTTTGAATCACAGACAAACACAACCCAACTAGGTTATCGCCGCCGCTGCCAAGTTGCTTCCAGAGCTGCCTGATCGCGACGCGCAGGAGAGCTTCATGGACATATCTCTCTTTAATACCATTCATAATTGCTGTGGACTGTCCAATTTTTACTATCTGAATCAACAGACGCCGTCGCTCTTTCACTTTTTATGGTGCCAGTGAGGCGGACAAGGTTCTGTTGCCCTGGATACCACACCACTTGTTTGTCGATACTCTCTGGGCTTGCATTCCTAAATATTTTCACACACTCTTATTCGCCTGCGATCCCGCCAATCCTTGCTTTTCTGATCGCTACGATATTCGACAATTGGAGAGAGATTTAATCTCCATCGGTAACACGCCGCAGACATCGGCTGGCGCTCCATCTGGCCAGATATCATCAACGCCATCATGTCTACCTACGACAGCGGCGACGAACTCGCCTATTTGACTCCTGGATTTGACCTCAATTCACTGACAGTGCCGCGGCTTCGCTCTATCCTCGTCACCCATGATATCTCATACCCTACATCAGCGAAAAAGGCGCAGCTTGTTACCATCATAGAATCCGAGGTTTTACCGAAGGCCAAACAACTCCTAAGACAACGGGACCGCATTCAGAGAACAAGCGTGGGAATTATAGATATGTCAAGCAGCCAGGAAAGCATCGAAGAGGATGACAACAGCGCATCACACCCTCCCCCAGCTACACCTTCAACGAGAAAAGGAAGATCACGGCCAAGTACCAGAGCGTCTACGGCTGATATAGGTGATACCATTCCTCCACCATCAACGGATCGACGGAGGACTACACGATATAGTTCGAAGCATGCTCGTGCGTCAGATACCGAAGAAACTGGGGAGGATATCAATGCCGTTGAAGCCACACCGAAAGCCACTGGACGAAAATTGAGAAAAAGTGAAGCATACCCAACGCCGCATGCGTCAGTAGCGCCGATTAATGAGACCACCCCCGTTTCCATCAAACGTGAAAGCCGAGATGCCAGCGTTTTTTCAGATGAGAACCCGTTTCAAAGTGGATCACCATCAGTCGCGTCAGGTGTCAGAAGTGTAAGTTCGGAAGTGAAGAGAAAGGGCCCCAGACACTCTACACCAGCAGCTCTATCTACGGATGAAAGAAGGAGACGTAAGGCGGAAACGCCGCCATCAAGTGTATCCAAGCGCGGTGATCGGGGTTTTGTGGTGCCAACAAGCTCAACGTTCGAAGCACCAATCACAGGGCTAAAATCTTTAGGAGCAGATGGGCTAGAAGACGACGAGTTAGCTGCAGGGGAGGAGTTTAGTCCTGACGAGCAATTGGCTATGATGCAAGCACAAGCCACTCCTCGAAAACCTTCAGTAAAAAGACAACGGCAGAAGCAGGGGGCAGGCAGTCAATTCATTTCTTGGTTTGTGATCGCTTCTCTGATTTCTGGAGTTGCACTTTGGTGGAGAAAGGAAAAGATTGAGATCGGCTATTGCGGAGTTGGTAAACCGCATTGGTCGCTTGAAGCCACAAAAGTTCCTGAATGGGCCAATGTCTTGGAACCCAAGTGTGAACCATGTCCTCAACACGCCATCTGCCGGCCGAGCTTCGAAGCTGTCTGCGAACAAGATTTTGTTCTCAAACCACACCCATTGTCTCTTGGGGGCTTGATTCCCTTGGCAGCAACATGTGAACCAGATAGTGACAAGCTACGCCGAGTGAAAGTAGTCACAGACAAGGCTGTCGATGAGCTGCGCGAACAAAGAGCGAGATACGAGTGCGGAGAGACAGAAAAAGATGGCAGTAAGGAAGTCGCCTCTCCTGAGATGACCTCCGCCGAACTAAAACAACGAGTTAGCAATTCCAAACGAAAAGGCATGAGCGATGAGGAGTTCGAGGAGCTCTGGAGAGGTGCCATTGGTGAAATTGCAGGTCGTGAGGAGGTTGTGACGAGTACAAGGTAAGCATAATTATCTTAGGAGTTTCTTAAGGCTGCATGTTTTCATTTTATATAATGTGTCTTGGGAACATGCTATTCACTTTCTGACCTGGGAATTTCCGACTAACAGTAACGACCACGCATCCACAGTCCAACCTCACCTTCAGGTATCAGATTCAGTTCAACCTCTCTCGCCAAACTCTCCTTCACCTGCGCCATCAAGCGCCACCTTCGACTCTCTCTCGTCGCGTATCGACTCCCTCTTCTCATTTTAGCCATAACATCCTCTTTCTGTATTTATATACGCTCGCGCATTCTCGCTAAACGTTCTGACACTGCGCGCATCCCATCTCTCGTCAGCATGACTCTCGATCGTTTGGCAACACAGGCGGCTCTACACGCTCGTGGTGAAGCGCTGGAGCCCTGGATCTCTATTGGACAACTTCGTGATGACGTGCTTCGGGACGAACTCAAGAGGGCTCGACGAGAAACACTCTGGAACGGAGTAAAAAGGATCGTAGAAGGAAATGCAAATGTCCGGGCGTCTGTGCGCGAAGGACGCGGTGGCGATGTGTCGAGGGTGTGGGAATGGATTGGTGGGATTCGAGCTATTGCTGGCGGCGACTTTGAATCTCCAGCGAATCGACTAGACGGGTCGAAAGTTCGGTTTTCGCTCCCACTGCCTTCGACGCCAGGAGAGGTTGGCAATGAGACCCCTGGTAGTCGAGGGATAAAAAAGTGGGAGGAGGGAAGGGCAGTGTATTAACCCTGGCCCACCAATCCTTTTCACCACCTTTATTTTTCCTAGTAGTATCTTCCTGTACATACACATGCATCAGAATGCCTTTGGACTTGTTTTATAGCCTAGTTGTCAAGGGGCGTGTTTCTTTAGTGCGTTTCTATTATCATAGGCATATCCACACTGCATTCCACTTCATTTGTCATTAAAAAAAAAGGGCCTTTATTCGTAGCGTTAAGGATAAATATAAGTAATATCACATTCCATGGGGCTGTCCTTTGCTATCTTCAAGAGCACTCCTTCATCCTATGTCCACTCAAAGTCGAGCATCATGAAGTAGCACATGAGAAGGTGTTGGAGAATGACTACCAAACCATCTCGTCAGATGGCTAATCTTGAAATCATTTATGCATATAATGGCTCTTAGTCTAAGTGTAAAATTTATAAACAGGAAAGCAATATAATTTTAAATGACAAATATTAGCAATAGCAGAAGTTATTTTATAATTTGCTTGATTTTTCGATCATCTGGCGAGCTGGAGGCAAAACGGGCCAGATCTGGCGCCGCTTTCGGCCCTCAACCCGCCAAAACTTTTCTCAACGCACTCTCTCAGGTACCGTCCACGCACCATCCACGCACCACACCTCGCACCTCGTTGCACCACGAACCCGACCACCCTCATCAATCACTCGAGTGCTCCACCAGTCACCCTGCTTCACCCTGCTTCACCCTGCTTCACCCTGCTCCATCCTGGGCACTCTCTCGACATCGTATTTCCGCAAGCTGGAAATGGCGTCGCATCTCTTTCTGCCTATCTGGCCACGGCCACGGCCACGATTTGCCGTGGCCTGTATGCTCACCCAGCGGCTACATCATGATACACCCTGGCTCGTAAGCAAAACGTGAGCAAAGGGGCAACAAAAATGGTGCCCTTTTGCTTACCTGTCAGGCCCGCCATGATCTGCCAGTGGCCATCTCCTTTCTTCTCTCTGGGATATTTTATTCTGTCCTCACTCTTTCTTTGGGTGATCACTACCAGCTATACCCAGCCAGGTCTTTGATGCTCCTTCTGTGATTGATCCTTCTCTCTCTCTCTTCCATGCTGTCTCTATCTTTACCAAACCAGCTGACAGGATGGCCATCTCTGGAGCAGAGAATGATCCTCTTGCTTTGATCAGTGATGTGGATAGTGGTTTAGATGATGAATACTTCTCAGATGATGAAGGTCATGAAACAGATTATATCTCTGTCTGTGATGATGATGTAGACAAAGATGATCTAATCAATGTGCTGGATGACAAGCATTCCTGACTTCTCAAAGAACTAGCTGATGCATTGAAGAATGATGATGACTGGCTCTGCAATGAGAAGGAGCATTCATCAGAACACTATCTTGAAGAGAAAGTCAATCTTAACCCATCCAGTCTTCAACAGTGATGATACAGCCCAAGGATTCAGAAGAAACTTAACTGAATCAAAGAGCATTGGAAGCAGTGAGTACTTTCTCAAGAACTATTGCTCTGTCTAAGTCCTGTGAGCTAACTAATTGTCTGTCATCATAGATACTGCAAGTTTGTCAAGTGGAATCCTGCTGAAGCATATGATGCTCTCACCATACAGTCCCTGGAAAGATTTTCTCAGCTGGGTGTGTGATCAGCACCAAGGCAAGAATGGGAGATGTTGAGAAATCAAGTGTCTCAGCTCTCTTGAGACATTCTGAAAATGGTACCAGCTTGTCTACAAATGTGAAGCCAACAAGAAGATTGATGAGATGATCATCAGACAGGCTCAGGATGTAAGTGGACTTGCTTGTCTTCCAGTGGTGGTACTGAACTGACCATTTCCTAGTTATTGAAACTCATTGCCGATGAAAAACTCCTCAGCCGTCAGAAACGGGAGAAGGCGACAATGTATGTCCAGGACCTTGTGGAGTATTGCCGTGTACTACTGGCAACAACGGAGATGCTGTTTCTGCTTGGCTGGCTACGCATCCAATTGATCCTCTTCTGCTAGCTTGCTGGGTACACGGGGAATCGACCAGAGGCATTACTGAACCTTCGATACCGGCATTTGCAGTTGACCCTTGTCCGGGACCCGGGGAGTGAGCATCCTCGTCTTGTGATTGAGCTTACCGCTGAGTTCACAAAGGGGTTTCTGGGAATGAAGGATGCGTAAGAACACCTTTGACTATTTTGATATGATAATTCTGGCTGACCACAAAGTAGCAATACATTCCCGCTTCCGGAGGTCATATATGATCCCACACTCATCCTGAGCCCGCATGTCTTACTGCTGGGAATGCTCTTCCACATCAAGGCCTTCCAATCGCCGAACATTGACTGCCCAGAAAATCTCTACAGCCTGAATGTTCTACCAGGCTTAAATGAACAGAGACTGCCACTTCGAGAGGAATTAGCCAATAAATACGTCTTCTGCGAGGCAATCCAACAAGGGGAGGTAGTCAGACTCGCCCTCGATTTGAAGTACTCCTATGGCAAACTGAAGTACCGAATGAAGAAAGGCGGTGAGATCACAGGCTTTTTCCAGATCGTCAAGCCATACGTGCTCCGTAATGGTGCAGCAAAAGCATACAATAAAAGCCGTAGGTGCTCACTGGTTCTCCCTCTCTCTTGTTTCTATGCTAATACCAGGTGATGCAGCGGATGTCAGCGAGCCTCTCCAGAACCTAATCCTTCAACATTCCCGTATTGACACACTTCTAAAACACTACCTTGACCGCAACATCACAGCTGACGTCCTCAGCATCTATCGTGGCCTTGAACCACAGAAGGCTATCATGGACATGCTGTGCTCGATGAGCCGGTCCATTGACCCTCGCCGACCAGCTTCACAAAATAAACAAGATTCTTCTCAAATCCTTAAATCTGCTCCGCAGGCCGGTCACTGGTTGTCCGCCCGCCCACTGCCTCCTCTTCGCAATACAACCTCTTCAAAAAGAGTAGAGAGAAGGGTTGGAGAAAAAGAGAGCAAGGGTCTTTATGAAATCTAAGTGGTGTCAGCACTTCATTGCTGCAGAACGACTACATGATTAGATCCCCTTAGACAAGACAAAATAAAGCCAAGGGTAGTAGTATGTCTCATCATGAACTGGATCCAAGATAATTGGCAGATATATCGTGCGCCATTCTTCTAGGGTAGCATCATTGAAGTATTCTGGGTCCATTCTCACTCGTCGTGCCTTGCAATACTCCCAGTACGCAGGATACCATCCAGCCTGGCCCCAGTCAATAACTGCTGCCACTTTTGGATTCGGTCCCCGCGACAGGAGGATATTGGGTGGGACAAGATCATCATGCGTGAATATAATGGGCATGTTGCTGCTAATTTCAATTCCGCAAGCATCTTGAAACTGCTGGATGGTGTTCGCACCTTGGAATGGCCCGGTAAGTTCTGGATGACACGCAAGAAAGATGTCGTTCAGTGATTGCTTGCCTAGGCTATCTATAATATAGGGTTCCAGGTTAGCTGTGCTTGCATGTTGCTTCCAAGGGAACTCGCTCACTGATATAGTGGTCATGTCCATCTTGCCCTAAAGCCCTCCATGTCTTCACCAGGTGCTTGAGTTCCTTGCAGATAGCTCGTCTCTCATTGTTGCTCATGTCACTCCATCTCTCCTGCAAGGTCTCATCCTCAACCAAGGACATGTAAATAAACCTCTGACCCCCATCCTCAGCCCAGCCAAAGACCTCAGGGACGGGCACTTGGCCTTGCAATTTCTTGCGTACCATCATTTGAGTCTGAGCCTCAACAATAGTTACGTCAGCTCCGTACTTGACGAACAGTCCCAGTGATGAGATCATGACGGGTGGTGGACGGTTGAAGCTTGCGGTGCGGATATTGTCTAACTTCTTGTTGATGGCTCTGATCCTGGCCGGCGTAGGAAGCGCAGGCGCTCGCCGCTCCTTGAAGAAGCTGGATTTGGGAAAGATCTGCATCTGGTTGGAGACGGACGAGTCCTCAGAGCTGGTGCTTAGTTTTCAAGTATCCGCGGTCGACGTTGGATGTAGAAGACGACGCGAGTGAGGTAGGGAGCTCTTAGACTTCTTTTGGGAATGTGTTTGGGGAGAGCTCGCAGGCACATAGTTGCCGAAATCGCCTGGTTTTACAAGGTCCGTTTGTTCGCCTGGCAACGGGTGGCAGGAGAGCATCCCCTGAGGTTTGGCGCTGATAGGGCAAATGTGAGATGCAACGAGTAAACCTGGTCTTTGAGATGATAATTGATCTAAATACAGAAGCAAACCAGGGCGCTGCGAACGAGTTAAATCCATTGACTGGGTGAGTCAGGCTCTGCCAAGCAAAGCCCGCCAAGAATGGCTCGTCATTTGAGCTCCACCAATCCTCAGACCTTCCACTTCGGATGAGTCAGAAATGGGCTAGGCCCAATGTAGCGTAGCGTAGTTATAAGCTTTGGAGCTAGACCCTTACGGGTCAGGTTTTGACCGAATTACCAGAATGGGTTAGTTCAAAACACCAAATTCGCGCTAAAGAACCTTAACAGCACGCGTCTGAGATGATAAGGTAAACTCGCCAGATGATCGTTTACTTGATAAATGACCTAGAAACTATCTTTTAAATGAAAAACAGATGCGCCATACAGTACATACTATAATGATCAGAGTGCAATATCAAGAAATAGCCACCAACATAAAAGTGATGCCAATGGTATTCTACCGTGCATCTCGAAGCAACAGAGCCAGGGTCTTCTACCGTGGAGAGTATTACATGACATTGCAGCAGGCCAGATGTAGTCAATGGGACTTGCCGTTAGATACCGCTGGTGCTTCACCCGGCGCTGGGTACTCGCGTACCACAGTGTCAAAGGCTTGGGCGACGTATTTCACATTGCTCGTGTTCACTGCACAGACCAGTCAGCCAGGCTCTTCGACCATTTCAAAACGGCCTGGGAAGCAAAAAGCGAACTGGGGAGGGGAGGGGGGGGGGCCAGGCGGGGTAGGAAACAGCCCATGTCGGGCCCTGCATGCGAGACGCGGGACGCCAGAACTTACATCCAGAAATCGATACCCGGCCGGAGTCCAGCAGGTAAATGTGATATCTCTCGTTCAGCACGCGCACCTGCTCCTTGGTCAGGCCGGTGTACGAAAACATGCCGATTTGGTTGATGATGTGTTCCCAGGTGCCGGGCGTGTTGAGGCGCTTGAGCTCGTCGTACAAGGCGCGTCGCATCGACTTGATTCTGCTGCTCATCGTGATGAGGTCCTGCTCCCAGTCCTTTTTAAGCTCTGGATCGCCCAGCACTGTGGCGGCGAGTCTGGCGCCTGGTTTGCTTCTTGTCAGTGTTCTCATCCTCCAGGCTGCTGATTGATGCTAGGGACACCTACCGTATGCTGGTGGCGTGGAAATTTCTCCTCTCTGCAGCTCGACGGCCTGGCTGCGCGCCCTCTGAGTGGCATCGGCTGTGCGGCAGACAAGGTGGAACGCACCCACACGCTGGCCATACAGACCCAGGTTCTTGCTGAAGCTCTGCGCGACGCACAGCTCCATGCCACGGGACGCAAATTCTCGAATCGCCCAGGCGTCGTTGTTCAAGTCGCCGGACGCGAAGCCTTGATATGCCGAGTCGAAGAACGGGAACACCCCCTTGCGCTCGCAGAGGTCGGCGATCTTATGCCACTGAGCCCGGGTAGGGTCAATACCAGTGGGGTTATGCGCACACGCGTGCAGGAGGACTACATCTCCCTTGCTAGCTTCTTTCTCTAGAATGCTCATCATGCCATCGAAGTCCAGCGTGCGAGTGGGAGCATGATAGTACGGGTATGTGCGACGCTCGACAGGGCTACCAGTAGTTCCAGAGGAGACCAAGTCCCACAGCAAGTGGTGGTTGACCCATGTTGGGTCAGAAATCCATACTGTTCGTTTCTGTCCCTGTGCAAGAGGAGGGAGGAAATCGGCTAAGAATCTGGCTCCAATATGGTTTGCTCCGGTTCCTGAGACCGTCTGCAGACTGGCAATGCGGTCCTTCTCTACGGGAGAGTCTGCTCCGCCAAACACAAGGTCTCGAGACAGATCGATGAACGGCGAATATCCTGGAATCGGCAGATACTCATGGTCAAAGGTTGGGTCTTCCAACAGACGTTCTTCAGCCTAAAGCTTTTGTTTTAGTCCACATTGCATGCCTTCGCATGACTCAGAGGTCTCACCTTTCTAACAGCAGGCAGCCGCCAGCTTCTCGCCTCGTTGTCTCTATATACGCCGGCCCCAAGGCTCACCTTTTCTGGGAAAGGGTCCGCGCTAAAGACACCCATCAGAGTGAAGACTTCATCGGGAGGGGCAGTGGCCAGCTGCGAGAACAGGCTCTCCGGCTGCATGGGTGCCATGGGAGCGGAATGAGAATGGATACACAGGACGCGAATGGTATGACTAGACGGTATACGTCAGGCGTGTGATGGTCTAAGCTTCGACAGCGGTGGTGACGGGTGGCAGCAGCTTTATCTGGGGGGATTTACAAGGGAATGGCTCGCGTGGATAAAGGGAAAAAAGTCAACGAGAGTGGGCGGCCGTCACCGTTTTTAGCTCCCTTCCTGCGCCGGATCCAACTCGCAGCGTAACAAGCGTCACAATGGGGTTCGGTGGGTGCGGATACCCACGGGCGAGTCGCACAGAGAGCAAGATGCGCCAGGAATCTGGTTTCACAGGGCCAGGGCTCATGCACGGCTGGGATCTGCCTCCGAGTTCCTCGACCGTCTGGCGACCACCCTGCTTTCTGCGGCTGCTGCCGCGCCGAACGCTGTCCCCTTTGCCTGCTGTTTCTCGTCGGAACTTTTCACCCACATCGCCACAGCAAAGGATTTCCTGCGACGGGGCCCGGACCGAGTCTTATGTCAGCAAGCTTGCCAATCAAAGGGCGTCGCGGCTGAACTGCCGGCATTACGCGATCGCCACGGCGGCCTGCTCTGGCTGTTGCCAACAACCTCGGGTGGGCCGGCGAATGGCAGCTGGCAATGTGACAACAGCGCGGCCTGGTAATGAGCCCGCGATACTACTACTACCGCCCATATCGCCGTCCGACTTAGGGCTCAGGGCTAGGGTTTCCCCAAACTCCGATTAATCCCCGGCCCCGGTGCGATCGCGCCTGTCTTCTCCTGGCCTAGCGCCGGTATTTCAGGAGAAGCGCGGCGGCATTTCCTGAAATGGCCGCCTCCAGCCGCCGGTCAGATGACGTGGGTCTTATCGTCTGTGCTTAGTCAGCGCCACCCAGACTAGCGCTCAGAAGATTAGGTAGGGAGCTATGCTGCTGTTAATGCAGGCCGAACCAAGCCGGCATCTAAAAGCAGAGAAAAAATACGACGTCAGAGAGGAGCCCCAGTCTCCCATAGCCGAGCAGGGGACTCCGCATTGCTCTCGTTCTCCATGCGAAACTACGAATGCAAGTCTTATGGTATAACTACTGGAAAAGTTGCTGAGTCCACGAGTGGATTGAGTGGAAATGCCAAAATGATATATACTACACACAATCTGTAGGAATCTACCATCTATTGCGCCGAGCGCTGAGCCGCCAGCCTGCCTAAGCTATCTATTCTTCATAGAACGGGTCGTTGGAAGAGTCCTTCTCGCGAGCGTACTCCAAATAATACGCGATATTGTCCGCCTTCTGGGCATCATAGATATGCTCCACCAACGCCAGTAGCCCATCCATTCCCGCGGTGACCCCGGACGAAGTCCAAATATTCCCATCAACAACCCATCGTGCTCGCCCGATCCAGTTCACCTTCGGGTATAGGGATATCGTTTCCTTGAGAGCAAGCTTGTTTGAAGTTGCATTCCTACCATCCAAAATGCCTACATGAGCTGGTAACTTGGACCCTGTACAGATGGTGAACAGGTACTTTAGTTTTGGGTAGAGATCGTGAATGAGCTTGGATACCGGCTCCCTGATTCTATCATCTCGGTTGCCCGTGCCGCCTGGGACAAGGAGGACGTCGATGCTTTCCGGCAGATTATCGTACGTGTGTGTCGGCACCACGCTCTGAGAGCAGGATCCTTTGTTCCAGGTTAAACCAGGTCTAGGGAGTGGCGTAGTGCTAACGGGTTCCAGCGTCGGCGCGAGAATGAAGAGATTAATGTTCTCTGTGCTGGCGAGCGAGTTCAGAACGTCGAGCGGTCCAAAAGCATCCAACGCCTGGAAGCCAGGGTACAGTACCATAGCATAATTGACCGGAGCTTCCAACGAACACTCAAGTCAGTCAGGAATCTCACGTGCAACCTTGTTGTCAAGGGGGTAAAGACCTGTCCCAGTGGCCGCTGTGTTCTTGCTCATGATGGCGGTTGTGAAATGAACCAGATAGTTCGTATGTCAGGGAGAAGTCCTTGTCCAAGGGCGTATCTATCCAAGCATGTAACTAGATGTTCTGTTAACACATGGCGATACATGCAATGCAGAAGGAAATTCCAAATTAAGCAAAGGTATCATAAACACATCAGTGACTAGAATTCATGATCCAAGACGAGCCGTCCGACAATCATATATACATCTAAGGATATTCTCGTTTAAAACCACGCCGCTTACAAACGACTGTACAGGTACATATTCAAAGTAAAAAGGCGGTCGCTGTGCAGGTCGGTGGTCCGTATTAAAAACCGGAGACAGCCAGCGGCGCTGTTGCGGGGGTATGAGAGATAGTTGTCAACTTACCTAGTAAGCACACCAGGGGGCCGCCAGGAGTAGATGAATTGCTATATACCAACAGATAATTTTCAAATTCTATACTCTGTGGAAAGCAGGAAAGGAGGTTGTTCTTGTTTATATACTCGGTTTCTGGGAATCAACTCCGAAGCCCAAAACCCCCTCCTTCGATGACTAAGACCGGCGTTATGAATGTGCGACTGCGCGGTAGAACGGAGCGACTACGCGACGACTGGGACGAAAAGAGAAAATGAATGAATGTGTTCATATCCTTGAAGGGGAAATTGTGGCGGATGGTCTCTGCAAGGCGCAGGGACGGAGAATCCTGTATTACTTAGGTATGTGAAAAGAAGGCAGATCCATTATGTCCGGAGATAACATCCAGTAGACTCCATATGAACCAGAAATTGGACGCGCCTTCATGTAAATTCCACCAGAGGAAGACCCCTCTGTCCAACTGCAGCGTTTACATCGCCACGAATTCTATGCAGAGCACTCTTCCAGGCATCTAGTGACTTGCTTTGCTCCGCTTCCGAAAGCCCGTCAGCGTCTTCGTCCGTATCGTCACTGCTATCCAATAACCAGTCCAGCCACTTTACGACGGCGACAGCCTTCGCTACGTCTCTTTCTTCAAGAATTACCCGCCTTAGGTATTTCGCGAGGGCACTCACGTCCTCTTCAAACGGCCCCTCAGCCTGGAAGGAATTATACCACTCACTCATTGCATCGCGCAGGTCTGGAAGCGACGACAGTTTTCGTGAAGTAAACGTCGGTTTGGGTGGCGGAGGCGCAAAGTGTAGGAGCTTCTGCTCTGGTGGGCGCCCTGCAGGTTTAGGTGCTGCTGGTTTCCGCGCATCGGGTATGTTGAGTCCTCCTCGCTTCTGCAATCGGGCTCGTTTTTGCTCTTCGACGACCTCGCGGCGAATATCCTCCGGCAAAGCTGCCAGGAAATCTTCCGAGATACTCTCTATACCTTCGTCAATGACCGATGATCCCCCCTGATCCTCGTCGACTGGAAGTGACGTGGATGGAGATGGTCGGCCAAGTATAAAATTGGACTGCATCAAAGTAGCATTTCCTCTTCCTTTACTGGTGGTTGGCCGGCTGTGGTCTCGATTAGCCCGAGATTTTGTGGGAGTAGTACTGGCTTTGGATCGCTTCTTTTTTGATCCAGCTGAAGGCCGAGGTGGACTGTCAGATGATAGCCCATATTGGGCCAACACTTCCGCACGTACATCTTCCGGTAAAGCATCTAGAGTCTCCAAATCAAGCTGAGATCGATGGGGCAACGCCACTGGTGATGCAGGTTTAAGAAGTCTTTTGGAAGGACTCTCTGACTCCTGGAGAGTGGGTCGTGGACGTTTACGCATAGATACTAATTTTGACCTGATATCCCCAGGAAGCTCTGCAAGTGCTTGCGAGTTGACTTGGGAAGGCAAGATAAATTGTGTTCCAGTGACGTTAAGCGGTTTCTGGGATTCGTCAGTAAGAATAGGGGCATTGTCTACGAAGAGATGACATTCTTGTTTCTTTGGAGTCGTTATTTCGTCTAGGTCTGAAGACATTGCCCGTTTCCGGGGACTCGAGACGCCGAAGTCTAATTGACGCTGGCTGTTCTGCATCTCGCCAGAAGCGTCGTGTTTTATCGGCTCCAATTTTGTCATTTGGACTCCAAGTCCTCTAAGGTCTCCTGGCGCAAAATTGAAGTGTCTCAGGATAGCGACGGCTTCTTTGCCAAGTTTGTCATTGGAGTTTGTGGCGACTCCCAGTACAATGCTTTTGTTGAAAGTATCGCACTTTCCATGCCCAAGATGTTTTGGGGGCTCTAGAGGAGCATCAGAAGACCTTCGCATGATTCTCATCGTTAACTGCTTCCCTTTAACTCCGTTTTCCACAAGCCTTCGGTGCAGCTCATCGCACAGATTGCACACAAACTGCTCTGCTTGCTCTTGGGTAACGAAGCGGATTCCCCAGTTGATCTCTGCTGACACGGATTTCCGAGGGGTAACATCTCCAACTTCAGAATGATCTATTCCCCGCGCATATTCCCATAATTTCATGCCGGTCTTAGGCCCCATATTCGCAATAAGTCTTTCTTTTGGTAGCTGACGAATATCCTTGACAACTTTGATGTTCAATTCTCCGAGCTTGGCTCCCAGACTGTACGCCACACCTGGAAGTTGTTGGACTGAAATATCACCGATGAAGTCAAGCACATCTTCTGGCTTTAATTGAAACTGGCCTGCTGGTTTTGCTTTTCGTAGCGCCAATTTGGCTTGCAGGATGTTTCCACCAATTCCCACGGATACTTCGCATCCAGTCTGTCGTTTCACTGAATCACGTAAACCATGAGCCACCTCATCAGCTTTCGCTTGTTCTCTCCAGATAGAATCTTCGGATGCTGCTCCTCTTCCATCAGAGCCAGCTGCGTCAAAACATAAATTGGAAATATCTATGAATGCTTCATCAATACTGACACTTTGAATGATTCCTTCAATGTCGAGTATGGCCTCGTAGAATTTTCGGCTAGCATCCTCATAAGCGGGAAAGTCGTATGGTAGCACCGTTAATTCAGAACACAATTTTAAGGCACCTTGCATCCACATGCCATTCTTAACTCCAAATGCGCGAGCAGGATAGTTGCAACTAGCTATCTCGGAACCGCCGCCTGAGCCATGTGCGATTGCCACTGGCTTGTCGACTAGGTGCGGATGCTTTCTGATTGAAACAGATGCAAAAAAGCAATCGAAATCAACATGAAGAATGTATCTTCGATCCCTAAAAACACCCTTTTTAGCTACAATAGTCGGTGGGATTTTTGAAAGTGTTGCTTCACGAAGTTTTGCTTTCAACTCGGCTTTCCATGTTGATAGATGGTGAAGGCGGGACTCTCTGTAATATTGCTGGATGAAATCGGGGTTCACAACACTCGAATTTCGCATGAGCGGGTTTGAAAGAAGGTGCTCATTGTATTTCTCGGAAGTCATCGGCACGTCAGCATTGTTCTCCGACAAGCCAATGACACCAAGGGAGTCTGCTCGCCGCAAAGGATCAGCTAGAGAAACATTATCCTCATCTAACTTCTCAGTTTCCAGCTGTATAGGGTCATTCGTTGTGGGATTCGGGTGTGAAGGCGAGGCTGTAGGGCCTTTCCTATTATCGATCGCCCTAATAGAAACATCTTGTTGGGATATCTGGGAGTTATACCAACTTGACTTTGTTTGGTCGCGGTAGCTGGACGACTGGCTCTTGTGTTGGCTTAGGATTTGACCTTCATTACCGAATCTCAGGACTTTCTGGGAGACACCGCCATCTATTACTCTGAACGAGTCCCATGGCAGAAGCTTTCCAGCTTCTACACTTTCCACAACCCATGCTGGCTTTACTATGCGATATTTGCGAAATTCTTCTCGTTTCTTAGGGGTTAACGAGCTCGCGATTATATGGGTTGCGGCAGTCTTTCCATCTAGGTACTGTAGAAACCCACCGCCATGACTAACTATAAGCCGATGAAGATCATTGAGAGACGGTTGCGTATAGCCATTGACATGTGCCACAACCCCCCGAAAAATCGGCGGGTTGTTGGGTGAGGTGGTTCGTATCTCAGCATCCAGATTCTGCAGTTTCAGCTTCTTGCGCCGGAAATAGTCCCCAAACCCCCCAAAGTTGGATGCCCCATACTCTTCGCCATCTTCTCCATCAAAAGTATCTAATCAAGAAGTTAATCTGGAAATATACCCTACTTTAAGGGTAGAATCCTCACGATTCTCGATCCTTTTGCGAACTGTGCTGGAACCAGATTCCAGCCGAGAGCCCATGGTGGGGCTGAGGGTCCAAAAAAAGCATTACCAGATAGCTATAGCATTATAACAAAATTCGAAGGAAAAAGGTGGCTCTTCTAATAATTTTCCCGCCGTTCAAGCAACACGACCTTGTACCAAGCGTGAGACGGACGCGACCTCGCCCAAATCCAAAACACGGTCATGTGATATTTATTGAGAATTCATCACGTGGGCGCTTATGGCGATAAAGTTTGGGTTCCCAGCTTACTAGGCCAGAAACCGAATAGCGTGATGGAGCGCAAAGTTGTAAAGCTCGCAGAGTTTGTTTACTTCGAATTTTTTTTTCTCAGTTCAGCTTATATCGAGTTTTCTACTTGATATCACCTTTTCCGATTACTAGTTTAGGATAGCGAGGGGACATATTTTCTCTGTCTTTCAGATTTCTGCAATTATGTCCGGAATTCAGCCTGTGGCCCTCTATGCGGCCAAGGTCCCGCCTGGCGGTATCCTCATCCCTGCAGCGCCAAATGCCTCTGCAATGGTATATTGACCCTTATATCACGAGTATATCGCAATTATTATGCTAATTGAAACTACCAGCTGCGCATTACTATGGCTGCTATTGATCCAGATGCTTTGCCGGAGTTTGAAGACCACGAAAGTTCTAATAAGGTCCCAAGAGCAACCTTGAAAATCGTTCGACCTCCTCCGGGTTTAGACCTAGATGATGATGACGACGGGGATGAGGATGATGACTCCGACGCCGAGGAAGACGAGGAATCTAATGATGAAGTAAATGGTGGACCAAGTGACCCTGCTAAAGCTAAGATGGCTAAGACGGCTGCTTTACTTAAGAATTTGGAAAATTTCAGTGACGACGAAGATCATTCCGACGACAGTGAAGACATTCAAATCAAGGCTGCTCTTTCAAGGATTATGAAAGGAAAATCCAAAGCCATGGATGACGATGCCAGCGAGGACTCTGATAGCTTGGAATTGGAAGAGGTAGTTGTGTGTACTCTGGACCCGGAACAGGTATGGCTTGTTCATATTACCAAATTCTCTTGATCACCGACACTTGCCTGACTTGCTCCTGCATGTAGATGTGCCAGCAGGCGCTTGATTTTGTTGTTGCCGAGGATGAACGTATTTTTTTCAAAGTGACTGGCACTCATACCGTCTATCTTACCGGAAATTATGTCACTCCACTAGATGAGAATGAACCTGACGAGGATGACGATGATTATGATCTATCACCCGATGAGGATGAACTTGGTCTCATGGAGGAAGATGACGAGAGTGATGAACTTGATGACATGGAAGATCCTCGCATTATGGAAATCGACACAGACGAGGAGCAAGCTCTCTCGAAAAAGACTGGCAAGGGTAAGAACAAGCGCGCCGCTGAGGATTCGGATGAAAATCTTGATGATATGATGTCAAAGGCGATGAAACCAGATACAAATGGAGAGCAAAAACTCAGCAAAAAGCAACAGAAGAAACTCAAGAAAAATAATGGCGACGCGGCTGAAGTGACACAGAAAGCTCCCGAGGCTAAGCAGGCAGCAGCAAAGACAGATAAGAAGGTGCAATTCGCGAAGAACCTGGAGCAAGGCCCGACTAATTCTACTCAGAAAAAGAATGGACCAAACGCGACAGATGGCACCACCGGCACCCTGGGTGTCAAGGAAGTTCAGGGTGTAAAAATCGAGGACAAGCGTCTGGGAAAAGGCGCCGCCGCTAAGAAAGGCGACAGAGTACAGATGCGATACATCGGGAAGCTTGAGAACGGAAACGTCTTTGACTGTAGGTTATCTTTTTCAGCTGTTACAGTGATTCTGTTACTCACCTTTTATGCTATAGCGAACAAAAGCGGAAAGCCATTTTCATTCAAGCTTGGCTCGGGCGAAGTGATCAAGGGATGGGATATTGGTGTGGCTGGAATGGCTGCTGGTGCTGAGCGAAGGATGACTATCCCGCCACATCTAGCGTACGGGAAGAAGGCGTTACCCGGAATCCCGGCCAATTCCAAACTCATTTTTGACGTGAAGCTGCTCGGCATCAAATAGTCGGGCCTTCTCGCTCGCCGCCCCTTGCTCCACTCGCCAGCACTGCATGGCTGTCCGTTCTCTGCCCTCATAATAGCGGTAGTGGTATTCATATTATTCTTCGGAACGGTTTTCTCGCCCTAGGAGTTCTCGCTCCTTGACTTCGAGATGGTTATTTGTGCTTCGAATTGAGATATCCATTTGTACCTGGCCTTGTAGAGGAGGTTGGACCGGGCCCAGGTTATCGCTGAACATACAGTTTGTTAAAATTCTACAATAGTTAAAAGATATTGAAACTAGTTGTGTTCCCGATAGACGCTCAAGAACCGTAGCCCTAGTGCTGTTGACTCCTGTTTCATTCTTTATGGCATCTCTGCTAATATTCTGTCTCAAGCTAGAGTCGAACAGTGGGCAGCTTCAGCGTCTACCGGTAGTTCTGCCTCGGGCACACGGCAACCGTCATCTAGGGCGTCTTCGCTTTCCGTAGGCCGCTTGCTCCTTCTCAGAAAACGCGCCGCTGGTAGCAATTCTGCCGGTGTCGCAGCTTTCTCTCTCTCTCTCTTTCTCCCCCTCTCTCTTCCTGTCTGTCTTCCTTGCTCTAGCGGCCTTTTGGGCTACTCCATGAGTAACCCATTCTTTATATGCTGTGACCTTACTGTTCGATATTGGGGCCGAGTCAGCCTTTCTCGGCTCCTTACCTTTCGTTTCATCTATCTATAGCTTATCCCTTTCGCCAATCCATCATGATCATTTTCAGGAGCAAGACTGCCTCCAAGACATTCTTTGAAAGCACAGCGCCACAGCACGCTACTAATATTGTTGTAGGATCTCTGGAGCCTTTGGATACGTCGGTAACATTGACGTCCGGCACGTTAAGTCGGAGGTCTCGAAGCAGAGGCACCGTTCGAAGCTTCTTAAGGAGGAGTGGCTCAAAGCTGTTGTCAATGCTGAAATTTCGTAGCTCTGGAGGCTGTATAGGTATGTTCTCCCCCTATGTGTCTAACTACGCAAGCTCACTACTTTTCAGATGATAGACCGTTGCCTATATTATCAGCCGAAGGTGTCGACCAGGAGAGTGCCGTCAGTAACCAGGATAGCCCATCTTGCGTATTGTGCGAAGAACTTCCCACTCCGGATACCTTCCCGTCAGTGCCAGAGAAATGCTCGATATCACTGAAATTACTCCAGACCCCAGTATATTCGTCTCGTAATAGCAACGCCCATACCAACAAAAACCGTTCGGACTGCAACAGAATCAACCTGGAGGATGCGAAGGATAATCTAGAGAAATATGTTACTCGACGACATTCCAGCCCCGGCTTAGCTTGTTTACTTCGACATAAGCCTACCACGATATTTGGGCCTCCAACTGTCATTCATCGTGCTAAAATGAGCCAAAGACCGAGCATATGCGGGTTTTCGTTCACATCTCCATCTGCGGTCGCGCCTAATTTACAGAATTTGGGGGACAACGCTCAAGACGACTCAGACTCGTCGTCCCTAACTCGAACTGCAACCAATTCATCGCCGCGCTCACAGTCAACCAATCCAACGTCTGACGGCGGCCCTTTAACGCCACCACCAAAGTCTGATAAAAACAATGGAGCTAGCTCTTCAGATTCCAATGTATCTAAGGACGAAGCATCACAACCTGATGAAGTGGTGCCTTCCATTGTTACTGTGGAGGCGGCGGCGGCTGCCAAGGTTTATTTTGAAACGTATTTCAATGAGCTGTTATCTGGGGAGTCACCGCGCTCTCAGCGCCAGCACGAGCTTGAAGAAAAACTGTATATGTTGCAGCTTAATTCAGAGCAGTATATGAGAGCGAAGCGAGCTTGGTACCGGCAGGAAAATGATCATCTCCGACAAGATCGGGCCTTGAAAAGCTGGTCGAACTCTCCGAGGCTACGGGAGAGCATGTCTATAGCTGGTTACGAGGTCATCAAAGTCCTTGGAAAGGGGAGTTTTGGAGTTGTCCGCCTTGTGAGGGAAACTTTGGCACCGCAAGAGACCCCCCAAGGCTCAGACTGTTTCGGAGAGCAAAGCCATGGAACGTTAGAGACGTTGAAGTCTGCTATTGATGGGGCAAGGTATTCTCGTCGTAAGCCTTTATGCCATACGAGCAAAGAGGTGTACGCCATGAAGGTTATTCGAAAATCAGATATGATACGGAATTGCCAGGAGGGTCACTTAAGGGCAGAGCGCGATTTCCTTGTTGCATCTGCCAAATCTCGATGGATTGTGCCCCTTGTAGCCAGTTTCCAGGATGTTCACAACCTCTACCTGGTCATGGATTATATGATTGGCGGAGACTTTCTCAGCTTGCTGATCAGGAAGAACATTCTAAGCGAAGATGTCACAAGATGGTATGTGGCCGAGATGATTTTATGTGTGGAAGAAACGCACCGCTTGCGATGGATACACAGGGATGTCAAACCAGATAATTTCCTCATTTCTGCATCTGGGCACCTTAAGATATCTGATTTTGGTCTTGCTTTTGATGGGCATTGGTCTCACGACCAAACATATTATATGAACCAAAGGCAGTCCTTGATGTCAAAATTGGGGATACTTGTTCAAGGCGACCACAAAGACCGCAAGGCTGCCGAAAAGGCAGCCCAAAAAGCCACCGCTGCTGCGTCGAGTTCGGAGTACGAGAAGGGGGAACTTGAAAAGGACCTAAGGCAGGGTCCTTTCATTCCTAGTCCTGGCCCGAATGACGATATTATCCGCTGGCGGAACAGAAAAGAAAGACGGAAACTCGCTAGAAGTGTTGTAGGCACCAGCCAGTATATGGCACCTGAAGTTATTCGAGCAGAACCTTATGATGGGAGGTGTGACTGGTGGAGCGTGGGTGTCATTTTATATGAGGTGTGTGTCTCTACACATCGCGCTAGATGCAGCCCAAGTATATTTGCATGAACTAATATTAACAGTGCTTATACGGGTTTACTCCATTTTCTGGAAAATCAAGGGATGATACAAAGAAAAAAATACTTGTTCGTACCTTGACCCTGCCAATTCCCACCGTTTCTAATATTTTCTTAGAATCACTATCAATCGCTGTATTTCCCTACCGATCGATCTTCGGACAGGCTTGTTTCCGATGACGCTGTTGACTTGATCATTCGAATGCTACAAGAAAAGGAATATCGCATTTGCTCTGAAAAATACATGTTGAATGATTTCGTCCACTCTGGCAGAATTCCAGGAGAGCTAATCGACTACCCAGCAGATCGGACTCACAAGAATTATCGTGGTTACTACGTATACCCTGACGATGCGAGCGACATTAAAAACCATCCATTCTTTCGGAACACAAGATGGGACGAAATACTCTATCGCGCCCCTCCCTTTATACCCAAGGTCAAAGGCTGGGAAGACACAAGGTACTTTGACTGCGAGCACATTAGCGATGTACAAGAGAAGTCTAGTGAAGAAGCTCCTCGTGCCGACGAAATCAGATCGCAGGAAAAGAAGGCGTCAAAACATGACAAATCACAGCTCGATGGCCCTAGCGGAGAATGTAACTCCAGAGATAGGTCCAAAAATGTTACGCATGGCGTAACTACAAGTGTTCAAAATAAACCGCAGAAAAAAAGGCGAGGCTGGAAACGGGCAAGAGACAAGATATTGCGAGACGAGCAAACAGGAAAAATAGCCTTAGATATGAGAAAGAGAAATGCCTTTTTAGGATATAGCTATCGACGTCCTAAGGATGTTTTGCTCGCTGTTGAACTAGACCCGCATCGGCCTCTTACTCGCGCTAGGTAGGGTACATGCCTTGCCTCCCTTTTTATGCCGCTTTTCGATTCCAAAAGTCATCTCTGCTCTCACACGTGTTTATAGATGCCGGCTCATGAGCCGGTCTTTTTGGGTACTCGTTGATTGAATACATGAAGAGGTGCAGCTAGAGACTGCTGTGTACGGAGTAGAAGTACAAAGAATTAAGTTATTTTTACTGTTATCCTCTTAAAAATAGAGAAGAGCGGACGCGCCTTCATCACACCCTGAAAAATATACCCCCGCTATGCATATTTTAAGAGAAACTAAGTGATGACAACAGCATTGCTCGACAGATACATTTGCACAGATTATCCGGGAGGCGTAGAGTATTTCAAAAAAACAGTATCAAATGGGAATAGATAGTGAACATATGCAGACAACACCTTTACGGTCATAGAGATGGACCATTCATGGAGCAGGAGCACCCATCATAAAAGCAGTTGCATTCCCACTATCTTCAGCTTTCATAGTGCCATTGAGAAGGGGACACAGCCTAGAGAATAATCGCAATTAGCTATGTGGGCATCTCGGTAAGTAATCCAAATGCTCTTACTTTTTATTGGTCTTGATATGTCCAACTTGTCCACAGTTGGCACATTTGCGCTGCGTAACGCCTTTGGGGGCAGAGTTGGTGGTGGGTGAGTTGGCGGCATCGGGAGAACCTTCACGAGGATCGATCATTAGGGATTTTTGCTTTTCACGGGCATGGCGACGTTCTTTGTTACGCTGGAGGCGCTGTAGTTCTTCTTGGATGCTGTAATAGCTAAGTAAGTATCTGTTTATATTTGAATGGCGGAGTTAAGACATACTGCTTCATACGGCGGGCATCGGTTTCAGGATCTCCAGTAGGCACCATATCAGCAGCACTTAATCGATTAACATTAGCAAACGGTATATATGCCTGAATGGAGAAGTCACGTACGATAATTCCCTAAGTTCTGCTTCATACCGCTGTTTCTGATAATGCTTGATCACTCTTGGATCTTTAACAATCTCCTGGACTTCTTCAATTTTTCCTTTCGAGTTTCTGATACGACGAGTGATCCTCATCACCTTATTGGTTTGGCTTGAAGTGCTCAATCTACTAAATTGACTTGTGGTCTCATCGTCACGACGAGTTGGGAGAGGAGTACGTCGATCTGATGCGGGTTGTTTGCCAAGCCTTGTCGCGCGCTCATCAACATCCATGTCACTTTCGGCGTCGGAGTGTTCGATATTGGACGATAAACTGTTCTTTTGGCCATCCCAAATTCTACGAATGGACTCTTCGTATGACTTTTGCTGTCGTGCAACATTATAACTGTGCCCACCGAGTTCCTTGAGCCGCTGGGCGTCGAGTTTGTCCTCAACACTTTCACCCACAGCTCTGAACCCGCCTTTCATGGAAGTTTTGATAAAACTGAACCCTTCTCCTCGGCCGGTAGGGTCTCCCTCGCCATGAAGCTGTAGCATTGCTTTGCCTTGCGAAGCAAGAAGGAAATTTCTAGTTGCTTTCCAAGGAGCGAGAAGTTGTTCCAAGCTATCACCTTCTTTATCTCCGTCATCATCGTCGTCCTCCTCGCGGTCATATCCAGCATCGTGAAGATGCTGCAAGCCAACTTGCATTGACTCTAGAAGGCATACGTCTTCGGGCTTCACGTATCCCCGCAGAACGTCCTCATCAGGCACTGGCTCCCCATTTCGCATTTCCCACTCTTTATGGTCTTTTGAAAATTGTAAGAACTCCTTCATTTTCTGGCGATTCTGCATGTCAGTCGACTCGGGAAAATGCTCAGTGATGTCAGCAACACTAATTCGATGGGTCTTGTTCCTTCTGATCTTGCGATAACAAACCATCTTGAGGCGGTTTTTCGCTGCAGTTGTAACTTTACGTGAGTGAGGCCCTGGAACGTCAACTGACGGAAACTGTTGCCCCACAACATAAAGGTGTTCTATTTTTCGTAAGTAATAACTAGAGCCATCGACGCCTGTACTGTTCCTAGCAACGAGGAAGTCGGTTCCCCGCGGTTCTTGACGAAATATAGGGGCTCGAAACATGCCTGTGGCAATAGCATTCGTAGTTTCCCCCGGTTCTACATGGCCGAACGTAGAGAACGGACTTTTATCCTCAGGAAGAAGCACCGCAGTCTCCCCGATTTCTCCCTTGGGCCGAAATCCATCGTCAGCGTTCTTCTTGCGGTAATAATTGATGACTCGGCTTCCCATGCCAAAATTGGACATCATCATTGGGTGTTCTTCAGAGTACTCTAATAACAAAACGTGAGAATTGTCACCTAACGATAAACATTTTGTAGAATCATAAAGTGTTTTGGCGTCTTTGCCTCTTTGATGTTTCCGTTTGATGAAGGCGGGCTTCTTGAAAGAAGTCGGAAGGTTCGGAAAGAAGTTCAGAACTGGGCGGTGAAAAGAGCGAGCTTCTTGCCGGGCAAGTCTCGTCTTATAATAAGGCCATTGCAGTCGAATAGCGGGCATGCTATGCTCCAGCACAATATTACCCAAGGTACTGCGGATTTTCTTATGATGGTTTTCTTTGAGCATCCGATAGGCATCATCATTCGAAAAGTTGTAGCGTTGCATAACTCGTCTTGTAAAGCTTCCGGGTATTTCATTAGCAGTCCCTGCTCCTCCATATTTTGATTCCTCAACGGAATTCTGTGGTAAAATTTCGTCCACCAAGAGATGCGGATCATTTAGATCGAGAATGATACGTTTAGCAAGTTTTGCAGAAGTTCCTGCAGGGTCATCGAATAGAGGCAAATCAATATGTGAGAGGGAAAGATAATCGGCAGGGCTCTTTTCTAGCTTCCGCTTTTTGGTAGGACGGGATGTCTCCAGTAGCCAGTCATCGTCATCATTATACTCATCATTTAATTCACCACTAGGGATCAGAGGGGCCTCATTGGTCTCCTCTTCGTCAGAAACAGTGTCCTTAAGATCCCAATCAGTACAAATGAATTGTAAATCTTGCATTGTTACTCCCCCGGGAAGTTTCTCATCCCAGTCGTCCTCATCCAAGTCTAGGATATCGCTAAGACAGTCATCATTATTCGCAGGAGGGGTCATGACAATAGTGTTGGGCACTTCTGCTTCTAACACACGTCTTGTTGAATTACCGGAAGAGCAAAAAATTCGCTCCTGATCCTGCGCCAGCTCTAGTTTTAATTTTGTAGGGAGTACCTTTTTTGGAGGTTTGAGAGGGGTCTTTCCAATATAATGTGATTTTTTTGGTGGAAGGAGTTCCAAGAAACGTGGCATAGCATTGCGGTCAAATTTAGGCCATAGTGATGCTAATAGTTCCTCGTGATTTTCAGGAGGTGCTGGTGGGTTATCCGGACCGTAAGCAGATAATGCAAAGAGAGCCTGTTGTAGCTGGTATTGCCTCAAAGTTTCTGGGTCCATATCAGTCGGCGTTGGGGATCTTTCTTTATCGCCATCGCCAAACATGGTATCCATTTCATCCAACGGCGAGTTTAGCGCGGAATCGTCAGGGGGCAACAGCGCCTCTTGCGAGAGACCGAAGGTATCGGGTTTACTTTCTCCTCCAGCAATGAGTGGTAGCGGCGCATCCCCGAACAGATCGTCAAGCTCGTCGCCAGCGGTTGGCTGATGGAACTGCTGTTCGAGATCCGTTGTAAATTCGTCCCAGCCCTTCTCATCATCCTGAAACTTGTGCTCTCCAACTTGACCAAAGGACGGCGCTTCATCTGGAAGGTCATCATCGTCGTCAATATCTTCGTAGTCAACCGCATTTTCCGCCTTTTCTCCTGGCTCTAGGTCTCTGGTCAGAAAGTCAAGCTCTTTCGTGTTGGTAGGGGAATTCAGTTCCCTCATAAAACTGTCAAAGGGGTCGACTTGGGTCTCGAGGCCACCCGATTCCGTGGATTTAGACATATTGGTAGGCTTTTATCGACACTGCGCCAACGATCTAAACGAGAGCAGCCGGCCGACTGACTGTGGTGGAATGTGAGGTTGGGTGGCATGGGCAGTTTCGCGCGATCACCTAGTGACATTTAGTTGTCGATAGCTAATGCAAAGGGACGTAATGATCATCTTAAAGGTTCCACAGGAATAAGACATCAAGTAGACCAGCAAAACCTCTGCTGGCGCCTGAGCTGTAAAGGAAAGCGGACCTTGGTATGTGAGAAAGCGGCCGGGGAGTTAAAACCATATCACGTGCCTAAAAGTTTATGCCAAAGCTTGGGCGTCGACAAGTTGTCAATGCAACATTCATAGTATTGATGCTCAAGTGAATAGTACTCTGGTGCACATTGCCAGTGCTGAGCTGCGCTGTTTCTTTTATTGTTCTTCGAACTTGAAGTCGCCATAATAGATACAAAGTGCTTTGCTCGCCCCATCCATACAATAATGCATTGTCATAACTCTATTCCCATCCTTTACGCAAGCTGCCAGCTGTCTCAAGTCGGAACTTCTCGGCAGGAACAGTGCCATGTCTGCCGTAAAGTCTGAAAATCTCGAATAAATAAATTCCAATGAGTAGGGTTCCATGGTAGAAAGGTTAAAGATTTCATCGGAGCGGTATCCAGGCCCTGGAACAGCTTGTGAGCAAGTATGTATATAATTTTTTGCGTGGATTCACTGTTGACTTACCGCCCCAAGGTGGGCTGGCAAAGACCACGCTATATGGTGCCAGTTCTTTAAGGTTGTTCTTCAAGATGTCGAAGCAGTCGCCCTGGAACCAGGTGATTTGGTCTGCCACCCCATAGATCTCTGCGTTATGCTTTGCGCACTGAAGAACCGCAGGGTCTTTCTCAATTGCGTAAACTCGCCTCCACCTGTTAGAGCGCGCAAATGCGATCGAATTACCCCCGGCGCCGGCGAAGGCGTCTATCAAAATGCTCTTCTTTTGAGGGCTTGCGCTTTTCATATGCTCTGCTATTTTACTTTGTTTTTTGGTCAATTAGCCCACTCTTCACTTCATCTGCATTTTATATAGCTACTTCATGATAATAAGTCATTTCGTACTTCGCAACAGGTTCAGGAGTGACCCCAAACCAAGCCTCGTCTGTTAGCCAGACACCATCGTCGTATTGAGAAAAAATATTATAGCGCTGGGCCCAGTAACTAGCACAAATTAATACTTTTGATAGCTGTACAGAAAAAGAGAATGCTATACTTCTGAATATCCCAAGGTACCTCCGCACGGTTTTTATAATGCTTCACCTCCGGGGGAGGCATCTCGTCATCGGCCATGGTGTTCCTCCCTTGAATTTTGTGGTGATCGTGAGCTTCTATGTCTGTGTTTTGTTGCGAAATTCAGAAACTGGAACACCAGTTGAGCTGATGTCACCACATTCCTTTGCAACACCACATCATTCCAGGGCGAACCCTTCTTGACAGCACCTGCAAACGACACTTATATCATACAGCGTGCTGAAATTACTTCCTTGTTACTTGTCTTTCAGTATGTTCGGCGCGTTGAATCGCATTATTGGCAGACTTGATCCCGAAGCATCGAACCCGCCTGGCGGAACTACTGGAGACAGTGCATATGGCTTTCAGGTACTGCGAAATACGGATCCCGACCTTCCTCTAGAGCCTTGGTTTGATTTCATCATCGGTATAAATAGTCACGCTATAGTAGGGAACTGTCGTCCCTTCTTGAAGGAAGCTAAACTCATGTTTAATCATGGACAGGATAATCCCGACCCTCACCTTTTTTCAACAGAAGTGCGCAATTGTGCAGGGTCCAACGTCACATTGGAGGTGTGGAGTGCAAAGGTACATGCTTGAAGCTCTATTTTGACGTACTCGTTTCTAAGGGATATTTCTACGCAGGGCCAGCGGACACACAGCATACACGTTCCCGTTCCATCAGAAAAGCCCACACTTGGTCTTTCCCTCCAACTCGCACCGCTCTCATCAACACAACATATCTGGCACGTATTATCCATCCCTTCGCCTTTAAGCCCTGCATATGTAGCTGGCCTTCTACCGCATTCGGATTACATCCTGGGAACACCGAGTGGGACGTTGAAAGGCGACGCGGCGCTGGGAGAGCTTGTTGAAGATCATCTTAACAGAAGTCTCACATTATGGGTATATAATAGTGAATTTGATGTTGTCAGGGAGGTAGAAATAGTCCCGAATCGCAATTGGGGCGGGGAAGGCGCTCTCGGAGCCGAGCTAGGCTACGGGGCTCTTCATAGACTTCCCGTTGGTTTGGGAGAGGAGATTGAAGGCCCAGGAGAAGTCGTATTTGATACAAGACAGGGCGGTGCACATCTCGCTATACAGAGCCCGATTCCTTCTTCTGAGGGACACTTTTTGGTTCCAGCAGAGATGACATCTCCACCTCCGCTATGGACACATACCACAACGCCCAGCCCTCAGAGCGTGTCTGGAAAACACGGACGGAAACCTCGCCACCCACACGCAGCGCCGGCATCTTTAGATGACTACTTCCGTGAGGGTGAGCAGCAGAGTAAAGAGCAGGACTTTGTCCCGGCACAAGCTGGAACTTCAATTCCTCCTCCACCCAAAGCTGCTGAGCCGGCCAATGGGCCTCTAACGTCGCCTGACAAGGAATATGCCCCAATAACATAGCTTTGAACATACATATTTTTAGCGTTGCTGACAGGGCAACAAAAGCTCGTACATTCTCCTTGCGATGGGCGTTATCGATATCTATGCTAGATCGAGTATGTATATACGTACATACCTCTATACTTTTAAGTCACGAATGTAACGGTGATAATAGTAAAGGATAATATGCAAGTTTAGCCTCTAGATTCTACTACAGTACATTTACAGAGCAAGCCAAATACGGGAGAACCATGGTTTTAGAACTAGGTCAAGTCTATTTTCCTTTGCTTATCCATGCCTCCAGCGTTTCTCGGCCTTCACCGACTTTGTCCTCCAGCCATGTTCTGGCGTAACCACGGTGGGCAACGGCTTGGTTCCAGGACTCCTCTGCTGCAGCGCGAATTTTCACATGCTGTTCTGCAACGGCAGGAAATTTCTTCTCATATTCCCATACAAAATCCGAGATATTACGCATTGTGACGGGTAACAGTGTCCACGCAGCAATTGTACCTGCAGCCACCGGAGTAGCGGTCCGAAGTAGGATGCCACGGTTCCGCGAGATAATCGACCCAGCCATCGCCGTTACAAGGACATAGATGCTCCCAGGAAGAAGGCGTTCCCCTGACTCACGCGAAGGTGCCAAAGACGCTATCGTACTGGTAAACCTCGATTCGGCGTTCAGTGTGCGAGTGAGAGCGTCATTGAAAGCATTCTCGGCAGCAAGAGAGTGGGTGTAGAGAAAAAGACGGGCATGGCGGATCTGCCTAGCCAATCTATCTGTGGGGGATTCGTAGTCAGAGTTATTCGGAGCCGCTGGAATAAGGGATGGTGAAGAGGCCGTTTGAGCTGGTGTGGCTGGAATGAGTTTTAGGTCCTGGGATTGGGGAGTATCGTTGTCGTCGTCATAAATCGGTTTCCTCTGGCGCTGTTAAATGTTAGATTTCTTTGTTTTAACCATGGCTCGCTCCAATTAAACCACGATAGGCATACCGATAAGTGAGATGGCGCCTCTGCAGATAGCGTTCGTCCTGGATATGCAGCAAACCCGCCAGCAAAGAGCATTACAGCACCACCAACGGCCGCCCTCTGGACAAGTATCAGCGTTGGCGCCTCAACGAGCGCGTCGGAAAGGCAAACATACCTGGCGGAATAATGGATACAGAACCATCGTCCGTTTATAACTCGCAAGACCCTCCAATTGCAGGTCTGCAGCCGCGGAGGGGATGTTTTGGTAGTGGATCAAGATGGAGTGTTTTTGAGTTCTCGGCAGGACTTTTGAATTTTCGGCCGCAGACTTCCGCTCACCAGAAACCTCCAGACACATTCTACACGCCTCGATGCCTCGCAACTTGCCGCTCTACTTCTGTTCGCAAATGCCCTCCGAAAATGATTAAGTCATTGAGCCGAGCGCCGTGGACTTGTCGACGATGTTTCCTGCAGATCCGGGCCGAATCGCGGCGCCATTTCCAAGGCGCGTCTACCGTGACTCCATTACATCCGTATACTCTTGCCGGGGATAGTTCGAACCAGAAGCATGATGACCAGGCGCTACGGCTTGTCTTTGATTCGAAGCCATTTTGGAAAGAGTTTTCCCACCGCAGAACCGGCGGCTCTAAACAAACGGGTCTACTTCAAAACGTATACCTGACTGGACCAGATGGATTCCTTCAATTTGCGCAGATATCACTTCAAAAGTGCCAGAAAATAGTCGCGAAGGTTATTGCTGCCCGAACATCGGAAGAATACCGCGAAATAGTCCAAAACCTTGATCGCATGAGTGATTTACTCTGCCGCGTGATAGATATAGCAGATTTCATGAAAGTGAATCATCCCGATCGAGAGATTCAGGATGCTGCAACACAGGCGTATGCATTAATGTTCGAATACATGAATGTACTGAACACAACCCCAGAACTTAATACACAATTAAAACAAGCCTGTGCGGACCCGAATATTACGGCCCTTTGGAATAAAGAGGAAACTGTCTCGGCGCAAGTTTTGCTGAAAGATTTCTCTCAATCAGCCATACATTTACCGCCAAAGGACCGACAACGATTTGTTGCTTTATCAAACGAAATAAGTCAACTGGGCCCAATGTTTGTGCAGAACGTTTCACCCGAAATCGAATATTTGCGTATTGAGAAGAACAAAGCTCGTGGGATGGATCCTGCTCTAATCCAAGAGCTTCAAAGGTGGTCAAAAGTCTCCTTGCCATTGTTTAGCAATATTCCAAGGATAGCTTTGTATTCTATACACGACGAAGATACCCGGCGAAAAATATATATGGCATCTCGAACATCTTCACGGGTACAAATTGAGCGCTTAGAGACCTTGCTTCGTAAAAGAGCTGAGCTAGCGAAACTCGCTGGGTTCACAAGTTATGGCCACATGACACTGAGCGATAAGATGGCCAAAACACCAGAGGCTGTTGTTAACTTTCTAGAAACCTTGAATTCTTGTAATCGGGTGCATGTTCAGGGTGAACTGTCCAAGCTCTTCGCTTTAAAGCAAGCCATGGTACCATCTGCTACCCGGCTAGTGCCCTGGGATCATTCGTACTATGCTCACCAATACTCTGCACATCACAGTCGTGCCAGGAAATCTCGAGACTCTGCATTACTCCCGGCGTTTTTCTCGATTGGTACAGTGATGCAAGGACTATCTCGGCTCTTCTCACGCCTTTATGGGATCCGTCTTGCTCCCACTGAAATCTTGCCTGGAGAGACATGGAATCCGGATGTCCGAAGGCTGGATGTTTTGGATGAATCCGGCCGGTGTCTTGCCGTAATCTACTGTGACTTGTTTGAACGGTCAAATAAAAGTCCAAATCCTACGCATTATACCCTCCGTGGCTCTCGTGCAATCTCACAGGCCGAGATAGCCGAAAGTGCGAGTGCAACATATCTTCACCCTAATGATGGAATGGCTTCCGGGGTTAGGCCTGGTACAAACACGCTCTACCAGCTCCCAACTGTGGCCTTGATATGCAACTTCCATCATTCGAGAGATGGCTCAACACCGCCGCTCTTGGATGAAGACAGCCTCGGGACTTTATTTCACGAGATGGGCCATGCAATTCATTCGGTCCTCGCCTGTACAGATCTGCAGTCAATTTCTGGAACTCGTTGTGCCACCGACTTTGTCGAACTCCCATCTGTGCTAATGGAAAGCTTTGCGACTTCTCCTGAAGTTCTGTCTCTCTATGCGCGCCATTGGGAAACAAACGAACCTCTGCCTGAACAGATGTTACAGACTTTGAAAATGAACCGCCAGAGTCGAAATAGCGTGCACGGTGGCATGGATGATGAGGTGCAAATTCTAATGGCTTTGTTGGATCAGGCATATCACTCCAGCCAACCCCTGGAACCCGGCTTCAATTCGACGCGAGTCTATCATGACATCAATTCCGCATATAGTAGCCTTCCAGACCCTTTAGACTCGTCAACTTCATGGCAAGGATTTTTTCCGCATTTAGTCGGATACGGCGCCTCATACTACAGCTATCTGTTTGATAGAGCCATCGCAAACAAAGTCTGGACAGACGTGTTCCAAAAAGGAACACTTGCCCTCGATAGGGACGCCGGAGAGCGTTTTAAAAATGAAGTATTACGATGGGGTGGAGGCCGTGATGGCTGGAGCTGCATTGCCGGCCTACTAGGTAACAACCCTGCCAACGAAAATGGGAGACTGGTCGAGGGGGGAGAGGATGCAATGCGTGAAGTCGGTCGATGGGGTCTAGGTTTGATGGGAAGCCCAGAATAGTAGAGGTACCCTTAATCCTACTACGGTTGCGGGTTAATCTCGAGCGGACTACCTACACGAGGGCCTGCGAGCTTCCTGGTCGAGTTCAATATTAATATCCTTAATATTTTTGGTTGGTTACTCTCACTTTGCATATGTATGTGACTACTGATTGGAGCATTTAATATGGCGTACTGTGTATACCGATATCCTCTAGAGAACCTGGAAATAGAAACAATGATATTCCCTGGCAGTGTCTTTTGATAATAATTCAGTATCTCACCTAAACTAGGGTCGCAATAATCTATGCCCTGAGATCTGCCTATGTCCCTTTTGTTTTTCTATTAGGGAACGTATCGCTGTCTTCTTTCCTTCACGTTCAGCTTCAACCATCGTAGCTTCGGTTGGGGCATTTCTTGATTGTTGGGTGAGATACGGGCCTAGCAAGGTTATGTAGTTAAGTAACTACAAAACTAACCGGGGCGGTTTCCCCGTAGTTAGTTAGCTAAATTAACTTAACTACTGCAAAGCCTTGTGGTCAACAAAGCCTCTCTGGCTGCGGCTCCGCCTAGCTGGTTGGCTAGCCGTCCGGAAATAACACCACCGTGTCTCCCGTTCAAACAGCCACACCCCATGGCGAGGGAACATTTTTTCTCTTAAACTACTCCGTACTCTGTGCTCAATAAGCCTATACTTACCAAAGACGAAGATGCAGGTGTTCCATAACCAACGATGACGACGATGAAGAAGCAACCCCCGGTGACTGCGGGCGGTTTCTTGGATCACCGCCTGGAAGCGTTATGCGCAACAATCGAAGCATCCTCGACCGAGTCCCTCATCTCAATCACCGACACCGCAACAGTCGAGCATGAGGATGAACCTCCCGCTTATTCCGAACACAATGAATCATCAAGTCTGATCCAGAACCACGAGAACTCATTGCATTTGTTAACGGGCGGGTCAAATGCGTACGAAATACCCGGGGGTCGCGTTCACACCTCCAAACGAGAAGGCAAAACGTATACAATCTCGCTCGCCCCATACCTATCGTCAAACGCTGAAGTGCTGTATAAGTTCTTCAAGCTGCAAGCGGCCTTACCCCCCCTGGTATTTGTCTCTGTGAAAGGAACACATACCTTGACTAGGAGGAATGGCGATAAACAAATATCAAGCGAGACAGTAACAGATTTCGATTTCCTTGTCGACGGAAGCGACACTATCCTGCCGCCAGCAGGGCGGTTAAATAGGGCTTTCCAGGTGTTAAAGGTAATACAGGATAACGATGGCATCCTGGCCTACCGGGGTGGACGGTTTCGGAGCACCAACAAGAGTGGGCTCTGGAAGAAGGGCCGCAATAGTCTACTTGAGGATGGAGCCCAACCGGGGACTGGCCCTACTCTCGAAGAATGGTGCCAGAGGTTTTGCAATGACAAATCCTCCATAAAATCGTGAGTCAAACCATTGGAGACTGTATACATAATTGCTTTTTCCCGGTAACCCTTCGTAACAGCTTTACACTTCATCGAGATATTGTCAATTGGAATTTTGAGCTTATTCGGCGTGAGATTATTTCCATTATTCGGATGACCAATTACCGTGGCGTAATCTCTGTATCGCCTTTTATACGTCAATCTCGAGTTACAATATACTCTCCGTCTTTGCTAAACCGCCTACGTACCAACTCATTCGTCTGGTGGGTTTGCGTGATCCTTCAGCTATGGATTATTACCTGGCCTCTATTAATCTTACTTGAGAGACGATATGAAATTGTCCGCGTTGAGCACCACGTCTCCCGCGGCTCAGTATATGCCTCTCCCGGCGGATCAGAGGGTGGCTGGGTTGCTATGTTTTCCCCTGCAATAAAGGCGGCAGCTTTGGGTAAGAGAACTGGAGAAGTTGTTACCAAGGCAGATATCCCGCGAGGAGAAGAAATGCTTCGCGATGTGCAGAGTCAACAGCTCGAGCAAGAAAGGCAGGATAGAATGATTCGAGGCGAAGCCACGTGGGCAGACTCGGTTGTCGGTATTGTAAGAGGACTATCGGATATGACAAGACAATGGAATACTGATAGAGGATGGGGAGGTGACGAGTAGGCCTTTTCTTTTGCTTTGGTGCGTCATCCTCTCTGCAGGTTAATTTAGCGTCGTCTGAATTCCATGATTTAGTATCTGCTTTTGGAGGCAAGATCTAAGCTATTTTAACATTCTAATGACAACCCAAAGCCTGACGCCATCCGCAAATCTGTGAAACGTAAGGTTTTGATTCTGATAGCGTGAATTTGGCGAACGGGGAAGTGACACCTACGCTATCTTTAAATGATTACAGCCTGAGCGCAAATAATCACGTCAGCTCGACGTACTTGCCCCCGATATCATCTAAATGGGGCACGAGACCAAAAGTTCAATAATCGGCTGCGCCAGGGTCACAATCATCCCGTGGCAGGAACTGGCACCGAATTCAAAGTCTGATGAAAGTTCGTTTTGCAGCCACATGGTCCCGACCTGGGTTTTCTCCGATCTAAAGTTTTAGCCTGCAAGACCCGTGCTTTACATGCAGCCTCATGGCATCAAGATTCAGTTAACCAATAACCAACCCGCTGTTCTTCCAATTGGCCAATGACTGGCTGGTGATTCGAATAACACCCTAGTTGCGACCCACGGGCTAATCTCGGACTTGTGTTCCCCGGCGCTTGGGGTATCAACACTACTCTATAGTATACGGAGCAGGCAGTCAGGGAGGACCTGCCAAAAGCTCTATGTACCACCACCTCGGCGTCAAGCACCTGCAGCGTTCCTCCAGGCATAGGGCAAAACAAACAATGCACCAACCTTGCAGACAAAGACTCACTATTGGCGCGAGCGAGAGCGTTCTCTGGTCTTTTTTGGCGGCGACCGTGGCTCAGCTCGGCTCGGATTGCCCAAACGGACCGCAAAGCTTAATCAACTCTAATCCCATTAAGGCCGCGTTACAAGCGCAAAACGCCCTATAACGATCCGTGCGTAAAATACAGCGCGAGTCAAGCTTTTCTGGTGCCGCCGGCCCCACGCGTTGTATGAGCGATTTATCTGCAGCAGCAGGGCCAACACGCGTTGCCTGACGTCACGCTCCAACCACAGAGGACGAAGCGAGAGGCGCGGAGCACGGAGGGCGATACGGAGAGCGTGTGCGCTGCAGCTTCTGGCCGTCCCGACACCGCCTCTGGCCCGCACTATGGCCCGTTGGAATCGGTATGGGCGGTACTCTTCCTCGCAGCACTTTAGGGCCCTCGCGAAGTCGGCCTTGCTCCCTAATCCCTCATACAGCCCTGCCTTTTCTGTGCAGCGCCTTCGGAAATGCGCCGGTGCATTCCTGGAAATACCGTACCTTAGCTGAGGAAAAAAAAATGGTGTTGCTGCAAGGCAAAAAATCCTTGCGGCCAGCGGCCAGCCTCACCTGGCTCGCATAAATACCGCTTCCCCCTTCCCCTGAGGTTGACAGTACGGAGTACACTCTCGTCATATGCCCAATCCCCCCCGTCAGTAGCCTGCAGTTGCTTCAGACTATCTCGAAGATCTCGTTCTCCTGCATTGCGCAGCCTCGTGGCCGCCAAAGCCCATCCATGTCTCCTCAGCAGAGTACGTCCCCAAAAGAAGGCGACCCAGAAAAGGGAGACACGCCGGACCTAGAGGACGGGCGGACAGGTCGTTCCAAACACATTACTTTTGAGCCCCCGACGGATGCCGATGGCCCTTCCAACCGTCGTGGCTCTGGTGAGTCTATTAGACGACGTCGATCCCGCTCTAGAAGCCGCCACTCCTTTAGCAGCTCTCGTGGAAATGGCAACAATAATGTGACGGGCATCCCCATTGAATTTCGAACGCTGTCGATTCAGATCACTGAGTCTCGCAATATCACGACTGAGGCCCTGAAGGAAGGACTAAGCTCTGGTCGTGCTAGTGTTCACAACGACAAAGAATACTTCGAGAACATCGACTTCCATCTCCTTTCACGAGATCGACTCTGCCAGCAATTCAACGTCTCTTCTGACCAGGGCCTCAGCGACCATGCCGCCAAATCTCGCCTCCAGCGTGATGGAAAGAACACAATCCCTCGACGTCGTCCAAACTTTCTCAGAAAGATTCTTGGTTACATTTTTGGCGGTTTTTGTTCTGTGCTTTGGGTTGGTGTGATCATTTTCTTCATCTGCTGGCAACCCCTGAGCAACCCACCGTCACCGCCCAACCTGGGAATGGCGATCCTTGTCCTTATCGTCATCTTCCTACAAGCAGGCTTTTCGGCTTTCCAAGATTGGTCTACGAGCAGGGTAATGAATTCAATCCTCGATCTCCTGCCCTCCGAAGCTCAAGTTCTACGCGATGGACAACTTATCAGAATTCCCGCTACCGAGCTTGTTGCTGGAGATGTGGTTCATATATCAATTGGGAACAAGGTCCCTGCGGATATGCGACTTCTCTCCAGTTCGGGTGATGTCCGGTTTGACCGATCCGTTTTAACAGGTGAGTCGGACGAGATCGAAGGAGCTGTTGATGCAACAGACAATAACTTCCTGGAGACGCGTAACGTCGCTTTCATGGGCACTGGTGTCACAAATGGAAGCGCTGTCGGTGTTGTCATCCTAACTGGAGGTCGCTCAGTCATGGGTCGGATTGCCAACGTCACCGGGAATGTTAAAGAGAGGCCAACTTTGATTCAGAAGGAAATCAGTCGATTCGTCCGCATTATAGTTTGTTTGACTTGTGTCCTGGCTGCCCTGCTGTTATTCAGCTGGGTAGGATGGCTGAGAGTAAAACGACCGGAATTCATGAACGTCGTTGCAATGCTGAACAATGTCCTGGGTTGTGTTGTCGCCTTCATTCCGGAAGGTATGCCCGTTGGCGTCGCGCTCACGATGATGATGATTGCATATCGCATGAAATCTGCCAACATCTTGCCCAAGGGTCTTTCTACCGTTGAGACATTAGGATGCGTCAATGTCCTTTGCTCGGATAAGACTGGTACTCTGACCCAGAATAAAATGGTAGTCAGATCCCTTGCATTCCTGGACAAAGAATACAGTATCGATGAGCTGCACGACGCTGTACAGAATGAAACCTCTGGCGGAGCCGTCACCGAGCTCCACAGAGGTTCGATTCTTTGCAATGATGCCTTTTTTGACCCCACGACTATCAACAAGCCTCTCGATGACCGCATTGTTAATGGAAATGCAACCGATTGTGCTGTGTTGCGCTTTGCAGAAGCAGCATCTCCCTCAAAACGAATAATCGACGGAAGTGACAGAGTCTTTCAGATCCCATTTAACTCCCAGAACAAGTGGATGCTTACGCTGCACAAGACTAGGCTACCAAGTGGCGAACAGTCAAAAGATACGGTGTCTGGATTTGAGGTCTTTATCAAAGGAGCACCCGATGTCCTTGTATCAAAGTGCACATCGTACTGGTCAGCGACTCGGGACGAAATTCTGCCCTTGGACGAATCAGCAAAAGCAGAGCTATCTGCTTTTCAGGAGAAATTCTCAAGGAGAGCGGAGCGCGTGATCCTCTTATGCCAAAGACGCTATACACCACAAGCCGCCATCGGATCAAATTACTTTGGCGATGAAATCAAGGCTAACTGCGTGAAAGACCTGACAATTGTAGGCATGTACGGTATTATCGACCCGGCCCGCCCAGAAGCTGTGAAGACTGTTGCGTCGTGCCGCCGAGCGGGAATTAGATTCTTCATGGTTACTGGTGATTTTGGCTTGACAGCCACTGCAATTGCTCGAGATATTGGTATCTTCACTGGTATTGCCGAGCCTGACAGAGCTCGGGACTTCAACCACGCGGAAAAAGATGAGACCCAACCTCCCCCAACATCGTCTTCTAAAAGCCTTCTAGTCGAAGGACCAGAGATATCGGCCCTTACACAGGCTGATTGGGATACAATTTGCCATTATGAGGAAATTGTGTTTGCGCGAACAACACCAGAGCAGAAACTCCGGATTGTTGAGGAATTCAGAGCTCGTGATAACGTTGTTGCGGTGACTGGAGATGGCGTAAACGATGCTCCCGCGCTCCGAGCCGCAGATGTTGGGGTTGCTGTCGTCTCTGGAAGTGACGTCGCTATCGAAGCTGCTGATCTGGTCCTCATGGACAAATTCGATTCGATTATTGAAGCTGTCCGCTTGGGTCGTCTTGTGTTTCAAAACCTTCAGAAACTTATCAGCTATCTCCTTCCAGCAGGAAGTTGGTCAGAGATTTGGCCAGTGCTGCTAAACCAATTCATTGGTGTGCCACTCCCTCTGAGTTCCTTCCTGATGATCATCATTTGCGTGTTCACGGATCTCTTCCTCTCCCTTTCTTTGGTTATGGAAAAGGAAGAGTTCGATCTTCTCAGTCTTCCACCCCGCAATCATAAAAAGGATCACCTTATTAACTTAAAAATATACACCCAATCATACCTCTTCATTGGCGTGATGGAAACTGTCTGTGCCCATTCTATGTTCTTCCTATACATGTATCGCAAGGCTGGCATTCCCTTCCACTCTCTGGTGTTCGCATATGAGAACTATAGGGAGGGATTCTATGGCTACACGACAGAGGAACTCGTACATTTCAACAATGTTGGGCAATGCGTCTACTTTGTTACCCTGGTGGTGCTTCAGTGGGGAAACATTTTGTCCATTCGAAACAAGCGCCTTTCGATCCTGGAAGCCGACCCAATACGAGAAAAGCGCCGCAACCCATGGCTTGCAGGTGCCATTTTAGTTTCTCTCGTGATCGCCATCTTCGTCACTCAAGTTCCAGCTATTAACCACCTCTTCAACACGGCTCCTGTTCCAATTGAATACTGGCTCTTGCCGATTCCGCTTGCATTTGGTATCCTGCTCATGGATGAGCTGAGGAAATTGCTTGTTCGGCTGTTTCCAAAGGGCCCGATTGCTAAAATTGCGTGGTAAGCTGGGTCGGTGCTTTTAAGTACAGGGTGAAGTGATTGGGGCCGTAATTCTTCCGCGGCCGTGACTTTCCAACACTAGCGTTGATATAAATAGAATAAAAGTATTGAAATTTTGTTAGTTTTCGTTGGTTAGGCGTTTCTTCTCAGTTCTGCGTAACGAAGCACATGGAGCATTTTCAAGCCTGGTAGAAATATATAGCAGCATTATTGATTTACAGGATCCAGACGGACTCTATAAACTCCTTAGGAACGAATTCATTAGTATGGGGTATGTACTGGTTGCATGCAGTCGGGCCTCCTTGTTATATGATCTGATGCCTACTCTGAAGTTGAACAGGACCTAAACTAACTCAGATTGATCAAGCTAGTTACCTAGCTAGTTAGTTAAGTTAAGTTAATAATGCTTTGCTTACTCAGCGTGACAACCGAAACCAACCTCCATGAGTAGAAGGTGCTGACCACCTGCTGGAAATCTTCTCAATTGCGTCAAAGCCGCGTTGTCTTCTCTTGTTCAGGCATGGCTCTTTGCAGACATGCTTGCCGGAGAGTACATCGGTACGATGGCTCGACAAGTTCAATCGCCGGCTATGTCTGGATTAGCGATGCGATTCTTTCCCAGTCGTTCACGGATTTCCTAGTAGTCCAGCGGCGATTTGGCAGCAATGTTCCAGGCCCGCTCGAGGCCCGACGACGCCTTGCGAAGAGAAGAAATGCGGATTTAGCAGCTGCTGGTCGCGGAGGGGGCATTGACCCAAGCGTTCTGTTTGACTGGAAACCCATAGGTCAACGAAAGTCCGCTGAATCTCCCTTCGCATCGTTTGTATTGGACCCAGAACAATCGTGTAAGTACCTTGGCTAAAGCATTTTACCTCGTGTAAACATATTGACTGTATCCCAGTCAATTTGCCTCCGCGTTTTGATATCCCTCCCCCAATAGCCACCCCCGAACCTACGCAGACCTGGTCGCTTTTGAACATTACATCTCGCCTAACGACCCCAACTCCGAGCCAAATGCTTATGAAAGAACTGCCTAAAACGACATCCTTGGAGGATATTCGAACCCTCGTTTCAAATGCCGGCGTTGACCTACGCAGCCAGCCATTACTTAGCCAAATGATCTTTCGTCATGTGCTCGAGAAGTTTTCGAGCGGCTTTGAGTGGAGTATTTCTGATATAAGTGATTTTCTTGGGGATCCCGCATTGAATACTCCGGGCTCTCAAAATTTTGTGTTCGCCATCCGTTCCTTAATTACCGAAAGGACTACGGCCCAACATGTGGAACAGATGTTTGACATGCTGACGCAGATGTTCTCTCTGGGCGCTGTACCTCGTAGTGAGATACCTTTGATCCTCAGGCTGGTACTTCGAATTAGAATTCTCGAGGACCCATCCAAGCCTGCGACTATTCATGGACTTTGCTACAAAAAAATGTGGACCGGACTAGAATCATGCGCTGTGTTTCGGCCCAAGGATGTTGGAAGAAGGACACTTATCTTGTGGATACATCTTCTTGCAAGATGTCCACCCAGTGGACAGTCGCTTTCTGTCAGCAAGGCCATCATGCGCTTACTTGCTTCCACCGGAGTACCTAATCACCTCTGGCTTCCACCCATTTTTCTTCAAATAGTCAAACTAAAGGCAAGCCGTACACGCAAAACTTCAACTTCAGCTTGGAGAAATTTTCACAAACATATTCAAGACGTTAGCGATATTGGGCGCCTGCTCCCCGCCGGAACCCTTTTTCAATCACTTTTTCAATTCACAGAATCATTGCTGTTTTCTCGGCGTCATCGAAAGGCTCGTCCAGAGTTTTTGCAGATTTGGGCGGAGGCCTTGGAACGATTCCGCCATGACCTTTTGTTCGGTGAGGCTCGCTGGCGTGATATTCAGATTCCTCTAAACGAGCTTCGCCTTTCACCCCGTACGCACCATCATAATCTCAGTTCGAGAAGGTGTATCAGTAGGAAGGCTAATTTGGTGAGGAAAAAGTGGCTTGTGCGATTGTGGGCCATTCGAATACTTGGTAGGAAAGCTCGCTACCGACATCATTTTGAGAAACGACAGAGGGCTTTTTTTCGAAAGCTTCTGGTCTATAACAAACTATTACGCGGTGCGCGGCCAAAACTTGATATTCCTTGCTATTTATACCATTCTATGCAAGCCCTTGATCGACTTGGCCTCCCAAATGCCAACGCCGTCTTCACAGCAAGTACGGGGATGGAGTATGAGCGAAGATTACGGAAATACCATTACCTTCCCAAAGATGTTCTTTCAACATTATGTCAATTTGAACGTGGCGACTTGGCATCTTTAAGCGTTTCTTGGGATAGCGAAAACTATAGATTGCTCAGAGACACGATGTTCACCCACTGGGAGAAGTTAGCAAGCAAAACGGATATTACAGCTCCAGACTTTGCCAACAAGATTCTTCTTTATACCGAGACAAAATCACCCCACCGCGCCGGCCTTCTCCGCCTGCTTCGTCGCCACACCCCGCTCAAAATTGCGCTGGCATTCTCTTGGAACCAGTCTAACGACCACTCTTTTGATGGAAAACTTCGAGGTGCACCTAAATTTTCCTCGGATGGCCGGCCAATAATGAACCCTACGGACTGTCTCGCCACCCTCCATAGTATAGCTTTGATATTCGCTTGTTCCAACAAGCTCACACCTCGAAATTCATACAGACTGACGCGATGGTGCTATGAATTCCTAATCGACCACAATGCACCTCTTCGACCAACAATGGTTAGGGCATTGTATCATGCTGGTATTTACCGGTTCCAACAGGCAAGCCAACCAATCCCCATGGAAAGATTCTCGTTTATTATGAATAAAATTAGAGAGGTTGAAGGCGATCGAGTGGCGGCAGCACTTGCCAGCGGTGTGCCATTTGAATATATATCGCGATAGAAGTTGACACTACATTCATAGCCATCTACCGAGGAATATGATCTCGTTTTGCTATGTATGTGCTATTTACTATTTGCAATTTCCACAAACTAATCGCGTCACGCGCGCCCTTGAATGCGTATCTAAATTCCCTTTCTACACTGTTTCCATTCTCTATAGGCTAGTTCCGGGATATTTTACACATCACCCATTATGGAGTAGTAAAAAATATTGCTATAGTCATACATACTATTTTTATAAACTATAGATTCGGTTTTACCATTTAGAATAGTACAGGCTGCTGTATTCGCACACAACACTCAGACTACTATTTGTATTCCAGAAAATGGACACAAAAGATAAAAAACTCAGATATTCCTATCGTGGCAGCAGAGTATACTAGTAGCAAAACTAGTCATTGTAATAATTCTAGATGAGAAAGTTTGACTAAGAATCAACATCCATCTTCTCGACAACAGCACTGGCTCCCTCGGCTCCCAATTCCTGAACGGTCACATATCGTCCTATTTCTTCCTTGGTGATAATTTTTTGGTCTAGCCAAGCAGTAGTGCCCTTCTGGAAACGATAGTTTCTCTCTTTCTTGCCCCGCTCGTTGGGTTTAATGTAGTTTCTCAGTAGCTGAGAGGGTTTATCTTGTTCAATCACGCAAACATCGACATTGCTGCCGGAGCCAAGATCGTTGAAAATACCGGCTTTGATGGCTTCCGAACAAAGAGCAATTGCTTCTTCCTTCGTCAATTCGGGTTTCCACATCGTTTCGAATACGGACATTGCAGCCAGGGAACCTGATCCCATAGTTACATAAGGAAGCCTATCGGTAGACCCGTGAGCGTGAACAGTATACAGGCCAACTCCTGTAGGGTCAACTCCAGCCACAACCAGGTATGCTCCGATATGACCTTGGTGGCGGAACAGATGTTGTTTTAAGAGGGTCATGCACGTTACGACACGCGGTTTCCGGCCGGTAGAGAGTGCATGAAGTTCGAGATTAGAACTGATGAGGGCGGTAGTGAACTCCGTATCCGCTGCTGTGCCAGCACCTGCACACCATATCGAAGGAGTAATGTAGTGAAGTTTCTCACAATTCTAGGACGCCTACGTTAGCAATCGGCGAAATAGACGGCGATAAAAACGACCGGTGAAACTACGGAACAATTTAGAATGAGCGTACCTTATCCGCAACTATCGGCCCGCTAGTAGCTCTAGTATCTGCCGCAATCTATAATTTATAGAAAATGCTTAGCATTATGTAGAAATATCCCAGAGGGTAGATTTATTCGAGGACTTACCACCACGCCGCCATTGAAGATACACCCGACTATAGTCGTCCCAGTGCTTGTGGCCTTCGGCAGTGGAACTCCTTTGGCATGGAGCGCTGCATTTCGATTGTAATTCGAGAAGTCGAAGCCAGGCATGGCTGGAGTAAGGAGGAGGGATTGCGGAATGAGGTAAAGACAAAGCCTAGAGGACACTTGTGGCTTCAAGAAAGCAGCAGAGATAAGATACGGCGACAAGTAAGGGAGAAGAACCGCAGAACTGTAGCAGATCCGCCTGAGCGTGAGGTTGATTACAGCGTTGGGTGTTGGTGATGAAGTGACGAAGCTTGGAGAGCTGCCTGAGACGAGCTGCGCGCCCACCAATCAGCGGCCTGCCTCAGAGAACATCAACGATTCACAACAACCGTGATGCTTTTGTTCTTCAAGAACTACAGTCCACAACGCGCCTCTGCAGGATAGACGCCTCCGATAACCCAAGGCTACAATTGATTATAAGTCACCATATCGCTCTTCAATCGGCCTATGCCCTGCGGCTGCCACTGAGCGCTAAACGCAAGTCAAGATTTTTGGCCCTACCTTTCAATTATTTCGCAGGAGTCCTCGTTCGATCCAGCATCGCCCTGTTTCTAACGCCTTCCCACGCGATTCGATTAATATCAATGCAAGGAGGACAGGGTCTCTTCTAACTTTGAAACCCCGGTCTCTTTCAGCAGACTACGAGTCTCTGAAGATGGCGTTCTCGCTTGGGGGCGCGTCCCAGCTCTCCATGGGGGTTGCTGGAAAGGTGCAACTGGGATCCGAGCTGCAAGAGATACAGACGCAGGTATGTACCTGACGTTATTTTACCTTAAATCGTGGATTTCTATCTAACGGTACGGTTTATAGGAGGTTGGCTTTCTTTCACTCAACGGCGACTCTAAAATTCGGCTTCTGCCCTCTCCATGGCCTACCGATGCCTTACCCCCTCCCACTTCGTCCCTGCTGAGTGTTGCATCGACAAAGTCGCTACTGGCTGCTGCTGGACCGGAAGGCATCGTTATCGCGAGCACTGATTCTGTCAGGAAAGCATTCTTCGCGGACACGACCAGTGATAGTAATATTCGACCTTTCCAGCCAGAACTGCAGATACCTCTTCCCGGGAAGATCTCTCATGTCGCATTTTCAGCAGACGAAAACGCACTTGTGGTGGCGGCGCAAAGCGGCGATGGACTGGCAGTATACGATGTATCCGCTCTTTTACAAAACAACACACAGCCAAGGGCGACGATTAGTTTAAGAGGGGAGTCACTTCGCGCATTAGCCCCAAATCCAGTGGTATCCGATCTTTTTGCCGCTATAACAGTGAATGGTGAACTTTTAGTTGCAAATATCCAGACCAATCAACTGGAGATGGGACCTAGTGGGCCGGTATTAAAGACGGCTGTCAGTTCCGTATCTTGGAGTACCAAAGGCAAGCAATTGGTCGCTGGCCTTGTAGATGGAAATATCTCCCAAATGACCCCCAAAGGTGAAACAATGGCAGAAATTCCAAAGCCCCCAAACCTAGGAAACAATCAACATGGTTCGTATAAAGTCTCCCTTGCCTATGTGCTATATTAATATCATGGTTCTAGTTTCTTCACTTACTTGGCTTGAAAATCACCTATTCTTCATCGTCTATACGCCTACCGATGGAAACATGGCGTCGTCTTACTACATTGTAACGCGGCATCCACCTGATCAGTACGAATTTCGACAGCTACCCGAGATTTGCTCACCTTTTGGTCTGGAGCGTTATCCCTCATTTCAGTTTACGGGTCGCTTGAGAGACTTTGAACCCAGCTTAAAGGAAGTTCTGGTCGTGTCATCAACCGCATCGACTGATGTAGGGCTTCTTACGAGATCAAGCAGGCCGCTAGCTGATAATTACCCTGCTGACCAAATTACCGATCTTTTTACCGTTACAACAATGTCTGAAGACTCTCGAAGAGCAGAGTTGCCTATGACGGAAGATATGTCTGACACATCTCCTCTTGGCCTAGCCATAGATTTATCAAGCAAGGATAATGTTCCTTCCCCTATTCCTGGAGAGGATCTCAAGGAGTCCACAACTCCACTACCCGCCATTCTAATACTTAACAATGACGGTGTACTATCCTCCTGGTGGTTTGTGTATTCGGAATCGATCAGGCAACAGAAACCGTACCGCGGTCTTTCGATCCTTCCGAAGTCGCAAACAGTACCCCAGCAACGTACAGTTGCCGTACCTGAAACCCCCAAACCGGCTTTTGGACAACCATCGTTTGGGCAGTCGAGTTTTGGTCAGCCATCTTTTGGAAAGCCCACATCACCAGCGTTCGGTAGTACTACACCCCTTGGGGCTAATCGGACCCCAGCATTTGGCTCTCCTTCGGTACTGGGGGCTTCTCGACCTGCTTTTGGCTCTACGACTCCTATGGGTGGAAACATTGCGTTTGGGACTGCGAGCGTACCCGGTCAGCAAGGTCCAGTTTTTGGACAGTCGAGCTTAGGTAGCGGTAAATCCCTCTTCGGCGAGGGGCCCGCGCAGGCAACGAGCTCATTTGGTGGTGGAGGTTTCAGTTCGTTTGCGTCAACTGGTGGATTTGGTGGCACAATTACATCTCACACTCCTACGCAGAGCCCATTTTCAAAACCAGCGAGCGACAATCCTTTTGCAAATGCTGGAAAGCCCGTATTTGGTGCGCCAAGCTCAGATACATCCGTTCAGCTACCTACGACTCAACCCTTTTCTGATGGCTTTGTTCTCGGCTCAACTTTTAAAGCCGACCCATCCGGAGCTATGGATGAAGATAAACCAGAGCCGTCAACTCTATCTTTTGGATCTGTCGCAAAGTCACTTGACCTTGGTGGTAACAATGCGATCGCTGAAGCAGTATCGGAACCATCATCATTTTCCTCTCCTTTTACGAGTATTACCGAAACTAAGCCTATGGCATCTAAAGAATCGCCCTTTGGCGTACCATCAAAGGGGTTGTTTGGACAATCTCCACAGGCCCCACCAATATCAGCAACAACACCATTCAAAGAGGCCACCCTGTCGCCGCCCAAGTCAGCCATAGTCACTGAATCGAAACCAGCTGAGACTTCGCTAAAAGAAAACGTTACTAGTCCGGTTTTAAAGGGTGAGATTTCAAATGACGTTAAACAGTCGCCGTTGTCTAGCATTCCAGAACCACCACTTCCCCCCGAGCCGACGAGTAGAGATGCGTACGGGCCTGGCGATACCTCCGCCTCCTCATCCAGTAACTCGCAAGATTCGCCTGAAGATGCTCCCCTACCTCCAGACTTCCTCCATACAAAAGTGTTGGCGCCCCAAACAGAACACCACAGTCCTCCTGAACCCCCACCAGCTCTACCAGAGGAAGCTGAAATCGAGAAAGACGAGGATTTCGAAGACAGTGGAGAGGAAATCACACACGAAAGCAGCCCAACGGATGTCAAGTTTTCTCCTGAAAGCTCTTTTGGTCCCGATCAAAGCCCAACTGAGGAACGATTTACTAAGTTCTCGCAGCCGGAGCCTACAATTCTAGCCCCAAAATCATTATTTGGCGAAATCGCAGAAGCTCCAATATTTGCTCCTCCGAAAATGCCCAAGGGTCGCCCCCGACTCAACCCGAGATCCCCCAGTCCCGTACGCAATCATCCGGTGGGAATGCTTTCTACCCCTGAACCCTTGAGGTCAACTAGCGCTCCTATACCCGGGCATGCACTATCTCGCCGTAGGGCTGCTTTAGAAAGCTCTGCTCTTCCTAACCAAGTAATCCCCGTACCCGAAGACTTTTTAGATTCGGCTTCCAGGGAACAAGCTCAACGCGAAACTGAGAAGCTAGTTGCTGAAACCCAAGCGCTTGCTGAAGATGAAGACGAGCAACTGCGAAGAGATCTAGCGCGGCCGCTTTCCCCAGCCCCAACCCTTGACCCTTTCTTGCCTCACCAGGATTTTACTGGTGAAAGTCTAAAACCTGGAATTCCAGGTCAGATTGAAAGGCTCTACCGTGATATCAATGCCATGATAGGCACTCTTGGTATCAATGCACGCTCCCTATCTGCATTTATGCTATTCCAACAGTCAACCAGAAATTTTGACTCTACATCATGGCTTAGGACGCTGCGAAGTGAAAAGTATGCTGAAATTTCTGAAGAAAAATTGCTCCTTTCGGAAGTTGATAAATTGCAGGAAGGTGTTGCAGCTCTTGGCCAGCGCCTCGAAGAAGGCAAGGCGAGAGGCGTTCAGGAAAAACTTGAAAAATGCCATGAGTTATTTGGTGGAGATCTTTTGAGGCTTCGAAGTCAATGCGCCAACATGCGACAGACTTTGGATTCGTACTCGGATGCCGCCGCTATAGCCTCAGCGCCGTTGTCAGCAGAACAATCTGCACTGCAGCAAGACTTACGAAAATTGTCAATGGATGTCCAGAGCAAACTTGCAGATCTTGAGAAAGATATATCAATATTAAGAGCACGGATTGCCGACTGCTGCAAGCCGACAGATGGAATAGCAGGGAAGAACCGGAAACACACAGGCCGGCCTACCGTTGATGCGGTCATGTCTACTATCAACACCATGACAAACATGGCCGAGAAGAAGAGCGGGGATATTGATGCCCTAGAAGCTCAGATGCGAAAATTAGGAATTGACGTCTCAGGCTCTATGCCTCCTAGAAGCAGGGATGGATCCCCATTCTCAACCCCTGTCAAGAGAGCATCCCGACCACCGTTGACACCCAATTCTCGAACTCCTCTCGATGGCGTTCGTACCTCCTACCACACTCCCGAGTCGGGTCGTACTTCGAAATTTAGATCAAGCATACTATCCCAGAGTATGTCACAGAGCCCAAGCAACCCTGTGGAGCTTATATCGCCCCAAGCTCTAGAAAAGTGGAAGGCCAACGCCCAACGACGCACAGAGGCGGTAAGCTATTTGAGAACAGCACTTCGCGGCCGGAAATCGAAATTACGAAGTCTGGATAGTTTTTGATTTGAAATGCATCAGTAGGAAGTAGGATGTTTGTCGCTAGCATAGTTTGAATGTCACGAGTCAACGTGTTCCAGTTTATAAAAAATTTTACTTAAACGATATTTAATTCCGGACTATACAACTCGCCTCCTATGTCAAAATGGAATGAAGTAGGGGAAATCAGTCCTATCAGGTCCCAAAATGCGCCATATACAGCGAAACAAAGCAAAACATTACATCAAAAATCTTGAGTAACCCCCAGAAGGATGATATCCCAGTATGATCACAAAATACTCACGAAAATGTCAACCCATCCTTCAATCCTGCCCAGCGTGAAACCCAGTAATCTATATAATAGCTGCGCCTTGGTTTCCATGGGCCTTTATCACCAGCTTTTGGCAACCCTTCTGATGCCTTTTTAATATAGGTACTATTGAGATTCAGCAGTGGCACAGTTTTCATTGACACATCTCCGCACGGCCTAACCGTTAGCCTGCCGGTCTTCTGCATATTCTGAACAAGTCGGCAAAACAGTATAGCAGTTGAGTCTGCGCCCAACGTCCAGGACGCACTCGTGTAGCCCATCACGAAGCAGGAGTTTGGCACATCTTGTATCATACAGCCTCGCCATACGAATTTTTGCGATGGGTCGAGCTTTTGACCATTCACTTCGATCTGTATATTGCCTCCAAACAAGAGCTTGAGCCCGGTAGCGGTAACAACAATATCAACATTATCAAGAGTCTCCCCGGTATCCAAAACAATACTATTTTCAGTAAACCCCTTAATATTTCCGGTAGCAACATGTCCTTTCCCTGATCGAAGACTTTCGAAAAAGTCATCATCAGGAGCAACACAGAGACGCTGTTCCCATGGACTATATCGCGGGTTGAAATGGGGGTCATGCGGGATATTAGGCGGTAGCTTCTGCTGTGTCGCTAATTTAATGAGGTGCCGTGAAAGACGAGGAAATAAACGACAGAGTTCAAATGACAGTATCATTATGGCCAGAGAAAAAGATCGTAAGAATGAAAAAAGTAGAAAACTAGGTAATAGGCGTTTCAAAAGTGGCGGGGTTCGATTTATCATGGAAAAAATGTAGGTGGGACTGCGCTGCAGCATGGTGACATGGGACGCTGTTTGGGAAAGGCTCGGAAGCAGAGTAACAGCTGTAGCACCAGACCCTATAATCACGATATTTTTTCCCGAGTAATCTAGGTCCTCTGGCCAGAACTGCGGGTGTACTACAGTCCCTTTGAAACAGTCAATCTGAGGGATTTCAGCAGGAAGAGCATGCTCATAGTCGTAGTATCCGGTGCCGAAAATTAGATATCGACATTGCATACGCTGGATATCATTAGCCGCCGGGTGTTAGGAGAAAGAGGATGTGTATATATATAAATGCTACTGACCTTTACCTCACCTCCATTCTCTACCCTCAACTTCCATAGAGCGTCCTCGTCCCTCCAACTTGCGGAGAGAACTTTGTGTTTGAAACGAATATGGGGATTAATCTGTGCGCTGTTGGTAGCCTTTGCCAGATACCGCCTGATGCTCTCAGCATCTGCAATCGCACGATCCTCGGTCCACGGATACCAGGAGAATCCAAAGGTGTATAGATCAGAATCCGACCGGATGCCAGGGTATTTGAATAGGTCCCAGGTGCCCCCTATCGCATCACGGGCTTCCAAGATCATATACGAAAGTGACGGACACGATGACTGAATTCGATAGGCGAAGTTGATGCCAGATATCCCAGCGCCAACGATAACAAAATCCGCATAGCCGTCATCGGGAGATTTTTGTTCCATGTTTATGCTGTAAGGCCGGATAATGTCCAGAGTGCCATCGACGGCATGAAAGCGTTGATTTAAGGTGAGTCCATGGGAAGGCAACTAGTAATAAGTTGGTTAGTTAACTAGTTAATTGCCTGATCGGCCACAAATGTAACTCTGGACGGGATCTTGGAGAACTATCCCAACAACCGCCGGTTCCATGTGCTTTCATGTGAGGCAGGCCGGAAGAAACACGGAGGAATCCGTTGCTCCGGCTCCGAGCTGGGGAAATAAGCAGCGGGCGGTCGCTGGTAGCTTTTGCTAGCCGCAGCTTGTGCATTTATGCTCAGCTTACTAGTTAGCGGTGGCGCAGACGCAGCTGTTCGCCCCTCGACCTCTCATGCCTGCCAGCCGCAGCCGTCGAGCGTCATACGAAGCGTAGTGCTTCAGAAAGAAGCTGACATGCGCAGTCGTCTGAGCAACGCCCCTCAACCATGGAGACAGCGCTCGCAGCCGCCTTCTGCAACCCGCCTTGTCTTGTCTCATAAAACGCTCAAGAGCTACGCATCGAACACCTCGAAGCGCAGGCCCATACTATTCCATGGATCCCTCAAGCTCTGGTAGCCTGCCATCCCAGCAGTTGGCTGGAGGAATTGCAAGCACGCCCACAGTCGATCAACCGTTGCCTCTCTTTCCGACAAGATGGACCCCAAGCTCCCACACCGTTCCCACGGCCATACCTTCGCACATTGGTACCTCAAGCGTCAGCAGCAGCAGCAGTAGATCTGGCAGCGGCACAGGCTCCGAAAACCAGTCTCCCAGTGAAACCAAACCGCCCGCGAACTCATCGTCATCCCCCGCCAGGATCCGTCGTCGTAATCGAATGATAACTTCTTGCCTAGAGTGCAGGCGACGAAAGCTGAAATGTGATCGGATGCATCCTTGTTCGAGTTGCTACAAGTCTAATCGTAATTGTTTGTTTTTGGCCCCTGCTACCGACCCAGCATCGCGCATGAAATTCACAGAGATCAAAGACAGAATCGGGTCTCTGGAGCGCGCTCTAGAACAAGATGCAGTTACTCCCCATGGAAATATCATAAAGCAGGAGGATACAAGCGAGAGCCGCCTTGAGACTGAAAATTCTGCTGTGAACTCCGGGGGAATCGTCGATACAGTGGTAAAAGAGGAGAGCCAGCTTCCTGTTCCAGACGACGAGAAGAATCTTGAACCTACGCCTCTCGCTGTGCAGGATGCAGCTTACGAGGATGAAGGAGATGATAACGTGTTTGATTTGGGCTTTAAATTTGGGAAGATGAGAATGACAGATCGAATTGGAGGTTTCTTCAGACCAAGGATTGCTGATGAGGTAGATTCTATCGATCCCTGGTTTGTTATCTATAGGCTCTGGGTTCCAGAGTTATATGTTGTGCTCTACGTGTGCTGACAACGTTCACCAAACTAATATAGCTCTCTGCGGCATTGGACATGTTACATGTGTCCGATCCACCGAAAACAAGCACACCAGCCTCTGCTGTCAGCTTCGAGCAGTCACGGAGGTGGTCATCTATAGCGGAAAATCCACACTTTCGTCCCAGTCCTTCGTATGCGGCACCAAGTTCCGACTTATGTTTTGGTGGTGCTTCGCAATATACACTTATGGAATTTTTGCCCACACAGGTGGCTGCAGATAGGCTGTTACGGCAGTACTGGGAGGCAGTACATCCAGTCGCAAAAATTGTCCATCGCCCGACGTTTGAAAAGCAGTATAGCGATTTTTGGGCAAACGTTTCACAGGGCATCGAGCCACCGTATTCCCTTCAAGCACTTTTCTTCTCGACCCTCTTTAGTGCAGTAATTAGCATGGCGGAAGACACTCTTCAAGCCATTTTCAGGGTTCCCCAAAAACAGATAATTCAAAATTTCCAAGGGGCTACAGAGATGGCTCTAGCGAAGGCCAACTTTCTAAGAACGACGAAAACGCAGACCTTGCAGGCATTGGTTATGTATATCGTATGTCTCCACCATCAAATCTCAAACTATGTGAGAGTTTGCTGATCTGGTAGTTGTAGATCCCAATGTGCCGTGATGAGATTTCTCGCTCCCATTCAACCCTAGTTGGCGCCGCTATTAGACTCGCGGAGTGTATGGGCTTCCATCGGGACCCCGAAGAGTATGGCCATGGGCCTGTCGAGTCTCATGTACGGCGCATGATCTGGTATCATATTTGTTTTCTCGACCTTCAAACCAGTGAGATGCAAGGACCCCGACCATCAATTCGTCGGGAAGACTTTTCAACGAAATTTCCCGTCAATATGGATGACGCCGAATTGGCTACGACGGATCCTACCTCAATCTCGGGTATGCCCAGATGGACAGATATGACACTTACAAGAATTCGATTTGAATGCTGTGAGCTACGCCGACTTATTCTTGTAGACAGGATCCGGTTGGAGAAGAAGCAAGTTAGTTTAACCCAGGTCCTAGCGAAAATCGAAGCTTTCCGAAAAGCGACCATTGCAAAATACGGCCCCCTTATTCTTGTACCGAATCCACAGCCAATACAACAGGTTGCAAAATATATGTTGTCAATTCTGACACGCCGCGCCTACATATCTTTGTTACACCGGTACCTCAACACTGTTGCTGTTCGTATTCCCGATCGCCTGGCCCAAATTGTAATCACAAACGGCATGCAAATCCTTGACGCTTCAATCGCACTAGAGAGCTCCGCTGAATTGCGTCCTTGGGCCTGGTACCATGGTGCCTTTAATAACTACCATATTGCCCTCCTTCTTCTTTTTGAGATTTGGACTCACCCTGAGCGAAAGGAAGCGGATCATATTTGGGAATGTCTGGACTACGCTTTTGAGTTGGATGCTACAGCGCCCGACTTGGCAAGGAATGTCGACCGTCTAGATGTATTACAGCATCGAGATGCTAAAGCCCGATTTATCCTTCGAACCGTACGCAACGGAATGATGGAGTACCGAGAAGCAAGGAGATTGATAATACCGAAGAGCATGTCTAACTCAAAGGTCTTGCCGCCAATTCCACTAGATGTTGATAGTTACACGGCCTCGTTGACTCGAAGAACCCAAAGCGCCCCCACAAGATCCCCTCTGGCCCCCATAAGCGAAGCCCGGGGTACATCGATATCATACTCACATAACCTACCCACTGACTCCATACCTAATGATCAGCAGTTTCAGACCCAATTCAATTCTCCAAAGGGCGTACAGCAGTCGTACCTCCCTCAACAGGCGAATACGTTTCAATATACAGCCCCCCCCGCGCCCGTATCTCAACTTGCTCCGCCTACTTTTCTGTCCCCCAGCTACGGGCAGCCGGCCTCATTTCTACAAGAACCCCAGCCTATCCAGGAGAACAGGAGCATTGCTGGTCTCGAAGATGCAGGAAACAATGGCCTCTGGTTTCTCTCAAACACGGGATTGGCAAGTGCAGGAGCTGCTCCATCCGTGGGAGGATATATATTTTCGCCGGCGGCTGGCGAGACTCAATTATCAACACCTGAAATTGACTGGGTAAGTAAGATTCAGTTGTTGATAACTCAATTCACCTGCGTACTTGCATTTTACCTTCCACTTCCGAGTATGCTAACTTTGATTCCCCTTTTTCAGAACGAATGGGATCAGATATTTACACCTGATGTTCATAACATGGACCTTTGAGTTCTTTGACAATTTATGAAACTGCAGAGCCAATCGTGGGGCAGACGCCACAATGATTAACCGCTTGCGTTTCCCTTCCATTTTGCAATTACAATTCCTGCTTTAAGGGCATCCCCAAAGGACAGCCATTTAAAAATCCACCCTGACATTCGCCACTTAGAGAAGCCAGCTAGGCCAAATTCAGCCAGCTCTTGATCTCTTCGTTCCAAAAACCTCGCCAGCCCAGGAAAGACGTCTTCAGTGATGTCCTCTATCGTAATATTTTCCACTGCATAGCCTGCTTCCTGCAATTCCCGCTTATATGCGGACATGGTCATGAAATTTGAAAATGGAGCTGACAGGGCTGGAGTAAGCAGACGTAAAAGGACGCCGTTAAAGACCGACCTTAATGAAGATGAGGGAGGCGCGAGGAATATGTCGAAAGCGATGAAGTGAGCTTGAAGGACGCAGTGAGAATAGTTCAGGATTTCGCGCCGCGATGGCTGGAAATGATATGCAGAGTCAAGTGCAAGCACATATCGCTCAGTGTCTATTGGAGAAAGGCTGCCCTGTGACCTTTCTGTTGCGAAAGCAAGTGATACAGCCTGCTGCAAATCCTGCGGCCACGAGGATGGCCTTCCAGCATCGCCACAAAATAATTGAGGTGCCTTTGGACTTTGTAACTTCGTTTGAGTAGGCTCTATGTATTCGGATGTCTTCAACCTAGATTTGGCGAATTCATACTGCGTTCTATCCAAAGTGATGCCAATGTAATGCTGAAACAAAAGTGTCTTTGTCTCTCTACTGCTTGCTCGAAGCGCTGCCATTCTTGTTAGATAAAGTGTTTGTTCGCCGCACCCGTAGCCAAGATCAAGCAACACCCTCTTCGTCTTTGAATTCTGTGTGCAAGATGAAGTACTGGCATCTCCGAAGAGGCCTGCTCTTTGGAGTATTTTATCCACCAGCGCCTCGCAAGCTTTCGGCAGGTCTGTTGCATCCTATCAAGATTCGCTCAAGTAATTCTAATCAGATGAGCAGGTCCAGCAAGGCTGTAAATAGAAAAGAACAAGATGATTATATGTAATAAAAGTGACAGGGCAAATATAAGCAAGATTTCTATCCTGCCTGAAAGGCAATGGATTGTTCAAAGTATAAGGCGCAAAAAGATGAATGTAGCCTACCTTCCAATATCCCATATTCATCCACATCTTCTCTGGCGGAAATTTTAAACACAAATTAAGAACAGCATGGTCCAGGCTATAGAGCCCTTTACTTTTAGGATCTCCATCAGCGTGTATCGCCCGACGCCAGCGCTCGAGAGCTCGTCGCACCAGAAAGGGAGTCAAGAGGCCAAGCCCATACGTGATGACGAGAGGAATTAAGTTTGGGGAGGAAAGAAAGAAAAGGAATGGAAGCGGGATGGAAGAAACAAACAGCAACGAAGCCAGCATGGTCCGGCTAATGCACGGGGCCTCGAGGGCAATTGCAAGCTCAAGGCGAGGTTGATAGATGGAGAGAGTGGGTGGCTACGCTTTGTTGATGACGATTGAAGCTCTGAAGGCGCAACCAGAAAACAGAATCTCGATTACCCAACCTCCTCCCCAACTCACCGGCTAGTTACTGACTATTGTCTGGAATTTCGACAGGCGGCGTGAACAGAATGGCACCGCCTCGTACTCCATGCTCCTTCAAGGGATTGCCTTCGCCGTCCGTGGCCCATCCTACCAAGTCCGTAAACCCGCATCGCTGATAGAACCGCTCCTTGCCCGCTGCGGCCATGACATTCGCCATAACGCGTTCTTCTCTGGCACGCTCAACCCCCCACGTCGCCAGTTCTCGCCCATGACCGCGATTTTGGTATTCCGGATGCACGGCGAGACAAACAAGCGACCAGGCATTCCGACGCGATTCTGGATAGGAGTAGTAGTGGGAAACATAGGACTTGATGGCGGCGTTGAAGCGAGACGGCGTCAGCTGCGGAGGCCTGGCGATAGTGCGGTCGGGAAACACGAAATTAGCGAGAGCGTTGAAGAAGACAACGAGCGGTCGAATAAGACGTCCTATATGGTTACGAGAATTGGCGTTCAACGACCTGAGCGCTGGTCTTCACGTATCGAACAACATACTTGGATCCCACCAGCCCCAGAGGCCCCATACCTTCTCCCAGCCCAAGCCTGCACGCCGCCATTCTGCAGCCCCTGTAATAACCTCCTTGCCCGACGCCTGTTCCGTCTCGAAGCTCACTAAAAACACCCTGGAAAGATCCCAGTACCGCTCCCTACAGCGACGCCTCCAGCCAGCAACGTAATCTTGTGGATATTGATCGCGGTATGGGCGGAGTAAGCCACCGATCACCTCTTCGTCGTGGAACCCCGCAGCCAGGATCGAGGTTATTGTAGGAAGGTCGCCATAGCGTCCAAGGCGGACAGGCATCGCAGCAAATTATGTTTGCAGAATAATGGAGTGTTTATGATTACAGAATGCTCGTCAAAAAGATGAAATGCAGAGTACGGAATACAGGCTGGCCTCCACCATGAATGAATGTTACAAGCCACAAAAGCTGATCCAAACAGAAAAGTTGCTAGGATCCCTGGCATTTCGCCAGCTTCCCGACAATTTAATCCCGCCTCAAAGCGAAGAATGGACTCCGGCCTCAAAATAGAAAATGCCCTGTCTGGGGCAGTATATGACTACTCAAAAGAGTACTGCACACAGGAAATTTGACACATATACAGATTAACATGATAGCAAACGAAAGTAAGATGCACTTGTTGAAGACTGTCAGCATTTTCTAATCGCTAGCTATACTGAAAGCTTGAACCAAGTTGATTTGGAATGTCTGCATGCACTTTGTCCGCCGTGTTATGCCTTAGTCTGAAAATGACTATGTTTTTCCGGCATTGAGCTACATCGGCTGTGACCCCAACTCTGGCTCTTTGTCAATATGCCATTGATTGAGTTACAAATGTCGAGACTAGCCAATGAAGTACAACAATCACAGTTGCTAATTGCACATGAGCTTGTGCACTCAATATCAAAACACAAGATCTCAGGGAGCAATTAAGATGTTCTGTGAGCATTCTGTTTTCGGGTGAAAATTTTTTTTTCGAAGCAAAAAATCGGTTCGGCGTTATAGAATTTAGGTGCTATAATGACGGTATAAGAGATTTTCTTTTCCAATAAATACAAGATACCACTTGAGCTTATCTGAAGCTATAGCTCCATGGCACGCAAACTGCAGTTACTTTTTCCAATAAAGTTTGCCCCCTCAGCGGGAAGCTTTAGTACCTGAGGTCAGGAATGAACTACCTGGATAAAGAGGCACGCTTGTAAAATTTATTGAAGACAGCAGTACAAATTCGATCTAATGCGGGTGCCACGGCAGCCCTCATTCGTATTGTCTGAGAAAAACTAACTACCATTAAAGGGTGTGTGGTGCGATGAAGATTCAACTGGAGATTCGGATTTTTAAGCCGCACTGCGTTTAGCGGACCAATGGGGGTAGTGAACTAACTAGTGGACTAGTTGACTATTGACCCGATTTTTAAGCGCCGCTTGCTCTGATGACGTCAGTGCAGCGCGGCTTCTGTCTTCGATCTCCGCCAGTGCTGCTGCCGCGTATTACGGAGGCGCCTGCTGAGCATCGCCAGTGGGGTTTACTGGCGATCCTCTTGCCCGTCTACTATCTTCAGAATACAGCCAGCATGCAACCATATACCACTAAGCTAAAGTCTTTCTCTTTGAAGAATTGATATTACGGAGTACTCGCCAAGATTGTCTCGAAGGGCAGGGGAATTGGAAAAAGACAGATATGTCCACGGTCACCCAAATTCTTTATTTCACGCTTAAAGAGTCTGTTGTGCCCGAGAGTCCAACGAATGACCCTGGGAGGCTCTTTTCAGAAGTAGTGTGTGCTGCGAGATGTCTTTTTGGGTATATAAAATCTTGCTGGAGCAGGACACTTGAAAAGGAAAATGACATTGTTTGGATTATAGGTGGGTATTGCTGCTTGATTTGTTATGATAAGAATATTATGGTGCTGACAGTCTCCCGGTAAAGAGTGGAAAGAGACGGAAAGGCCGGAAGACAACATCCGCCGCTTCCCCATGTGTCTGATAACAAGTTGCCTCGAGTTTGAAACGATGGTATTCCCCTACTACGCCACATTCACTCCGTCACTAAGTGTCAACCTCTTAGAGGCACCAGTCCTCGAGATTAAACTCCTCCTATTTCCTAGAGAACTTGATTCTGCCGATACGTCCAGGTTATGGGATAATCTCTTTCACTTCCGCACTGAGTGCCTTCACTTGACGGGCTGTGCACCAGCTACCGGTATGTCTATAGGCTCCGTCCGTTGGCCTGATACGACGTATACTGCACCTGTGGACACCGGGCCGCGTCAGGCGCGGATGGTGGTCATCCTTACGGGGTGGGGGAGTAGGGCTGAGCAAGGGGCGGCGGAGAAGTCGGAACAATTCAGGAATGCAATGGAGCCGCTCAAGGCAATGATGCTGCCGGCTGACCCGTTTCTGCGGCCGAGACACATTCAGATAAGATGGCCAGATTCTCCCGAGCGACAGATCCCCGAGATGGAGTCTTCCGAGTCTTCCGAGTCGTCCGAGTCTTCCGAGTCGTCCGAGTCTTCCGAGTCGGAGGACCCCGGGACAGAGACACTACCTAATTGAATTTCAGATGTTTCATTGGTTGGACCAGTTATGCTCCTACTTGACTTTTCTGAGGTACTATCTGCTGTTATTGCTTTAAGCGAGTTAGAATTGTAGTCAATATAACTGTATACCTTAACAAAATTATGGAGACTTCGGGAGTCGAATAGACTTGAGTCATACCCTAAAACCCTTCTCCATTCTATGGGGAGAACGACCAATACTATGGCGATGCGTATATTTACTGAGACACATCACACATTTTTAGCAATATAAGAGAGTAATGTAAAGAAACTTAAGAGGAAAAGTATGAAAGGTAAAATAATACGATTTGGAGAGTAAAATTACATAGGATCGAAGACAAACAATGCAGGCGGCATCAGCTAAACCTTGCTTGATAGGTAGAAAAAATTAATTTTGGCCCAGAGGGGTGAAGAAATAAAGCTCATACAGACCATGGCATTAAATCCGATGCTTCTCACTCTCTGTGTAAGACAGTCAGTAATTATCTTACCATCCTAGGATCTCATCTAGACTCACCAAGTCTTGAATAAAGCATATAAAGCGCCATTTGGTTACACTCTTGAGTTCCAGTGATAGTCACCAAACGTTCATTGCTGTTGTCCTGAGGTTCATTGATCTTGATAACGCTTCCACTCAGATGACGAATTTCATTGATCTTAGCGCCTCCCTTGCCAATGATAGCTCCAACCATATCATTAGGAATGAAAATTTGCTGCGTCAATGGTCCCCCGGCAACAGGACCACCCATTGGCTGCGCAGGTGGCACATGGCTGGCGTGGGGAGGCTGGGGGGGCCCACCATAGGGAGCAGGCTGGTGCGGGCCTGCCCCAGTATAACCTTGACGGGGTGATGCATTGTAATGAATTGGCTGCTGCATCGCGTGTGGGCTTGGGCCACCAGGTCCTGCCATGTATGGCATGCCGTAGCCAGTGGACACCGCACGATTCGCTTGCGGGTGTCTTTTAAAGTTATCTGGATGTCCATACTGTCCACCAGCGGGCTGGGGAACGTAAGGAACTACCTGCATGCCGCCGGGAACAACACCAGCAGGTCCACCGGTACGAGTAGCGTATGCAGACGCAGCCGGTCCGCCAAATCGTTCTGTCAGCTGCTCCACTAAGGTCGCAGCAACGTAATAGGTGGCAATATGTACAGCGTCAGCAACACCAAGAATAACAAGGGATCTTTCAGTAGATAGAGGGAGACAAGAGTCCGAGGCATTCAGTCTGGCTCCAGAGTGTTCCTGAATTTCGCGAATGCGAACCCCAGATTTACCAATAATGGAACCAATGAGGATATGGGGAATGAGAAGTCGAAGGGGGTAGGTTTTAGACTGAGCTGTAGAGGGTGCATCTAAAGGTTCATTATTCAAAGTGCGAATGATCAGTCCGAAGGCCTAGGGAAAGAAGGTGTTAGTCTGTGGACCCAGCATATGATTGTGCAGTCACTTCAGAAAAGTACCTTTGCAACAGCGTCTTGAGGGCCGCTGACTGTTAAAATCCTTTCAACAGCCCCGCGGGTATAATCGCTAACAGTACATTTGGCACCCGAAAGGCGACGGATCTGGGAAACGTTTTCTCCCCCTTTGCCAATACAGGTTGCCGCCTCAGCACTGGAAATAACAGCACGAATGTGGATAAACCCGGTCTCATCCTGTGTTCCGTGAGCCTGACCAGAAGCTTGAGGCACTGGCTCGTTGTGCGACGCTGTAGATTGAATAGGTTGTGTTTCCAACGGAAGGCCTTGAGAGGGCTTTCCATTATGGGGGGCATCGGGAACGACTAAATCACCTTGACCATCTTTAGTATTATTCTGGCCTGAGCCATCGTCTTCGGTAGCAGGCTCGGCCTTACTAGCCTCCGTCTTCACGTTGTTTTCGTCAGATTTCTCTCCATCACCTTTAACCACTTTAGCTAGCGCTTGACGTTTGGCGTCTGGTTGATCGGTCGGACCGGAGGGCGAAGACGGATCCTCAAGAGGACGTTTGGTAGATGGAACAGCTGAATTTGGTGAAGCGGACATGATGGGCGTTGCTCGTGCGGTAACGGATCTGCTAGTCTGCGACTACGCTTGAGAGAAGAAAAAAAGCCCGGACAGGACTGACTGAAAATTCTGCTTCCTATTCTTTTCTGTATCGTCTATGTACACCAGGAGTTCCCAAGGAAAACTTGCTGGTGCAGGTGGTCGACTTGGAAAGGAAGGTGGTGCTTGGTGCTGAGGAAGAGCGGAGTGTTGGGCTGAGTAAAATGAATGCTTGCCACGGCTAAACCGGCGAGGAGAAAAAAAGTCTTGCTAAGGGTGACGGTGTTGCGGGAAGTAGATGAAGAGTTTTCTTGATATGCCACGAAGAATGCTCAGGTGAAAAGCGGACTGGTGAAACGACGATTGTCGCTTGCGAAAAAGGGTGTTTGGCAGATTGAGGGATCAGAAGGGGTGATAAAACGCAAATATCTCCTGAATGCTTTCCAAAGCTTATCTTGTACCTATGTTCTTGATATCGAGTTCTTGTTGAAGCTGACTGGTGTCGCGGAAGGGGATGAAAATGGCCGGAACCCACGTGAGCTGCAAGTATAAAATACGGGCGTAGAAATCAGTAGCGATCACTCAGTGAGAATGGTGATGACCAGCCAGAAGAAACAGGGGGTAACGATAGCATGAAGCCCGGTGATGAAGAGGCAGAGTTGAGCAACAGCTCGACATGAATGAAGGCGAAGGTGGAAACTGGCTGCCTCTAGCGTGTTTTTTTAGCGACTGGGCTGACTAGCCTATCTTGGTATAGCCTGATTATCACGTGCTAGACTCGACTTATGTAACTAGATTCCAACCGTTTACGGAGTACTTACATCATTTCTAGCTGAGCTGCTTCTATTGAGTTGTTTCCGAGCAAGCCAGTTAGTTAACTACTCACCTCCCTTCCTGTATACTGCAATGAGTCAACCATCAATAAACCCCACCGCTAAAATCCTGCAATTTGCAGAAAACTGCAAGGATCTCGAGTCCCATTGTCACCAACAGTCCTTACCCCCAGACCCTGTTCATTATAATACACAATTAGATGAGGCCATTAAAGAGCTTCGAGATCGTGCCGAGGCGCAGGAATCTATTCTACAAGAAGTACATTAAGCAAGCACTTGTGTTTTAGGGATGTAGCATTAACAGACATTCAAGTTACGAGCAAAACGACCCCTCGACCTTCCCCAGCCAAATTTAGATGCCCTTGCCCGCCTCGCACAAACCCACCGGGCAACACATGCATATCAGTCATTACTAAATGAAACACCACAACTACCTACACCGAACTCACCTCTCAACACCCTGTTAACGCTCCGGCAGACATTCCGCCTTGTCCAGGAACTCAAGTCTAGTATCTCTGCCGCTGCCCAAGACCTTGTCAACAATCGTGAGCGCCTGAAGACCGAAGAAGCGAATTTGCGCGACGCTCGAATGATTACGGAAGAGCTACAGAAGAGATTAGAAAATCTGCAGCGCCAACAAGAGCAAGAATCTGGTCGGCAGAAGAAACCTCAACAAATCGCCAAGGAGTTGATTGCCAATGAAGAAGAGCGTAAAGCAAAACTTGAGCAATCAACAGCAGAGCTGAAGGATTCGCTCAAACGCTTCATCGATGACCGCCTTTCTCCAATGCTTGCTGCTGAGGACCTAGGTGGCCCTGTAGTTAGCGACCAGATTGATATTTCTGATAGCACATTAGAAGTGGGATATACCGCCCATGGGAAGGAGCGAAAACCCAAAAAGAATGCAGAAACAAGCCTTGACTCCAGGCAACAACGAATTGATACACTTGTGCGCAGTCGAATGAGTGGTGTTGAGGGCCATGGTTCGGCAGATTCCAGCAAAAGACAGGCTGCTGCGACAAAAATGCACACGCTTATTGACAAACTACTGGATGTTGCGGGTTCTTCATCCTATGTTGAGCTTCAGGAAGATTCAGCGGCATCGCGATTTCTACTCAAGGCTAAAATTGCGCAGTTTCACCCTCGAGATTCGCGTAAAATTCGATTGATCAATGTTGCCAGAGACATCTTAGACTAAGATGGTATTTTCTACTTTTCATTTATTTGGTCTTGTATATCCAACATCTCCAAGTACCCCAGAAAACGGCTAGTCAATAGTGTCGTCGCGCATAGCAAACAGCTGCTTCAGAAGCTCTTCCGTGTTGGCCCGCAAAGCATTGTGATACATGGTGTTCGTGATGTAGTGCTTGCAATTTTTTATTGCAGCTGCTGTTTCGGTTGCAAAATCATAATGAACATACATGTCATCCACATATGTTGCGGAGTATACGGGAACTTCGTTTCTAGCCAGCTGCTCCTTGTCATACAGCTCTGGCCAGTCGTCATACGATGCAATGATATCGGCAACCTCTTTCAGTTGGCTCAATTCTACAGATGACTGGAAAATATTCTCATAGACCTATACCGCGGCTGCTGTTAGTGGATACAGCAGCATCTTTGGTAAGGGCTTGATTTGCCTTACCATCTCCCCTGTGAAATATATCCCACTAGAGTGCTTCTGACTTCGGAAGTTGGAAAGGTTCTTGATAAGTCTATCCGCGCACCAGTTGGATTTCGCCCTATTATAATTTTGGTCAGATTACGTTGCAAAGCAGCGACGGCCCAAGACTAACCCCTGACAATAAATCGCTTCGTGAATGACTGCATAAAGAATATTGTTGTCGAAGCTACTTGCACCATTGACCAAGGAGAGGGTCGGAAGCGTTAAGAAGTCGTACATTTCAACGTCGTTGGTACATCGCAAAACGATATCTATAAAGTGTTAGATATGATAAATTTGTAAAATTCTTTTGGCACGAACCATGAACGTAGTCAAGCCCTCCTGTTGTTATATAATAACAATTAATATTCGATCGATGTAGTTATGCCAAACGTTCATATCTGGAGTACTTTACCGCGCATCCCAAACAAGATTCCCAATGATAGGAATCTCTCTGGGGTGAGAGCCCCACCATCGGGGACCTTAACGTCGTTTTTTTCAAGGTGAGTTAGAATAGCCGTCACTCTCTCCTCATCCTCGGGAAATTTTCGGTAATACGCTTCGTTTCGCTCTTGAAGTTTCCCTATTATGGCAATCAGGTGAGGCGGCGTTAATATCTGCCAGTGAATACATACCATATGTTTTATTAAGGACTGGATCTGGATGTGAAACCAATGGTGGAAGCCCGCCCGTAGTAAAAACTTCCTTTAATCCTTGAGGGCTTTGAAGAAATCAGACAAAGCAAGGCTGTGCCAGTGAAGTTTACCCACACTTACAATTTGGAAAGGTAGGTAACAGCGCAGAAACCCCCAAAGCTTTGCCCCAGGACGCTCCACTTTTTCTTCGTTGCCGGATAGTTCGCGGTCAGGCACATACGAACAGCCTCACAGTCCTGGACGATGCTGTCGGCTCGAAAATGTCGAAGATACTTGGCTTGGTTCATGGCATTACCTTGTAGAGCCAGGGTTGCTGCTGTGATGGGAGAACTTAAGCCAGTTCCTCGCTGATCAAGAAGCAGCACCTTGCGAAGGAATTAGGCCACTCAAAGAAGAATACAAACAAGCCGAGCTGGCAGCCTACCTGGTAACCTTTATCCAGAAAAGGCCCAACCCAGCCGATGTCCTGAGGCTGCGAGCATCCCATCCCAGGCCCGCCTTGGAGGTAGACAAGCCATGGCAGCTGTCGCTCCTCCGGTTCGGCCTCAGCAGATGACGAACGCCGCTGGACCCCGCGAGCAAATAGCCTGATAGATGCCTCATTTGGGTGGCTGTGGTCGACGGGAACCTCAAACTGAAGCTCTGCGACCCTTAGCCTGCCTACCAAGGAGTCAGTCGACTTTCCCAAAAGAACATTTGACTTGGCCACAAAGCAGTGGCAAGACGTGAGGGAGAGGGCATATAGAGGGGCAAAGCGCACCAGGCACGTCTTTCAAGCGCTTGTAGATCAGCCGTGCAGCAGCCATCTTCGCACCAGGACACGAGTGCCTTTCTCAGTCACCTACACCAGTGAGCCGGCAAGGGGGGGTTTATTATTGTATGGAGTCGTTAACTACTCCGTACGGAGTACTTGCGAGAGAAACGAGTTCCGTTACAGCAGGGACTAGTAATTGCGGGTGTGAAGTTTATCCACAAGGGTTGTTGAATCGACTGCTGGCGGTTCGAGTTTGCCGCATGGCCATCCTTGTCTGTGGAGCAGCGACTCTCAGGCACTGTGGGTTCTGGCACAAGGATCAGTTCAGACCCGAAGGTATCCTCGGTTTGCCAGTTTGGTTTTGTATTTTCTTTCCTTTTTGCTTTGGAATGCCAGTGGGCTTTCAAATGTCTTGTGGAGCCAGCAATCAACAACGGGCATAACTACCATTTAACTAGAGAACGAGTACTAAGTAGTTAACTAACTACGCGACTGACAAGGGCCCCCCGAGACTCCAGCGTCTTAATCACCCGCGGCGGAGGGCTTGGTAGCCAACTCTTAAGTGGAAATCAAGTCTGTTCCGTCAAACTTTACCTGGACTTGACCCCCGCGGGGCCGCGACTTTAACCGCATCAGAGTCATTCTCATGACATGTTGGCTTCCAACTTCTCCAAACCACTACGATATGTCGGCTATGGATATGTGTGAGGTCTCTACTGTGGAGGACCAAGTTGCGCTGTCGAAGGTGGCTCTCACTTTCCAGCCAACTGATCGTGTTCTCCCGGAAGAGCAAGATCTCGAGCGTTGCAGGCAGTCACTCAGAGCATCGCTTCCCCTCAAGGGCCTGGGTTTCGCAGATACCAAAGAGCACATACTCAAAGACATCGTTCCAGGGCTGAACCTGGGGGGCGTCAGCCCAAATTACTATGGATTCGTGACAGGAGGAGTTACCCCAGCTGCTTGGTTTGCAGACAATGTTGTCTCCGCATATGATCAAAACGTTCAGGTTCACATTCGTGAGCACTCTGCGGCCACAGATGTCGAAGATCGAGCATTGGGTTTGCTGATGGAGCTCTTTCACCTGGAGAGGAAGGATTGGTCGCATGCCACCGTAACGTCTGGAGCCACGGCGAGCAATATCCTTGGGCTGGCCTGCGGCAGAGAATATGTCTTCCGTGCAGCTGCTCAAAAGAGCGGCGTGGATTGTAAAAGTGTGGGAGAATATGGGATTGCAGAAGTCTTGCGTGCGACAAACATGAATGGTTTGCAGGTTCTGTCTACCTTGCCACATTCATCAATGGGGAAAGCTGCCGGGATTCTCGGTATAGGGCGTTCTAGTGTTAAGAATGTCTCTTTAGACGGAAATCCCCTTCAATTTGACCTAGATCGCCTCGAGAAGGAATTATCTCTACCCGGAGTAGCGAGTATTGTTACAGTCTCCTGCGGTGAAGTGAATACCGGTCGCTTTGCGACAGGTGGAATTGAGGAATTTAAATGTATTCGGGACTTATGTGACAGGTATAATGCCTGGCTGCATGCTGATGGAGCATTTGGAATATTTGGCCGCATGTTTTTCGGTCAATACCAATCAACAGAGTTCGATTCTATAAGAAGGGGCTGTGAAGGCTTGGAACTCGCAGATTCAATCACTGCGGATGGACATAAGTTGCTTAATGTGCCCTATGATTGCGGGTTCTTTTTCTCTCGTCATTCAGATATTGCCCAGGATGTCTTCCGCAACCCGAATGCTGCATATCTCGCCTCTTCCAACGTTGCGACGGACCCGGTAGTTTCTCCGAATAACATCGGTATTGAAAACTCCAGGCGCTTCAGAGCTTTGCCTGTTTACGCTACTCTCTTAGCCTATGGCCAAGAGGGATACCGATCGATGCTTGAACGGCAGATCAAGCTTGCTCGCCGGGTTGCAGCATGGCTATTTGACCACCCAAAATACATCACGTTGCCTAACGGTCTGTCAAGAGAGAAAGTAATAGAGGATACCTTCATAATTGTTCTTTTCAGTGCGAGGGATGATGATCTCAATACAAAATTAATGGGCAATATTAACCGAGCGTCGAAGATATATGTATCTGGGACGAGTTGGGAAGGGCGGGCAGCATGCAGGATCGCGGTTTCAACCTGTAAAGTGGATGTTGAGAGAGACTTTGCTCGCATAGTAGAAGTATTGGAAGATGTTGCTAACTAAGACAGCGTCATTTTTGTTTCTGTAAATTTTTCAGATAGTGACATCGAAATATGTATGATGTACATACATCATCTTCGTCTCCCAGCGGATGGGATATCTCCTCTTTCAGACATGCTGACGACTTCACCAATACCAGCCTCTTCCTGTTCGTCCTCTAGAGCAGTGATTTCCTCCCGGCAATCCCACCATTTTTCTTCTGCTAAATCAAATGCGTCCTTTCTCAACTCCTTGATGGTCTTTTCAGTTGCTGAATCGCTGTCTCTAAGTTTGGCCAGCAGTAATTCTTGCCATTCTGTTGAAGTCCTGGTATAAAAATCTCGTAAATTCTCAAACGGCCGCGGATGAGGACGTGAATCTTGAGGCTGAGGCTCCGTTAGTTCCTGATCCGCGTCCGTCTCCATAGGGGTCGCCTCTGTGACTTCAGTTGGGACAGTAGACGGAGCGTAGGCAGACTCAGTATCTTCCTCTTCGTTATCGCTTTCTTCTATTTCGTCTTCTTCCATTTCTTCGTCGCTCTCTGCCTCGGCAATATCATTCCAGTGTTCAGGTTCTTCGTAGAAGATCTCTTTGACACCATCGAGCTTCATCAGGTCTATCGAGTACAAGTCGTTGAACGTGAATTCTTGGTCATTGCGCTCAAATGTCCCGCCAAAGATAAATAGCGTGTCTTCTTGCACAGCAAGTTGCGCATTGAACCTCGGGTGAGGCATTTCAAATTTAACTGGTAAAGATAGTTTTGCCTCGGTTTCCTCATCTTCTTTTGTCGCCGTGTCGATGTCCATTTCTTGAATGTCTGGTGTTAAGCCACCTTTTGCCTCCAAACGAGCTAGATTTTGAAGGAGCTCCTCTTCATCTGCCCTGGTTCGATTGCGTGATTTTGCCATCTGAGATGCAGTTTGTTGTTTCTTATTCCCGGCTCTCGGTCTTCGCAGTGACAGCTGAAAGAAACGATTGCGTTCTACATTCCAAGCGTATAGGAGGTCAAAGAACTCACTATCAATGCCTTCCTCCGTCGCTTCGACATCATGAACACCACCAAAAAGAATCCCACGTCCTTTATGATATGCCATAGTCACTCCTGCTCGGGGTGGGTTTGGGGGATTGGCAGGCTTCTTTCTACGCTCCCATCGGACGGTTGGCTGCGTGTTCGCTGGTGCATCAGCTGTCGGAGGCGTGATGCGGAGGAACCACGTATCCTGGTGCACTACAGGCTTCAATGCCATACGCTGAGGGCCACCCTTCTGGCCCTTTCCAGCTGTAACAGACATTTTGACTCTTGAGTAGCCTCCGTAGACAACAGCGCCCGCTTCATGGGGAAGAAGAGAAAAAGAGGAGCGAGCATCAGGTTTTTGTGATGCAGGTGGTAAAACTGGGTTATACCAGGTATATTTCAAACAATCATAGATCCATAAGTCTTGGAGGTACTTTGTTTGTTGCGAGGTATCCTGAAAACCGCCAAACAGAATAATGTAGTTCTGACCATATGTCAGTGATGATAAGAATGGAATACTCAACTAGTACTACCTTTGGGTTTTCTTACCTTGAAATATGTCATTCTATGTCCACTGCGTGCTGGAGGGCCCTTGCTTTTAGTTTCCAACCGAGTCCATTCCCTGGTGGAGGGGTCCAAATGCCAAAAATCATTGTAATGATAGAAAGTCCCCTGTTTTGGGGAAGAAAATTCTCCTGTTCACTGTTATTCATATTTTGACCGGTAGGTTTATATTGAGGTGATCTGACCTCCAAAAAGATAAATTCCTCCAGCGTTCCCTCCTCGACACCACGCATGCCCACTTCTTGGTAGCGGACTATTCGGACTTGTCACCTCTCGCCACTCGTTTCTATCAATTAGATAGACATATAGATTGTTGAAAAAAGAAGCCAGAGCCCCATCATAAAATTCACCCCCAAAGACGAAAAGCTCGTTTCGATTTGACGGTGATGCAATCAGTGTGGAAGACGAACGAGGTCTTGGTGGGTTACTGCTGGCTTCTGTAACCTTCAAGAATTTCGCCTGCTCCTCAGCATAGGCTGCTAACACGGCATCTAAGTCAACATCCTCTGCGTCACTGTCGTCTTGTGCGTTGCTTTTTGCTTTGCCCTTCTTTTCCTTCTGCGCTGCCTTCTTCGCCTGTTTGGCTGTAGCACGAGCCTTTTGCTCCGCCTTCTTTGCCTTCTTGTCTTTTACACCCATTTCGAATATGGTGGTTCTTCTGCTAGCTGTTAAATGTCGGACAGCCAACTCCCGGTAGCGACAAGGTAGACGGGTGGGCTTGTCCTGCGGGGTATAAAATAGTAAGACCCTTCAAGGGATATGCGCTAGTTGGTTCAGATGCGAAATCCTTCACAACTCCTATTCATACATATGAATTACGTGGCTTTCAGATCTTTACTCTCTATTTTGACTACTGGAGGGTTCGGCCCGATAACAAGTGCAGAGTAGAGTGACTTCTCGCCCACCCACCTTTGAGAGACACGCGATGTACCGAAACTTTAATACCATCACGTGAACACGCGACCTCCAAACAACGCCGAGGACTATAACCGCAGACCACATCTCTAAACCCCAAAACGCTAGGATGCACTGACGGCCCTTCATGGTGAACAGATATGACTCGCATCTATGACAAAGCATAATCTGGGACATCATTTGGATTGGCTCTTGAACCGCGTTTCCTCCTTTTCCACTCCAAGCATCCAAACGCGACTTCAAACTGGCAGTCAACATCCCAGCCAGCGTGACGCTCTTGTCCGAAGCACTCCTATTCCTATACCCACTGCAAACAGCACGGCACCATGTTCTACTCAGGTAGTTGACATTGACTCCCACCCTACTTTGAATAATGATGGTGCTGGCGCGGCGTCTGAGAACGATAATATGGCCCGTCTCAACCTTGCACCGCCCTCCGCATCGAAAGCGACGCTACTCTGCCTAGAACCCAAGGAAAAAGAAGAGCGATCCCCTAGCTATTCCTCGAAACGGAAGAGCGAATTTATTTTGGAAGAGCCTAATTCGAGCAGATCTCGATCTCGACCTTCGCGTCAGTCAACTGCTTCTATGAAATAATCTTGTGATCTATGCTAATATGCCCTGTTCAAAATAGCCAGGAATTCTGGAACGTCCCAATCCACACTTCAGAAGCAAAGCTCATCGCTGTCTTCATCTTCTAAGGGTGAATACACTTTTGCTCCCGATCTTCTACCAGATGACATCGAATCCATCGATCTAACAAACGATGTCGATGTTCATACCTCGTCCTCTGGTACCGTTTCAGCTTTTGGGGAACCCGAAAGGCTGTGGACAGAGGATTGTGCAACTCGCGCAGAACCATTAGCAACTCACCGAGGGAAAAAGAGGAAAAGCGATGAATACGAATCCGACATTCGTCGTTATCGTCCTAAGATGGAAATATCCAGATACGATATCCCTGAATCATGTACCCAAACAAAAGCTGTAATAGCGCCCGATTTCAAGGCTGAGAACACGCCAAAGCGGGAGAGTGTTAACACTGGGCTCATAGCCGCCAGCGACTCCGAAAACCATGACAATATTGCTTCTTGGCTTTCGAGGAACGGTAGTCCATCTCAGAATTGCTCTAAAAACACTATCGATTTGTACCCACGTCTAATGCAGAGTGGCCAAAAGACGCCGGCCGCGCAGACCCCTGCTTACAAGCCTTCTATTATGGAGAAAAACCTTGGTCAGAGTCGGACTTTTTGTGAAGAGAATAAAAATAGAGATACCTCGACAATAATCAATATCGGCTCTTCCACTGGAAATGATGATGCCTTACTCTGCCCTTTGGATTTTAGCCCCACCCAGCTTGCCGATATTCTCATGAAATTGGAAGCTGAGCGTGCAGAAAAAGCAAATGTCATTGTTTCACATGTGATGGAAGGAGAGGTTCCTCAGCCCCTGCTTGATGAAGTAAAATTTTCAGCCGTAAAGATCAAGGCGGTTCAAGATCTTCAAAAAGAGAGGGGATTATATGATTCTTTGTTTAGTCGGTTTGAACCGCTCAGAGATGAGTTGGTCCACCAAACAATATCTGGAAATGACCCTTCGTTGTCTTCAACAGTTGAAGAACTCAGAAAGTTAAAATCAGAAATGCATAAGCAAAAGACCAAGATGGCAGACTTGGTTTTACAAGCCGGCCTTGACATCGCACCGCTTACCAACGCTGAGATACCGAATCACACCGTTCTTGTCTCTGGCACACAACTTTCCAGTAAACATGCTGAAAATTCAACTTATACATCCGTAGCGCCTTTGCCGACGCCTGTTTCCGCTTGTCCTAGGCAAGCATATTACTCAAATGGGCTCGATCGCGCAGGGCTTGAACACACCTCTAATACCGGCCCGACAATTAATAAAACGTCTACGGGCCATTTTGGGAGTTTTAATAGAAGCAACATGCAGACACCAATTCCCGGAAACCGTATAGGAAAGCTTTCTACTTCTCAGAATATCGATGATTTTGACTACGACGATGATGTGTTTGATGATGAGGACCTCTTTTCTAGGAACATGGGAACTCCTCTGGAGACAGCCCGGGCAAATTCTGAATTTGACTTTGATGCCGATGATGATATCCTCCAGGCAGTAGCTGGATTTGATAGTGACTTGTTTATTCCCAAAGAGCCACAGCTACATTCCCGACAGGTTTTCCGGGAAACAAATGGTAACTTGATTCGGTCGCCAATACGGAAAAAAGCGCAGGACTTGGATACCCATGGAGTGATCGAGGGCATGACCTATTCGTGGTCAATGGATGTCAAAGCGGCTTTGAAAGATGTTTTCCGCCTTCGTGGCTTTCGCCCCCACCAACTTGAAGCCATCAATGCAACCCTCAGTGGAAAAGATGCATTTGTCTTGATGCCAACTGGGGGAGGAAAGTCGCTCTGCTATCAACTGCCGTCAGTCATCCAGTCTGGTCGTACTCGGGGGGTAACAGTGGTCATTTCGCCGCTTTTGAGCCTGATGGATGACCAAGTAGATCAATTACGGTCTCTAAGCGTTAAGGCCAGTTTCATCAACAGCTCGTTAAGTGCTGAAGCACGCCGTGAAGTATTCTCTCTGCTTCGCAGCTCAAATGTCGTGGAGCACATTCAACTCTTATATGTGACCCCAGAAATGGTTCAAAGAAGTACAGTCATGCAGAACGTTCTCAGGCAGCTATATCGTAGGAAGCAACTGGCGCGACTTGTTATTGACGAAGCGCACTGTGTGAGTCAATGGGGCCATGACTTCCGACCAGACTATAAGGAACTAGGCGATTTTAGGCGCGAATTTTCTGGGGTGCCTTTGATGGCCCTTACAGCTACTGCAACACAGAATGTTCAGGTCGATGTTATCCATAACCTTAGTATGCAAGGCTGCGAGAAATTTACACAGTCCTTTAACCGCCCGAACTTGACCTACGAAGTACGTATCAAAACTAACTATGATGAGGTCCTTGTTAGCATCGCCGAAATAATTCAGGAATATAAAGGTAAGACTGGTATCATATATTGCTTGTCGAGGAAAAACTGTGAAAGGGTAGCCAGTGACCTGCGAGCGATGCATAAAATCAAAGCCGAGCATTACCATGCCGGCATGGATGCCAGTGAACGACTTAGAGTTCAAAGAGAATGGCAAAAAGGCCGCCTGCACATTATTGTGGCCACAATCGCATTTGGCATGGGAATTGATAAACCAGATGTTCGCTTTGTAATTCACCATAGCGTCCCAAAGAGCTTAGAGGGCTTTTATCAGGAAACAGGTCGGGCTGGACGAGATGGCAAGCGGTCCGAATGTTTTCTCTTCTACGGATACCGAGATGTCGTGGCAATTCGAAAAATGATTGATGATGAAAAGAAATGCAAAAAGGATCCACAGCAAAAAGCTAGACAACATCAGATGTTACAGCAAGTAGTTCACTTTTGCCAAAACAAAAGTGACTGCCGACGGGTTCAGATATTGGCATATTTCAGTGAGACTTTTAAACGGGAAAACTGCAAACAAACTTGCGATAATTGCAAATCTGGATCCAAACATGAAATCATCGATTTTACTAAATATGCCGCCTCGGCGTTAAAACTTGTCAACCGCGTTCGAAATGAACGGGTGCCCGTATTATACTGTATTGACATCTTTAGAGGAGCTACACCAAAGCGATTCTTTCGACAGGAACATACAACTTTCGAAGAGTATGGAATGGGTTCCCATCTAGACCGGGGGGATGTTGAGCGGCTGTTTGGAAAACTCCTTTCCGAGGGAGCCTTGGTTGAAAGAAATATACCTAATCACAAAGGCATTGCAGAGCAATTTGTGGAACTTGGGCCTAACGCCGCTGAGTTTCGCTCCGGTCGACGTAAATTCACACTCGCTGTGAGATCGTCTCCAAAACCAAAGAAAGGTCATTCTGCGAGCTTAAAACCCCCCAAGAAGATTCGAAAACGGAGCGATACGACCAGTACAGGCGTTCGGGCGGCGATGGACGAATTTCCCCAATCGACGAATGTTTCATCTCCTATACCAAACCTCTCTCGACGTCGTGCTGGCACCCTGACAAATGCTGATGACTACGATTTTGAGAGCGCAGCAGATAGTGACGGATTTGAACCTGTGCGTGAATACGCAAGCCCCATTTCTCACCAGATACGCGATATTGGGCCCCGAATTATGGATGACGGGAGCCGAGGAAATATGAGCCGACTTCAAACAGCCATATTAGATGAGTTTTTGCTAGTGGCAAAGAAGGAGTGTCAAGAAGTAGGTCTTCATACAAATTCGTTCCAGGTGACTTTCTAACCTTTTATAGATAATGTTGCAGAAAAATCTTCGCTCTCAACCGCTTTCGGACAGTGTCCTACGTGAAATGGGAATTCGGTTTCCAAAAAGTATGAGAATTTGGATTCAAATTGAATATTAAAAACTAATTATTTGAATAGACAAAGAACAACTTCTCCAAATTCCTGGTGTAGATTCCGAAAAAGTAGATCTATATGGCGACAAATTTCTAAGGCTAATACAAATGTCTAAGCAGCGTTACGATGAACTTACTATCGAAGCACAATGTGATGCTAAGGATGAATCTCCTGTCCCTGACCCTAACCATAATGTTGTCACGATCATCAGTGATGATGAGGAAGATTATAATGGATACCAAGACAATACATATGCCTCAGCGTATTCTGGGCAAAGCCGGAGTCAATACTTTGATACTGAACCGCAGCCGGCTACGAGCTTCAAATCTCGAGGTATGTAAGCAGCATCCCTTCTTGAAAGGGTAAACTACTAATCTGCGATAGTAACTAAGTACCAGTTTTCGGGGACCGATCCTAGTAAAGCTGGAATATCAAAAAGAGCCTCTTCTCGCGCTAAGATTGAACGAGCACCGAGGCGAACCAGGAGAGACAAAGCTTCGAGCGGATCAAGTAGTAAAACAAAAGCAGGGCGGCGAAGATCAAAATCCCCACAACCTAAATCAAAATCCATGCGCAGGTCAAACCGAGGCGAGACTTCCATTGGCATGATGCCAACATGATTTCTCATACCTATTCCACCAATGCCATAAACTCCTTGGCATCACTGACATCGTTATACGGCACATGTGTACATACATACGTACGTACATACATAGATGTATACCTACCCTAGATTCACATAGCTCCACGTCTCCTAGCATATGGGGCGAGTCCGAGCTTGAGGCGCATGATACTATCTCAAGCTATCTTTGTGTTGTTAAAACGAACTGTGCGTCATACTGTTTCCACGAGTATGATGCCGGCACAATTTTACAGCTTTTGCATTATATCATGCTGGTGATAATGAATACAGCCTTGTATCAATGGTACTAGTTTGTCTCTGTTTATAGTGCTGTAGCATTTACCCAAGGTGACCACTAGTGTTAGAAGACCTATAAAAGTTAGTCTTATAGGTTTTTGAAAAATGCATCAACCAAGTCAATGCTGATCAGAATTGCTTACAGCCCCACCAATGATAAAGAGTCTTTCTTCCTCTTGTTGCACCCATTGAACTACTTTATTTGCACTTTTAGACAACGCATTCCTATTGCTACCAGGGGAAGCTACGCAGAACAATTCAAATGCTGGGGTGATCCATGCTAAAGAATCCATAAAATTGGATACGCAGTGCTGAACCTTAATATGTGTATGCTTCGCATGGACACTGTCATGCAAGGCATGATAGGTAGATAGAAGTCTATATTTTTCTTGTCAGGTCAATCTGTAACTGGTGATCATGTCAACTAACCTTCGTTTTACAATGGGAGTGGCAAAATCCGGGGAATAAGATGACATGGTGAACTGGACGTTTGTTTTAGATTTATAGAGGAAATGTCGGAGAACAGTTCCTGGAATAATATCCGTGGTGCATGGGCGGCCTTTCTCAATTGCTACTCTAATAGCTTCCTTGCTCCCGTCCTTTTCCATTTGCTAAGGTGATATGTCAGTTCCAACACTTGGCTTTATACTAAGGAGAAAATGGCATACCCGAACAACGGAATCCCGCATGCCGCGTAAAACGAAAAAGCTCTCCTTATCTGCGCTAATAAGGATGATAGCTACCGCGTCATCCTTCTTAATATTCTCGTCGTTCTGACGCAGGTCTTGGTGTAGATCGAGAAAACTGACGTACATATACAAGTACCCCCCACTGTTAAAACCTGGAAGACATATGGGGATCCAACTCTCACCACCTCCAGCTTTAACGCCGTCAGCTTCAAATATCATATTAAATATCAATTGCAAATCTCCCGGATGTAAAGAGTGCTTTTTAGGTCTGACCACGCTCACAAGCCTCCCCCCAGCGACGACTAGTCCATAAAGAAGAGCATTTACTTTTGATTTAAGTAGACTGTTATTCATTTTTTGACGATGTGACTTTCGAAGCTTCAGACACTCCAAGGCAGAGAGAAGAGTGGACGGAGAACCCCTGGTAAAGCTATCAGCTAAAGATGACAGGAGAGACTCAGTTCCTTGAAGCGGACGACGCAGGTCTGTGGATGGACGTATATTAAAAATGTGCTGTAGAGCTGGGAGAGTAAGTGTTGATAGTATTTGCATGTAAAGGGCGTCGAGCTGGTTTCTAAGTTGTGTTTCACTCTCCAGGAGACAGCTAACGGCAACAAGATGCAGAGGGCCTTGTGAAAGAATAACAATTTTAGTATTTCCTGTAGAAAAACTCCTTAAAACATCATTTGATTCCTGATGAAAAGATATTATGGTTTGGATGATGGCAATATACGGAGATATTAGGTTATCATCCCCATGTCGTGCATATATCGGTTTACCAGCGGACGAGAGTATGAAAAAATGTTTCTTCTTTTGTCTCCAACTTTCTAAGAGTTGTTCTAAGAAAATAATGTGAGAAGCTTTGAGGCCAAAGTTTGGCTATTGCGTTTCGCTCACCTCCGTCCTTTATTGCGAGTTCCTCAGGGGAGGCAAACTCGTTTTCAAAATCAATATCTAAAGAAGTTCTCTGTACACTAAGACTATCGTCAAGTGTATAACGATGTTTTCCTTCCTGGTCCCATTGGGATTGCGGTGGCGCTGTGGCGCCAAAGTCACCAAAGATGCTTCCGACCTCGACTGGCGTTTCTTGACCCGGAAATAAAGATTCAACACTGGTAGAATCTGCCGTTTCACTTCCTTTTCGACTGGGATTTGAACTGTACTTTAAGTGTGCAAGATCTTCATAACTTGAGGATCCCTTCAACGGAGTACGGGTATCTCTTGTGGTTTCTTTAAAATTATGTGATTTTATATCCTCGATAGACAAAGCCGTCGTAGGCCTTGATTGAAGACCCTGGCTTACGGAATACCCAGCCCTTAATACAGAATCAGAAACTGCCCCAACTCGTGGTGTAGCATTTGGACACAGACAAAGCTGGGAGTATAGTGTATTTGGTCTGGTGTCTTCATCTATCCTAGAGAACTGGAGTTTGTTCCTATCACCGGCAGTTGGGGGCATTGTGTTAGAATCGTTCCCCATTTCTTCATGGAATATTTGAACAGAAGAATGTATTGTTGGGAGCTCTAGCTTTCTCTGTCTCAAAGATTTTATATTAGGCTAAGGATAGTAGGCAATTGTACTCCATATAAGGATTTATTTCAGGAATATCAAGGCCACCGTACTCCGTAGTAGTGAGTCCATGGATCATGGTTAGCTAGACTGTCGCCTGGGTAATCACATGACAAAGCCACCTTAAACCCTAAGCCCTAACTTTCTAATGCGTTACCACATCAAAACCCTATTACCGTGATTGGCCCTCCAGTTAAACTTCGCTAGCAAGGTTGATGACATAATAAAGAATCCTTGATTACTCATCCTGGGCTAGGCGAGCTTCGCTCTCACCGTTTTTGTTTATAGAATCTTGAGGAGCATTTATAGCAGCTACCAGAAAGAGTGGGGTAGCAAACAACGTGAGCGAGCTCTGCTCGCTAGTTAATTTTGTTAACTTTGCTATGCTTTTCATATCTTTCATAAATTAATTGTGTCTTCATACAATGAAAACAATTTTTGTGATCAATGTGTGGCCAATAGCCATAAGACAGTGCTTATATATTACGTGACACTGATAGTGGAAATAGAAAACTAACTGTGTCAGCAGCTCATGACTACAAACTATAAGCTGAAATTCCTGAAGTGAAGTGTCTGGTTCATCTAATCTCTATTGAAGAGGAATCTAGATGCTGTATGGAGTATATAAGTGAAGGACTAGACTCAATGTGAGACAACACAGCAAATCAGAGTGTAGCTCTGATTGTGCATCACTCTATGACAAACAAAGTGGTGTGATCCAGATCTTATGGATCCAGATCTACCACATACAGTGAAATGAAGGATGCTTTAATCTCCATGCCGATCCAATCCCACCATTGAAGCTTGGAATGAAGGCGGTAGGTAATTGGCCAACAAGTTACAATCCCGAAAAGAATCCCACCGCTTCTTCAAGCTTAGGTGTATCTGATGCAAAATGATCCAACATGGTATGGTCCAACCCTGCGTTGTCCATTGGTCGGGCCAGTCCAGCTTGGAGAATATTTGGTGCCGCTCTGATGATATCCCCTACAATCATATGCATTAAGTATGGGAACTCCACTGACAGGGCAGGACACTCACGACCAAATATCGACACGGACACCCCGCGCGGTACGGATCTCATAACCTTGGATCTCCCTGCAATGGTAGTTTTTAGCTGATGCAGAGCTGGATAAACATTTAATAGGATACAAATGAAAAGAGGCTACGTACGGGGTGCCTCGGAGGTCGTGGCAGCCAGGACCATACCAGTCTTCCCGGTCACCACCCTTTCGCACATTGAACTTGATCTGTTCGAACAGTCAGCATACATCTTTGTTTCTCCCTTAACACGGCACATCAACGCACCCAGACAGATCGGAGGATCGTGTTATCATCCCCATCTTTAACACCCTTAACATCCGGATCGCTTTGGGCAGTCGCGCAGGCGGTTGAAATCAAACCGAGGGTAACGAAAAAAGCCTTAGAGAAAAGCATCTTGGAAATTCACAGTTCGGCTCTGGCTCTGCTGGTACAGTAAGTAGTAAATGGATGGGGTGGTTTGGATTTCTGTCAAGGTCTGATAGAATAGGTGCCAGCAGAGGTATTTATATCATTTCATCCAGCAATACGGAGTAGACTTGAGAACATGCAATCTATTCGGTTACTTTGGTCTGATCCAATCCCATCTCTGATAATGTGCGGGCGGGAATAAACGATGTTTCCTGATCAGCAGTGAACTCATCAGCCAGCCCAAAATTCACAATATCCATCTCAACTGGCAGTACAGCAGGAGAATGTATATTCAGTCTGTCTAACACTAAATAAAGTAGAGATTGGCTTGAGATAACGGCTCACATGGATGGGATCAATACTTTCATATGTTGTGGTGCCCTGTTCTTAAGCCACGGAGATCACTCAGTTCTAGTGGCTGACTGAAAATTGGAGGTCAACTCATGTTGATCCGTTGGTGTCAAAGGGGAAGCAGTTATTTTTTCTCTAGATTCTTGCTTGAGACACAACAAGAGTGGAAACCATGATGATAGAAGGGCTTGTGGTCACAGTTAATAAACAAGAAGATGAATGGCTCCACTGAACATTCTGTTCTGCTTTGCCACTCTTCACAGATTTGTTGCCTGTTTGAGAGGCATAAGGGAGGACAAATATGGGACTTTCAAATGGGGACTTTCAAACTAGTCGACAACATCCGTCTTCACATCGTTACCACAGCTGATTGTTACCACAGCTGATTGTATACGGCGCCGCCTGGTTTGCAATTGCCATGGCCAACAAACCTCTGAAAGATTGACATCACAAACTCCTGAACTGGATGTATTGTAGGCAGTCTTGAAACATGTGTGTCATTTAATGGTTGGCCCCATACCTGCATTATGTCCCATTGCCACATATGCATTGGATGGTCCCCCAGTGGACGCCACAAGGAGATTTATGTTGATTCCCAGCTTGATTGGGGCTGAACAGATGCAATGAACAGTGATTCCCTATTATGCCAAAGGTTATTTACTCTTGTGCCGGTTATTTACCATGGTAACTAAATAATAGTCATGTTTAAATTCGCGTGGAAAATCAGCGGGAATTTGTGATGAAACTGTGACAAAGCACCATTCCTAGGCCTCTGCTTCACCCGTGCTCTTTCTCTACCACTCTTCCCATGAAAACACCTTGCAAGGGACAGAATTTCAGTAACGCACGATATTTGTGGGGCCAGTATCCATAACAGCACACTCCTCTATCCAGTGTATGGTTAATGCAAGCGATTTGGAGCTGTGCCGCCGAGGAGGGGGAAACTGTCAGGCGACTAAGCCACTCTCAGCTAAAAAGGTGAACAGAAACAGCCTACTCCACACTCCGTACACCTAATAAGATCACCTGTTTAGTCAAATGGCTTAATCATGTGACAGGGGAGGGGGGTCACATTGCCCCCTGATAGATGTCAAAATGCATTGTTCTTCATTGTTGACACAAAGCTGGCAGAATGTGCAGAGAGATAAGAGAGTATTGGTGCATTAGTACATCGATTTCTAACAGGACCTTGTTAATCTACAGGCAAAGAATGGTTCAAAGAATCATTCGTCCACTTGTACTCCGTAGAGACACATATGTACATATGTACATAACCACTCTCAGAAAGATTGTCAAGCTCTAGTGCTACATAGAAGCCCCCCACAGTCTATGTAAATGATCATATTTTACTGTCTGAATAAGTGAGTGAGATCTTTGTATTTATATTCACTAGTTTCAGATGAATGAACAAATTTATGTGTTTGTCTATGTAGTTATCTTACTTTAAATGAATCTTCTTCAATATTGTTACTTCTTGAGAGTGGGAGACTCAATATATGGATAGGCTCAATGTAGCGAACATGCTTTATATTGAGTTGAAAACGCGTAGTGATTGCTGTAACTAGTTGTATACATAGCCACGAAGTTAAATACAGTACATATGTAACGCTCAGAAAAGCATTCCAATGGTATTCTGCGGATCTGGATTCCAGTATTGTCCGCAAATGTTACTACCTCACGGCATGCTCAAAATTGTAAAATGGTTGCTATGAAATGGGATTGAACCGGCATCTGGATTTAAAGAGAAAACCTAGCTGGCCATGGCCTGGTTGCCGGCTCTGTGAGTTTTGGAGAATGAAACTGCCATCCTGTCCTCATCCACCACAACATTGAACTGCAATTGCTCATCAGCGAAAGATGAAAGTACACTTTATTCAGAAGCATATTCTTTTGGCCCGACACAATAATGAGTCTGGATCCGGGTAATCTGGCGAGGTCATCGTCCCCTGCGAGCTCCGAAGCTTCGTTGCCAAAACACCGGAACCGCATGCACGAAGGTAGCTTACATGACCACCATCCTACCATTATAAAGCATATACTGATGCTCTTAATATTCTAGATGAACGAAAAACGGACAAAGCCTATCGTCGGTATGCTTCGAATGTGGAACGGGCTCTCTCCTTGTTTGATACGGCTCTCCAAGAATGGGCAGATTACATTTCCTTCCTGAGCCGCCTTCTCAAGGTACGGACTTATCTACGGGGGAATTCACACAGCTGACACAATACATGCCAATAGGCTCTTCAATCCCATCCTCCGCCTTTGTCAATCGTCCCTCAGAAAGCCTTAGTTGCGAAGCGCCTGGCCCAGTGTCTGAACCCCTCTCTACCCTCCGGCGTTCATCAGAAAACGTTGGAGGTTTACGCTTATATATTTGCTTTACTGAAGGTACTACTCTCTATAGGCCCTTTTTTCATATCTATGTGACTTCTAACTCGATGCAGCCCGATGATCTTGCTCGTGATCTTCCACTATATCTGCCAGGTATCGCGCCGACCCTTACATTTGCGTCCCTCTCCGTTCGACCATTAGTGCTCTCGCTGTTTGAACAATACATTGTAAAAATAGACCCAATATGCATTCGACCCGCTCTAAAGGCTATTCTACTCGCATTGCTTCCTGGTCTTGAGGAGGAGTCCAGTGAGGATTTTGAAGCCACATTGGGAATTGTGAATAAATTTAGAGAGGTCTCAAATGGCAGAACCGATGAACCAAGTAATAGGTTTAATATGCCAACTGGAAGCCAGTACTTTTGGCAATGCCTCTTTCTCGCGTCAATAACGAACCCTACACGAAGAATGGGAGTTTTGGCCTATTTAAACCGCAATTTGCCGAAACTTGGCGGGGATATTCAAAATCAGGAGCAACCGGAAGAGAAAGTGGAGCTTTCGGTCTCTATCAAGTCTTTGACATCTCCTGAGCCAGGTCTTCTGGTTCGATGCTTCGCGACTGGGTTGGCTGACAGCCAACTCCTCGTCCAACGAAACTATTTGGACCTCCTGGTCACCCATTTGCCTCTTCACTCTCCTGTACTAGAGTCCAGGATCATTGTGGAAGATTTGGAACTACTTGTCGCAGCAGCTGCAGGCGTCGTTATTCGAAGAGACATGAGTTTAAATCGCAGACTTTGGGCTTGGTTCCTGGGCCCTGATTCTGCGTACGATGGCAATGAGAATGTCGATGAATTACGCCAAGCCCCTCGTGGACATTTGATATCAAAGCTCCACAAGGGAATCCCTAGCTCTGAGTACTTCCTACGATTTGGTCTGAAACCGCTGGTAAATAGTATCAGACAGATGATAAGGCAGAATTCAATGCTTCCCCAAGAACGAGCAAAACCATTTCGAATTTCACTTTCACTGATGGACCGGTGGGAAGTGGGTGGATTGGTTGTGCCAGAGGTGTTCCTCCCAATAATGCGCAGCGTGCAACAATATAACCAAGTTGCCACCTCAAAATCCATGCTTGATGAAGTTATCCGATCTGCAGGTGCCTTTTTTGATGGGGTGGAAAGCAGTTTAATCTTTTCTGAACTACTTTCTTTGGTTTTCCAGCCAAATGTGAACAATACCTCGTCCAAAAATCTTCTCTTGGATCTACAGCTTGGTGGTTTCATTATATCCCACTTCAATATCAGAGAAGAGGAAATGCTAATCACTCATGTTCCCCTTTTGCTTCTTGGAGTTCTGCTAACTATGAGATCATTATCATCTGTGGAGAATTTTGAGAAATTCAAATTAGCATTTGATGAAGCATCGTCCGTCGCTCGTGATCTACTTAGCTTCATCCCAAGTAGAGCGTTCATCAAGAAGCCGCCCCATGATCAACACCCAAGTCAGCAGTTAGCAGATACAAGCTCCATGACACCCAATGAAATATCAACGAAACTACTCCGATTCTACTCTATAACAAGAAACACGCTTGAAAACCCTACTCCACCTTTTGCACCAAATCTTTTGGCAGAACTGCTTCTCCGACAATCTTGCTCCCAAGTGCTAAACACTCTGAAATCAGGAGATCGAACCTTTCGACTTAGGGAGCAGGTAAATTTTCTTATCTCCCTACTCAAGAAAACTCCAAAATCGCATATTTTCGAGGACGGAGACTTGTATGAGGCAATGCATGATGCGCTTTCGCTTGCAAATAAAACATCGACGGTACTATCCATGACCACCCTTTCATCAATGTGTTCCGTTGTCACTTCCCTCTATTCTATCCACTCAAGCGGCTTATATATTTCATATGATCAAGTATGTGATATTGTGCCCTCCTTAGTGCAACAATTGTGGGAGCTATTACCAGCGTCAAGCCCAAAATTTCACGTTGAAGCAGCCCGCTGCTTCTGGGTTTTACATTCCATCACCTGGCAGGATCATCTAGTTGAAGCCGCAGTTACTTCACTAATGCTATCTTGCGGGACCTCAAGTCCATCATGCCGGGCAACATCTGATCAAGTTGAAAGATTCCTTGTTCTTTGGAACCATAGTCATGGCAGCGGCCGTTCCGCGTCCCGCGCAATTCTGGATCAACCTGCTGATCCCACTTCGACTGGTAGAGATCCACAATTGACATACCGGTTATCATTGCTTGAGCGACCCCTTTTTCTCTCTTTAGACCTTCTTTCCTCTGAATCCGGTAGAGGACATTCTCTCGTGAAACAATGGCTACAAGACCCTTCCGTGGCATATCAGTATGTGCTATCCTACTATAGTATAGATAATAAATATTTACTGGATGTTAGGGCTTTGCATATTCTTGTCTCTCGACTTCTCAAATTCTCTAGCTTCAAAACCAATGTTATTCAGGAGCCTCATGACCTTAGCATTCCAATTAGCCCAGATGATGGTGGACAATGCCTTTATCTGCTAAAGACCATTTCAAATGCCATCGCCTCCCTGACCAATGCTGGTTGGTCTGCGTTAACATCTAAACCCCTTGTCAACCCTAACAAACATGCTGTTCTTTTAGAAAATGAAGGTGAGTTTCTATATATATTAGTCCAGCCAAACATGCTAATAGCTCATATGTATTCAGAAGAACCAACCTTACAGGGAATCCTAGCACAAATAGCAATGCAGCTAGTAGAAGAACGGCAAGAAATATCTAAAACTATGGGAATGGATGGAAAACAACTTCCGGAAGCTGCCCTTATCCTACTGAACCAGCTATTATCAGGTTCAAATGCAGAGGCGCTTCAGCAGCTTAACCTTGACACCTTCTTTCTTGACCAGCTTTTGGCTTGTCTAGATCAAAACGAAACTAGCTTACAAAGTCCCCTACTAGATGCCATTCTTCCAGCACTCAAAGTCCGGTTCGCACACGAAACTAGGGAATTATCAGCTACTATGGCTTCCAACCAAAATCAGCGCAAGAGCTCAATAGAAGCTGGACCCCATGCCTCACGGTTGTCATTGACCGGCGAGCAATTAGATAAGGATTTCGTCATATCTCACTTACCGCAACCTCCACCTCAGCTGTTGCTGTGCCTTACAAAAGGCATTTGTTCGAAGTCTTCCAAACCCATTGTAGATAAATGGGTCCATTTTTTGGGTGAATGCTTGCCATTATATTTAGGAATTATTTTCCAAGTGCTATTAAAGCTGGTGGACTGTATTTGCAAGGAAATTAATGCTGCTTTCAATGAGCTACGGCTTACGTTTCAGCAGATTGAAAGTTCTTCCTACTGCCAACCAGAGCATGTGACAATCTCTCTTCTTTCCGCTTTGGAAAATTGCATTGCTACCGGGCATGACCGTTTACTTCTTGAAGAAGCAAATGCATCCGGGAGAAAAAGTCCGGATCAGCCGCAAAGCTTTTTTGGGAACATGGTTTCAGGTGTATTTGCTGCAGAAGCAAGCCAGTCTCGTAGCGCTACAGCAAACGACCGATTGACTGTTCTTCTCTGTTTCCAAGATGCAGTACGTCTGTGCTTTTCTATATGGACGTGGGGCGACAATGGTCGAGGTAAGGATGCACGAAAGTCCGAATGCCATGCATCCTTTCAGTTCACCTCGCTGCGAATGAGAAATCGATCCCGACGCATTTTAGAACATATGTTTACTGCTGAGACCCTAGATTGCCTGGAGACTTTGATTGAACTTTGGTGCACATCTACCAGAGAGGAGAATCATTCCCTAGGAAGGTCTGTCTTTAATCTGCTCCATACTCTGGAAGGATCAAAACCGAAAATAGCGGTTCCTGCGTTATTCAATGCGATATACAGTCGCACGAACCCTGCAGCTCTGGACCCTAGTCGTAAGTCAGCAATGACAGCACACTTGACTGAAGCGGACTTGGCTACGTTCCTGGTAGTATATGCGAGATCTTTGGATGAGGATATGCTAGATGAAATCTGGGCGGACTGTACAACATTCCTTCGCGATGTTCTCGCTAATCCTTTCCCGCATCGTCAGATTCTCCCTAGACTGTTAGAATTTGCGACTATCCTTGGGGAAAAGATGGAGAATACAACATTTGGTGAGGACTACCGTGCAAAGAAAGACTTGGGAGTGAGTTGGCATCCCTCTTCGTGAAATATACAAGGTACTGATAGGGATTCTAGGACATTCTACTACGACTTCTTACTGCTATTTCAACCAGCAAGCCAATGGGATTTTCACAAGAAACAGTTCAAACAATTCACGATTCTCAAAAACAAGAAGCTGCAATAAGCAAGCATCGAGTCATCGGGTCAGACGATATATACAGCGTCTTATACTCGGTTTTTCCGGCTTTGACGACTACATTGGGTGACGCCGATCGAATAGGCTCTGCGGCCTCTAATATATCTACGCACTTTTTCGCTCCTCTCTTCCATTCCCGATTATTCCCACAAAATGTCAATAGCAATATCTTGGCGCTTCTTCAACAAGTATCAAAAGTTCCCAGTGCTTCCAAATATTGGAGGAAGGATGTGGCGGATGCATTTAATGACCCCAAGTTTTTCGCCATGAAACTGAATCTAGTGAAGGATAACTGGCTGGACCTTCTGCGGCAATGGACTTTGACAGACAAAGAGCGACTTCCAGACTTGCTAACTCGACTTACTCAGCCCACCTCAGCCGGCCTAATGTTTGGCGTGGGTGCTTCTGCAGCTCGGCTCGATGCAGATCGGAAGTCCCAGTTAAACCTTCGCAGAATCGCCTTGTTGATTCTAACAGCAGACGAAGATCACTTTAGTGGCGATCTTTCTGCTCTTCAGCAGAAACTAGAGGATCTTCTTGCTGCGACTGATATCTCGTCGCCGTCCTCTGTGACCAGAGCCGAGACTTATATGGTCTTCCGAGCTCTCATTCTCAAAACTTCTACTATTCATCTTGCTCCTTTTTGGCCCATGATCAATGCCGAACTACAGGACGTGATTTCCACTATTCCTTGTCAACGATCAGAAACTTATACCCCTTACTCTCTTCTACAAGCATGCAAACTTCTAGAGACGTTACTGCTTACATCTCCGGATGACTTTCAATTGCAGGAGTGGCTCTTTGTTACTGATACCATTGACGTTATATACCCTCCTGATTATTGGAAGTCCACAGCACTTGCAGATGAGGTTGCTAGAGCTCTAAGCTCTGGAAATGCCGAGTCTACTATAGAGGAGGCTGGCAATTCTGAGGATGGTTTCCACCAGCTTTGGCTTAGCACAGACCTGAGCCGAGAAACTGCGAAGGATGAGATTGTGGAGCGATTGTTGAGACCTTTTTTTGCACGCCTTAGTATACATGCATTTGAAAGTATGTACAGTATGGCCAACCCGGACTTGCCAGCGTGCAAAAATGATTTATTGGCAGACTTATTTAATGATTTTACCATCGCTAGTTGATGAATCTTCATACAGATATGCATGTATATAGTTACATACATTCCAGCCACTAAACGGTACATATCTTCCCAAAGAAAAGAAGAAATTCAGCATCTGAAGGTTAAACAAGGGCTGCTCAAAAGGATACTTGGTCACAGGGGACCTGTTAGGAGTCATATTGTATGAAATACATCATTCCGGCCGTCCTTTTCTTTTGCGTTGCTATTGCCTTCCATCTATACCTTCATGATGCTCTTCACCCAGTTGAGGAGAGAGCAAGCCATTGTGAAGCAAGACTTTCTCCCAAGATATTCTGCGCAAGGATATAGTTACTATTGAAAACTAAGTCAAAGCTGGTTTAAACAGCAGGTAAGAAAGGGTGCCCGATATGAAGAATGAAGCTTGAGAAGCCTTTATGCCATATATCTGCCAGCATTATGGGACAAGTGACGATGCTTTATCATCACAATGAAGTAGTACTCCGTACTGTAGTTGGTACATTGACGCTGCATGCAAATACGGAGACCATCGATCCTCATGTAAGATGATTAGTTTACCCGTACACGAAGTACCTTCTGGTATAATCCGCGGCACAGGGATACTTGTCGGCGCGGTGAATTTAGGTGGCGGAAAGGACCGCCCGGCCGCTAAAACTGCTTGGTAAAATTGTTTTTCTTGAAAAAATTCCCACCGTGACAATCTCCTTTCCCTTTCAACGCTGTGGAATAAAACTGACTCTATTCCGTTTTGCTGCTTCAGTCCACTTCTGTCGAACAACCTCACCGCCAATTTGAATTTCCTCTATCGCCAAGCCAGTGCACCCTCAATCACAACAGTCGCGTCGCAATTCCATAACACCCAACTCGGATTTTTTTACTTGTTAATTCAACACAAGTTTCTACTATTATCCCCGATAAAATGGCCGCCAGGGCTTTGTCGCCGCTCATGCGAGCAGTGCTGACACGCTCTCAACACCGAGCCGCTCCATTTAGTACCTCCAACAGGCTGTTCAGCACCGCTGAGGCAGCACTGCCCAGGCACAGGCCTATCGGTGCTTTTCGAGGAGGGTTAGTTCATGCTCTACCTTTCATGTTGCCTTGGGCTCGTCTAATTTATATACCTTTTTTCTAGAATATTTGGATTTCTCTTCGGCTCTGCAGTCGCCGGTTCATCGATTTATTACTATATCTTGGAGGAGTACAGACTATCTAATGAGATGCTGACGGAAGACATCTACGTACGTTACTGCATTTGAAGAACAAAAGAAATACCGAACTTCGCTCTTGATTCGAGTATTCTGGGAACAATAGACCTTTCAGGCATAGACTGGATTCTTGATTGTTGTTTCGTGTTTTACATGGCCCCAAGCCGTCGCGTCATTTATAGAGGCTGACGAATTTCCCTATTTCGACTTCGTTTTGGTTTCCTACAGGCTTTGCAAACTGCAACGCAACGTTTGTCCACGTATGTGAATGAACTGGAAGGCAAGCTGGACCAGCTGCAGAGGAAAAAGTGATGATAAATGATATGGTATATGGTATGCTGGATGATTTTTCTGTTATGATTTCACTCTTATACTGCTCCTTTAATATTTTATTCTTTCCACTCTCGCTTTTTTCTGTTTTAGATACCCTAATTTTTATCTCCCCTTTCACATTGTTTAGACCATGACTTCGTTACGAAGTAGATTGTTTTACGGAAAGCAGCGGTTAATGGTGTCTGTTTTCAATATATAGAGCGTGTCTATCACTCCCTGTCCAATTTCTTACGAGCTTTAGGCCAGCGAGGATGCATATTACAAGTCCCAATTTATTTATTTATTTCTTTTCCAGCAGAGCCCCTGTAAAGTATTAACTAGGCGCCTTTGTTTCATGTACCGGATCTCACTGAAACGTTGGAGGCCCAAGTACTCCGTATAGCTCTCATCAAACATGCTCGACGGCATGGAACTCCCAACTAACTAACAGGTAGTTAGTTAGCCTCATGCAAACAAGCCAAACAGTGCATTGACTTTGAGGCTCTAAAAACATCATCCAGACAATCGACAGCGCTGATCAAAGGCACCATTCTTTCTCATACATTTCATACAATCTTTATGTCAAATCTTATCGAAGTCTTATCTGGGGCCAACCATGCTCCTACCCCCGGATGGGCTTATGTCCCAGATATCCGTCAGCCTGTCACCGCGTCCGGAAGGGCTGGTGGTCGTAAACGCGGCGCGCGAGATGCCGCTATCAGTCGCGACGAAGGAAGCTCAAGGCAGCAGAATGCAGTCCTGAGACGCCTTGCGGAACTGGACCGAGATAACCACAAAGATGTTCATATTCCGATACCAACTAAACAAAAAGACACTGGGTCAAAAGGTTTGACTTATAACCGTTCTACTTGCTTGATAACTTACGGGCTTTTTTTCTTATAGCTTCACGAACTAAAACCACACCCAACGTGCGCCGTATTTTGATGTCCCAGAAAACGTTCAAGAACTACCTCGACGATGAAGAAGCGGCCGCCGCGCTTGCTCCGCCTTCCGGAACGCGTCCCAGTGGGCGAAGTAGCAAAGCCGCTCGGAAGGTTGGAGCCAGGCTTTCAGCAGCATTTCAATCGCAGTCTGAACCTAAAGTATCCCAATTAATCGTTTCCGAGTTTGACCATGACCCTCTCCTCAAATCTTACATCCCGGCGGCACCTTCGGAGCGGATCATGCAGACACTTCTTTCCGAACCACCCCTTTCATATAACGCTTCGCGCGCTACTTTCCCTACGAATGTGAGCCGAAAACCACCGAGAGTCTTTTGTGGAATTTGCGGGTATTGGGGGAAAATAAAGTGTATCAAGTGCCGGGCAAGGGTATGCAGCCTGGCATGCCAACAAGCCCATGATGAAACTGTCTGTGACCGGTTTTTCACATAATTTTCAATATCGGTGGTCAACTTTGTTGCCAAACCACCTTCTGGTACTCCATGGGTTACTGCCGTCCGATAAGACGCACTGAGCCTGGAATTTGCGTCCCCTGTCAACGCTTTGCCTCAGTCTTCGGCACCTACGCGGCTCACTTCCGTGTTTTTCAGCTGGGATTCGTTTTCGATACGGTTAATCGTCGCTTAAAATCTCTGATTTTGAAATATCTATCCACTCTCAGCCTCTATGGCTCATATCAGGGCCGTTCCCTCTGGACAACACTTGACACCTCATACGCCGCAGGGAAAATAACATGGTTGCCCATAATTAAACTTCACTATTGTATATGCTTTATTGGTCTGTGAAAAGGCGGGAGGTGCAAAGCTGGGAATTAGAGAATCCAATACGCTCTCGCTACCGATGCAAATATATGTTACAGGTAGAGGGAATTATACCCGTCAGCACTTCAACCTGATGCCTGCGCGCAACTCTCCCTCGCGAATCTCGAACATAACTTGAACTGCGACAAACACAGCCGAGCAAGCTCCCATCAAATACGCCACGCCTGCATACGATCCCAAAATCCCACTCAGTAAGCCTTGCAAACCGTCTAACCCCAACGCAAATCCAACCAAATTTGCCGCCATCATCATTAAGATATTTCCAACTGCGCCAATTCCACATATAATACGATACTTCGTTGGTTCCGAGCGCCATTTATGTGCCGGGAACAGCATGCTGGCGATTATCTCAGGAAGTACAAAGAGCGTAACGAGCCATCCCCACATCAGAAGGCGAAGATTTATATCGTGCCAGAGCGCAACGAACGTAAAAACAACAAGGAAATTGAAAATTCCGCGAACCTTGGAGGACAGCGTGTTCTGGCCTTGTTCATTTCGACTACCTCCGAGTGGAACATATAAATACCGTACCACCCATCGATTGAACGACCTGTGCCAACTACGCCAGAAGGCGAGTGCAGAATAATTATCAGACATGCATCGTACCATGTTCTCTGGTGGATCGATTCCGTCAATTAAAGCCCATAGACGGAAGAATCGCCAGGGAATAAGCAGCTTCAGCCAAATAATGTGGAGGTTGAAGTACCCTAGCATACTGAGTTGAAAAGGGGTATAAATGGACCAGTTCGGTGACGATTTGGATATTGCGACAACGTAAATATAGTGGAGTATCAACTCCATGCAGAGTAATGTGAGAAGGAAACGAATTCCATAAAGTAAGGTGCGGCTTCTCGAGACTGAAGGAGGACGATATTGTTGTTGGTGCACATAATCGTTAAAAGTAACTATGGGGCCAGCAAGGTAAAGAGGCGAATATAGCGCATATGCTAAGTAATTCCTCACGTTGAAATACGCTTGTTTCGCAGGAGTAGCTATCCGGTCGCGTTCCGACAGGTTTGAGGGATCGAGTTGCTTCTTCTTTGACGAATTAGAAAAAAAAACACAATAGGAAACGTGTGTACGGGTCATACCTCAACCGGGCTTCCAGCACGAAAATCCAAACTCCAGTAATAATCCAGGTTGAAGCTGATCAGGCGAAGAACCGTAATATTGAAAAGCACCTCCCATCGTGAAACGAGGCCTCCCCAGCTGTCAAGCCATTCACCCCAGGTCACGAGACCACTTTCCTTGCCGAGACCAAGCAAAGAAACGACGAAAGACGTAATACTCGCGTATTTATATCCATGCAAAAGTTCGTTTGCAAATAATATGCCGATATTAAACATCCACGTCGATGCCGGTATATAAACTCTTGGGAGTCGTCTTATCATGGCATAATTAACCATTAGTATTCCTAAGACCTTGAAGGCCGAAAACCCATGCAGTGCTACCAAAAATAACAGCGCAAACCAATAATCGAACGAAACCCGTTGTTCAAAACGAGCGGTTGCAGCAACAAGCGATGTAAAACCAGATCCAGAATGGCTCTTGTCAGGCGCTACCAGGGAAGATTCCGCCGACACCATAGGCCAAAAGTAGGCGCAAACCCGGCGAAGTAAAGGATGTATCACAAGCAACAGCGCCATATATGGAATATTATCCCGAAAACTCGCATACTGCAAATCCGAATTGTCCTAAGATAGCGAGAGATATATTAGCAGGGAAAAGTGAAAAAGGGAGACGTAAAACACATACCACCTTACGGCCGGGTATCCAGCCCGTAGAAAGGCGTGCAGAATACTTAGAGTAAGAAGGGTGAGACTCTAAGCTCACATTTCAGCGACCATCCGAAGACTGTACTGTAGCCAGCCCGAGCTCACCTTTAGAGACGTCAATTGCGCTTTTGAACATCAAAGGAACTGCGAGAAGAAAAACAACATAGTAGGCGTAAAACTCGGGCGTATTCCATTGTGATGTAGCAGTACTGTTTTTCGTCTGCCTGGTTTCTCCTGCATGCTGGTTCGAGTTTGCTGCGCCCAGCGGCGCTGTTGCAGAGGCTGTAAAACGAGTGTCGAGGGTGTCCAGAGAGTATAGCCTCCGTAGCAACATCAGCAGACCCATCTTCGCGTCGGCATCTGCGGGTTCGAGCTACTGCTGCTGCTCGGGCCACATTCCCTAACCGCGAAGCTGCGGCCGCGTGAAGCGTTATCGATAAAGGCAAATTTGGATGGGGTGCCAAGAGCCCTTGATTATGTAACAAATGCTTAGTCGAGCTTGATTGGCTCCCTGACATCACTCCATCTCTACTCCGTATGCCCTGTTATATAACTAACTGGACGTCTGTGCTCAATTTAACCAAAGTCCTACGATTAGGCTTCATCATGACTGCAAAGTGGTAGCCAGTGTCGCGAATCAGACTTTACAGCATTCTTCGAACTGTGGATGATCATATCAAACCCTGTGTTATAATCAGGGCCGCTATTTACCAAAAGAATATTTTCTTACTAGATAAGCCTCTTTCCGAGCCATTCCCCAGTTTAAGGCATAGCAGTATTAACGCCTAGAAAACAATGCTTTAAAGTGATATATGTGCTGGCTTTTCCAAAGTAGCTTCAGACAATATCTGCAGCAAATTTCCGTTCCCTTAGATGAAAGCAGTCGTTCGTGAGCATCCTCCAGTCTCCAGTTTATTATATTAATTCGCAAGAGGCGGTCAATATTTAGCCAAAAGATCTTCAATACAGCAACAGGCAACTGTCATGACTGGACTACGCCTCAGTAAAAGGCACCACATCAAAGTCACCAGGGCTCTTGTCAACAACCTGACACCAAAGGGAAGCCACGTGAATGTTGTGGCATACGTTCCCCCTTGTCGAGGCGTTGTGAACTCAGAAACTGGTCGAACGCGCGTTCTACAGCCCGGGGCCCGTATATACTTACCTCCAGCCGGCATCCCGACCTGCCGGGTGTATGGAGGGCTTCGGATCTCCATGATTGGTCGGCGCGGTCAATCGAGCGAAATTACTCCGACCTCTGTTGGCTACTTTATACTGTAAGGCTAAACACCCTAAAACTTGGGGCAAGGCGTCTTATAATGTAAAAAGATACCGAAATCGTGCACCTGGACATTAAACCGCGTAATTTCAAATCGAAGGTGATTTATTGGGTCTACGGACTGAGTAATGTCGTCAAAGTCTTGGATTCTGATGCTTGCTACACGTGATTGGCGCAAGGTTAGATAGTTAGAACAAATTAGTTAGAGCCTGAATTCGGCTTGGTTCATGTTCAAATCCGCCGCTTTAAGCCAACCTACGGAGGAGGTAGGTACTCGCTTCCAGTTACAACTTCACCTTACGGGGACACAAACGATGGCAGAAGAATAGAAGCCCAGCGAGTCTAGTTGATAGGCCACCATCTACTCTGTGCCATGTGCTCGGACAGTAACCATTAGGGTTCTAGAAGCCCTAAGTGTACCGAGGAATCGCAGCTCGTGCGCGTTCACACCTTCGCTAGATAAGATCCCTGCCTGCAACCGCATCTCTTTAATAAAATCTAGCCAGCTATGGTTTGATCCAGTCAGGAGGGCAGCCTCCAATATCAAATTAACTCTGATGCTGCACCCTACTCCCCGCGAAAAAAACTTTGACCCTCGTTTAGTAGCCCATAACTGCTCCGCAAGTAACCCTAGGAAACATATTCGCCGTCCATCTCTATACCGACGTTTCTTTTGGTGCTGGAAGGGTGACACCGTCCGCACCTCCAGGGCTCCCAAGGTCGTAAAAGTGGTATCAGAACCCTGAAACACTTTCGGTGGAGGGTGTCGTTCCAATCTCGAAAACCGGCGACGAATGTCCTTGAACATGGCCGTCAGGATGCGGAAGCGGTCGCTTTTTTTAATCATTTCTCTCACTGAGACTCGGAATTGCAGTCCTCTCCCGCTGTGTTTCGTGCTATAGCCATGTCTGCTGTCCTTCGCGGTACTGTCAATATTACCCCGCGCTTCCCCAGTGCAGATCGTCAAGCTGGGGGACAAATACAACGGTATAAATTGGTGCCGCGCACACTTTCCGGGGAACTCCCTGTTCGACCCGGCTAACCTGTCCTTCTTTTTTTGAGAAAGAATTTACTTACTACTATACTGACGATCATTACGGTGAGCATGTTATTATTATTGATGAGATACCCGACGTATGATTATTGGGGACCTTTGGAAAGCATACACTGGGGTAAAACACGAAAAGCCCTAAGTTGAATGCTAAATTCTGAGCTTGAAAATAATAATGATACTATTGAGTCAACATGATATCTCAGAGAATCGGACCAACAACTCCCAGCGGCGATGGAGTCACAGTCCAAATCTATTCACTCCACATCTACAAAAAGTTCCCTCACTATCCAAAACAATAGTGCTTTTTTATTTTTTGTTTTACTAGAGGGTTGTTTACGCAGGCTGACCCAATATCACCCTCCGATATTGATAAGGGCAGGGGCATGGGACATCTCGTTCCTGAAATAGCCGTATCAGGCGTTACTATCGGCATTTCCTTGAAGTGATTATCGCTCTGGGGAATATATAAGTTTACCCTTCTGCGTCTCAAAATGGAGGAACAGCTGTTTTGGTCAAACTTTTTCGATCCCCCTTCGTCACTTCAGCCATGGCTATCCTTTCCAAAATCTGCATTTTGTCAATTGCTGCGCTGGCATACGTTGATGCCGCGGAGTTGTTGAAAGTTGCGAAAGATGTTGAAATTATCCCCAAGTCGTATATTGTGGCGATGAAGGGAAATGTCAACGACCTTGACTTCCAATCCCACACTGCTTCGATTGCCAGCATCCACCACGAAAATCTGGCTAAACGCGGTTCGAGCAGTGCAGGAGGTTTAAAGTTTGTTTATAACGTCCACAACTGGAAGGGATACAGTGGTAGCTTTGACGAAGACACGCTTCGCCAGATCCTCAATGACCCCAAGGTAAAATGGAAATCCTGACTCCGTTGAACTTCTTCTAATAAAACATGCCCAGGTCGACTACGTTGAACATGACCGCATTGTGAAAGCATTCGTCGAACCCTCAGTAGGACCCGCTTCCCTAGAGACCCAGAAAAATGTGCCAACTTGGGGCCTTCCACGCATCTCCCACAAAAAAGGAGGCAGCCGAGATTACGTCTATGACAGCAAAGCGGGAGAAGGCATCACAATCTACGGTGTTGATACTGGTATTGACGCCACTCACCCAGATTTCGAGGGACGTGTAACTTGGGGTGGTAACTTCGTTGGAGGAGGCAACCGAGATGGCCATGGCCATGGTACTCATACCTCTGGCACATTCGGCTCAAAGACCTATGGTGTTGCAAAGAAAGCCAAGATTGTTGCCGTCAAAGTTCTCAACGAACGATCCCAAGGCAGCTTGGGCGGCATTATGATGGGTATCAACTGGGCTGTCAGCCATGCGAAGCAGAATAACATTACCAATAAAGCTGTCATGAACTTGAGCTTGGGTGCCAAGGGCTCCAATTCCTTGAACGCAGTTGCTACTAATGCCGTTCAAGCGGGTATTTTCCTTTCAGTTGCATCCGGAAATGACAATGTATGCCCAGAAATCAGTCTGAGTTCACATGGTCTTTGAGCTAACATAATTATAGACAAACGCCCAGAGCTACACACCGGCTTCTGCCAAAGGTGTTTGTGCAATCTCTGCTTCCTCCCAAAATGATGCTAAGGCCGGCTTTTCGAACTACGGCTCAATCAGTGAATCTTCCGTGCACTTTTTTACTTCCCTTAGCCCTAGAAGAGAATATATGACCTTTTGCTGGACTTTCTAACCTTCTTCATTAGTTTCTCTATATGCCCCTGGCGACAAGATCGTCTCCCTAAAGCCCGGTGGTTCTACCCAAGTCATGTCCGGAACATCGATGGCCGCCCCTCACGTTGCTGGTGCTGCCGCTGTTTTGATGTCCGTTGAAGGTCTTGAAGTCAGCAAAGTGTGTGACCGCCTCAAGGAATTGGGAAACCCCGCCATTTCGAACCCGGGAGCGGGAACTACCAACAAGCTGCTCTACAATGACAGTGGCGAGTAAGAGTGGTGTAGCTTGGGATCGCTATTCTATGTACATATTTGAACTTATCTGGCATTCATGCATCATGCACATACTTGATAAATGATGCTCCTATCAAACGTCTATTTCAGGTCATATCTCACATCAAAAAAACGATACTTTCGTCCAAGGCTCGGCTTTTCAAAAGTCGCTTTCTGTTTAGCGAAGATACAACAGTAGATACTTTCAACGGAAAGAAGAATAACGTTGTAAATGGTATTTCTGATATATCGCGAGGCTGACATAACTACCTGTTAAGCCTTCTACAGTCCCACTCCTTAGTTAACTACATGGCTCCATGCAGACCCATGCCCAAATTCTGCAACCCTTTCCATGAGTCCATGATCCTTTCGCCTGCCGAACAATGAGAGAAACAAGGCTCTGGAGCCAATGCGGGAATTCCATCCTTGCTCTATACCCTCGTCACTTGTCTAGCTTGAGTTTACCGTGTCGCCTTAAGGCTCAGGCCGAATGGCAAATCAGCCTTGCAAAACACTCCGGCGTTTATTTGTCTTCTTTGTATACAGTAGCATCAGGTAGAAGGCTGCGCGGAACCGTCAATCGATCTTTTTTCTCGACCTCTGGATTCCTGCGGTTCTATACTACTCAAGTGTCTGCAGAACCCCGGGCCGATGCCCAGGGCATCCAGAAGAGCCTGGAGGTCAAGGATCGGCCAAGGGGTTCGGGTTTGTTCCTCGGGCCTTACCAAAAGGTCCAGGATGAAAGTGCCTGCATTTCTCCGTATGTCTATACGATATCGTTACCGGGGAAAAATAGCATCGCAAAGTACATCGATACCCTCCAGGAATGGATGCGTCTCGACTCCGTTCTAGCAGAGGTTATTAAGAGCATCGCAGTGGATCTGGTGACTATATCTCTAATGTGAGCCATCTGGTGGTTACTTGCCGCAGTATTATTGAGTATCTAACAGTTTGCCAGGCTGGATGATATTCAAGATGGGTCAGAGCTTCGACGCGGCTTTCCCGCGGCACATGTTGTATATGGACCTGGCCAGACCATCAATAGCACTACCTATATCATCGCAAAAGCTGCTCGAAAAGTAGAGCAGCTCGCAAACGACAGGAGCCGTATGGTGTTCCTGGGTGAGTGTAACAATAGAATTTTGCAGGGCTTCGGTTTAAGTCTGATAGCTCTTTAGAAGAAATACAGAATCTATGTGCCGGCCAGGGATTGGATCTCTACTGGCGGCATCAAGCGAAATGCCCGTCGATCGAAGAGTACATCTCAATGGTCGATAACAAAACCGGAGGATTTTTCCGCCTGGTAACGCGACTTATGGCAGCGGTATCTAAGGAGCCCATGAAGTCGAGGGATCTTCTTCAGTTGGTAACCCTGATGGGACGATACTACCAAATCCGCGATGATTATCAGAACCTAGTATCCGAGGAGGTAAGAACGCCTTCGATGGCAAATACTGTTCTCTCGCTCTCGTTTCCTCTCTCGGTCTTTCTGAGAGGTTGCATTCAATTTGCTTACTTGCTGTTGTGAAAAATCTCGCAGTATGCCGCTAAGAAAGGATTCTGCGATGATCTATCGGAGGGAAAATTCTCCCTTCCACTTATCCACCTCCTTCAGAACGCCCCATCCCAAGCAGCAGATCGCGCCAGAGATCTCATCTTTCGTCGAGATCAGCGCGCCGAGGACTCAGGGCGTGGTCTTAGCCGAATGTCAAAGAAGTGGGTGCTTGCCGAGATGAAGAAGATTGGTAGTTTGGAGTATGTCTACACTGTGCTAGAGCACATGCATGCAGAAATGTCTGTGCTGTTGAATAGTGTGGAGAACGACATCGGGGAGAATAAAAAGTTGAGGGCGTTTCTGGTACTTCTCAAACTTTGATACCCCTTTGAAGAAATGTGCTCAGTTAAAATATCCCCATTTGATTTTGCTAGATGTTTTCTTTTTAGATTGGGGGCTAGAATTATCGTTTTTTGAAACCAAAATCGAAATTTGACCGTCTCGGATATACCATTTCTTCGGGTAGTTAGATGATAGGTAATGAGTCATATGATCTATAAACTGAAAAATTTCATAGCTCCATCTTTTTTGTAAGCCCAAATATCAAACGCCAAAAAAAGAGATTTGTCACCGCCCACCCGAATACCAGTATGCCGCTTTTTGAATGCAGAGAGGAGAATAGAAGTGCAGAGTTGATAATAATACAGAAATAAAATAGGGAACGTAGTTTGGTAAGAGATAGAAAGTCTTTACAGAACGTCCTTTCTTTCCCAGCCCGTAGGCTTCATAATGGAAGCAGACTTGGTAGGATGTGGCTCTTCTGGATTGTCGTACTTCGCGGCATACGGGTTAGGATCTGCGGTCTGGTTGAGATTGGCTAAAGTGTGATTGACCTCTCTATGCTTTGCCTCATCCGCACGAATGTAATACAGCAAATCAACGATCTTCCGATGGCCCTCTGGCATCTTCCAATACGTAACTGCGATATCGGGAGCATTCATATCTTTCCATCTGGGGAGTCTGCCGGCTTCAAGATCGTTAATGGCATGGGTATATGTTAGAACGGCCTCCTCTTCGAGATATCCGACGAAGCGATGGCAGGTCCTGGGAGAGAAGAGGTAGGAGATGAAGAAAGCGTTGAAGAAGACGCCTTGGGCGCCGAGGACCATGAGGCGCATGAACCAGCCGGGCTCGGCGAGTTTTAGGAAGGAGAGAAGATGCATGCGCTCGTTGTAGGCTTCTTCGAGAAGGGTTTCGATCCTGAGAAGGGCGTTAGCAATTCGAATACCAGGGTAGAAGAAAGATAATTAGGAGGCTTACCATCCAAGATCTCTCTTCATGCGCCGTAAGCTGCGCATGTGGCGAAGCATACCGCCAACCATACCCGGAACCGCAGCAACAGTCTCGAGGAAGATGAATCGGATGATCCATTTCCGCTCGTCCATGGTGAATGGCCTGACTTGCTTCTGTTCCTTGCCTGTAGGCGCATGCTTATAGCCAGTCGCGAGATCCATACCCCATCGCAGGGCGCGGACGGTACCCAAGGCGAGCCAGTCCGACCAATCCTTCTTTTCACGATGGGCAACGACGATATCTCTCATTTCCTTCTCGGTGAATCTGGAGCAAACGTAAGTGTCTGACTCATACTAAGACCCGCCAAGATAACATACACAGGGTGTTCAAAGTGGGATTCAGTCTCGACAACATGCTTCGTTTTTGGTGGAGGGAAGTATTCCTGCAGTTTGCGGGGTGTAGTGGTTGAAAAGTGCCTGGGGGTGTTTGGTTTGCCATAGCAATGCAGTGGTGATGTGGAGGCGGTTCGGAGGCCGATCGATACTATCATCGAGGGGCGCACCGATGTTCTCAGACACGATTGCTGAAACAGCCTCGCGGGCGCTGAGCCGGCCATTAAGGCCTTTAGAGGAACCGCTGTGGTGGTCATTGTGCTGGAAGGGGTGTTTGTGAAGGTTCTCTTTTGAGGGCAATCCTCCAACAGGACGATAAAAAGGGAAAATAGCCACTGGAAAGTGAGTGATTTCAGACGCAATCAGGCGTTGGTCAAACTCCAGGGGCGAATATCGAAATGCGAGGGAGCCACACGGGGCGAGCAGAATTTATAGCAACCCGCCAGCAATGACTTCATCACGACAAGCCTGCGGGCGTTTAGGCCCGGCTGGGCTGGCGCTAAGCCAGGCCGCGGCTCAGGCCCGATCGGGGTGCCGTTGCGAACGCCATTGGGCGGCGCGTCGGGGATCTCGGGCTTCAGCCCTGCTGCGGAACTGCGTCGCAGACATTGACTGACACATAATAAATAGGTCCGTAGTATTCTCGCTCTTTTGCTCTGCGTCCCAGCGACGTTGACGCTCGCCCAGCGCCGCCAGCACTGCCAACCCCGCCAGCCCTGCAGGCCCCGTTGTGCCAATGGGCGCTGCCGCGGTGTGGCTGATGGGCAGCAGGGCGGCGCGCCTGGCACGCCGTAGCCCGTTCACGTGCTGCCGTCGGGCAAACCCGGGACGCGGCAGCCGCGCTGACTCAAACACGAGCGAATTCGCGCACAAGGAGGCAAGCGGAACAAAAATAGTCAGTGGAAGAGGTTGTTGGCAAATCGAACGCAATAACAATAAGTCTAGTTCGTCGGCAGCTGTCTATATTTTATATGCCACAACACATTCACTTGATCAACTGGAGAGGTCTCCTAAAGAACCCTATTTCCAACAAAAGAGCGTGTATATATCCGCAGAAAGAAATCTCCTCATTATTACACCGATTCAACGTCTCACCATATTCACACCTGCAGTTCTCCAGATCCCTAGCACTTCCCATCCAATTTGCGCTTCCATTCTTATATCAAGTTTCTAAGCGATAAGATGTCTAAGTTTGAAAAAGCAACTGGCCTCAGGTACGGTATTTGCCTCTTGTCCGTATTGGCCCCCGGAGAGAGTGTACTGGAGATTGACTGTTGAGCCGGCTCCAATTGGCTGTGGTGAAGGTGCCTCAACAGACAAGGGATCCGTGGTGCCTTTGCCCGCCATCGTGATTCCCACACCGTTGACTGAGACTGTAAAGACAACGGGGAAGTGGCCGAGCTTTGGGTCGAATTTCGTCCATGCTCCCGTATGGCCGTCGCCGTACTTTATATCCCTCACTTGACCGGTGATTTTGCCGGGGTTTCCGGGGGAAACACAGACTCGCGAAAAGGTGCTGAAGTTGTTCTTGCTGCATAGCTCCCATGGCGTGCAGTTCTTCTCTTTGTTAGAATCGTCAGGAACCGGACCATGCCACTTGGGAAGATCAGGCTGCGTTGGGGGGCTAGGCATAGCAACCACAGGCTTTGGGCCATCCTGGGCTACTGGACTTGCTAACGCAGAAGAAGCACTCAACAAGAGAGCGAAAAAGATACCCCGAGACCGCATGTTTGCTAATGGAGGAAATGGCAACAGAAGATATAAATTGGATAACGCTTTGGATTGGAAATAAAGCTCGACTTGAAATGCTGTGTGGTTGATTCTGCAAAAAAGAGGCTTCTGAACAGGGAAGGATGACCTCTTTATACCACTCAGTTGGGGGTGCTCGGATGTGCTTCTAGGAGTGCGCTTTTCCAAGATGAGGAATGGCGAGGCTCCTTCGTGGTTTATCCTGCTACAACTAATAATAGTGACGGTCCTGTGGGAGAGCTGATAGAGACTAAGCAATTTGGCCCGCTCCATTTAGTATTGGGAGACCATTGTTAAGCAAAGCGGGTTCCACATCATTCAAACCCCCAGCAAATCCTTCAATATATGATGAAGCTCGGACAAGAATAATGGCCAGCACATAAGCAATATCTTTTCCGTTGTTAAGCCCCGGATGACGAAATAATGAGCTCCAAGAGCAGTGATGCTTCTTCTTATTCCAATCTTCAGCTCAAGCTGAGTGGCTCTAAGCTAAAATGGCCCATTCTTGTTGGAGATACATTTATTCCGAACGCTCTTTTTTCTTAAAGCTCTAAACATTGAGAATGGCAAGACTAACTTTTGTTTTTGATAATATTTTAGACCATAATCTCTCTACTCCCATATGTAAGTTCCATTCTTCCATTCGTCGATACTCCGTATGGAGGAATAAAAAAGTGTCGATATCTTCCTTCAAACTTTAAGCATCCTAGAGTTTAGAAATCGCGCTGCGCCCTGGTAGGATTCTCTCGACCAGAGAAAAAGCCGCGCTTGCGTTATTTGCCGTGTTTTAGAAGGTTCTACGTGTTAATATGGAGTACCTCTTGTTCCTTTACTCCTATCCATATCCCTAGCCAATTTCCAAGAAATAGGGCGAGCAGTGAAATCCTAATATCCATCCTTCAAGGTCAGGTGGCATCAGTAATTGGGGGTAGATTAGCGTGTGTTATAACCTGCGTTACTATGTAAGTTATGCCAAGGTGCCGTCTAACTTTAGCGGGGCAAGTTATCATACTAGGCCCAATATAGTCTAGTGTATATGAAAAGTCTTGGCATTATGCGCGCCGGAGCTTAGTAACCAGCCAGTGTGCTGTGTAATCAGCTGTGTAATTACTAAGCTCTCTAATTACTAAGCTACCAGCCTGCCTGCGCGTGTACTGTTTTGGCATACGGAGTAGTAATTCTACAGCTCACCGTACGGGGGCCCCATATAACATGAACTCTAACTCATGCCGCCAAGCTGGCTGATAACCGAGTTATACTGAATGGGTTTGTTAGGGGAGCCGCCGTGATAACCGGGTTATCAGGGCTTGGCAAGTTATAACTTCGTAACGCGGGTCGGTGTTACCTATGAGTAGGTGAATGGTGAGCTTGGCAGGCAAACCACAACATCCAAAGTATTAGTTTGGCCGTCCGCGAATATAAAATATACATCCCTATAGGAGACTTATGGGTATGCTTTCTTCTCGTCGTTGCGCTGCCTCTCCTGTGGGATTTTCATGTCAGAGGACTGTTCACAGGGAGTGAGTAAGTCCGTGCTCAGGCCTTGATCTTGTGGTCTGGGCCTTCGCCTCCTTAGTTAACTACCCAGTGAGTAGCCCAATGCACGCAAACCGCCACTAAAACGTCAGGGCATAGAAAACACAGCCAATAATAACCCATGCTTGTTGAGGAGGCCTTTGCAGGGACGTATGTACATACTAATAATGGAAGTACGGAGGGATGGAGGCAGGATTAACCAACATGTCGTAGAACAACACGTCCGCCCGCAAAAGATGGAGGCAAGGAAATATAGGGCTGAAAACCTCCAGGAGCCAATGTAACCAAGGTGTAAGCCAACTTACATAGTAACACAGGTTATAACACACGCTATAGTTATATGAAAGTGGTGATGGTTTGTTTTCATCTGCTACATAATCATTCCTGTACTCCCTAGTCGGATAGAACAACCCGCCCAGAAAACAGCTGCAGCGTTTATCGAACTACCTGGAATCGAGCGTCGCCAGCTTTCGGGCTAATTTCGGAATTCTCCAGCTTCAAGACCTGCGCATGCGGTGGGCCTTGGGCGATATCGACTAGTAGTCGTTGGACCGACTCGTCGTCACCCTGGGCCTCACCCTCAACCTTTCGATGCGTAAGCACGCAATAATGACTCGTTACGGAAATGGTGAGAGGGGGTTTGGGGCTGAGGTAAAGAGGCGATGCAAAGCATTCGGGGCGCACACCTTTCCATCAGTGGTATTTCTGACCCAGCCAGTCAGTCCGTAGCCGTTGGCCTTTTTCTGCGTAAAATCACTGCGTAAGAGCCGTCGATCAGCGGTGGAGCTCGATAGAACAAGGCCCACAGTCGTCGTACCGGAAACATACCCCTGGTTGAAGTCAGCTCGATCCTATCCACGTAAGCCCCAGCTTAAAGCATAGGTATCTTAATTAGGAGCTATGTCGATAGGACAAACTTACCCTGGACCCTCCCATAGACCGTGAACGCGACCTAAACACAGTTGCTTCGAGTTAGCGAGTCTGCCACCATAGGCGACGTGCCGATTCCCAAAGCAAACAACTGCGCCATACACGTTTAGCCATTACGCCTGCCAGCCTGGAGAGGTGCAGCGTGATATAGAAGCCAATTGTTAAGGCTATCTATGTGTTTCCGCGCAGAGTGTACTCCGTGAGAATGTACACTCGTGAGGCTAGCCTTCGAGTGCCCCCGTCTCTGTCAACCTGTCACTGGCGTCAAGTCTTCTTGCGGGGGCGGCGGGAGATGCTGCCGGAACTATTTTGGGCCTGCTGCGCGCTAGGCCCAAGTTGGCGAACGCGACGTGTCCCCTCGCCTCCCCCTTTTAAAGATCGGCGCAGGGATGGAAAATACCTACTCCGTGTGGAGTACGGAGTACTTACAAAATTATATTGCCAGGACGGCGGGTGGCATAGCTACTACTCAAACTATATATATCCCACAGATCTGTGGGGAGTTGCGACGCGCACTACTACTCTAAGGTAGAGTAGGAGTACACAACAGTTCTACATGAGTTACAGAAGCTGCAATAGTGACATTCAAAATACAACCATGCAGGAACAGGACTTCGAGAATAGTACCGCCATCGCCATATACGAACTTCAAAACAATAAACAAATTCCTAGCCTTGAGCAGTTCTCATGGTAATCTTTAGGGGGCCCGTGGCACGATTAGACAATGGCGCGTATTCAAAGTGACCGTTCACGACGGTGAAAGCTAGGCCGTATTAGTGCCTCTTTTTGCCCGCCACGCCTCACAGGATGCTGTTATACAGGTCCTTGAGCTTGAATTTCGAATTCGTGAAGAACTTGAGCTAAAGGATTCCCTTGGGCTGCAGTGTCACATTTGATAATGTGGTCGGATCCCGCTTCTTTGCATTGGCATGGGTTCTGAGCAGCCAGCTGATGAATTTGCAGCGCCGCCTCTGTTGAAATAAAGCATTAGATCAAGTCGCGATATTACACACGTCAATGATTGAAGGTACTAGGCATGCTAGTATGCTCAATTCCTTGTCTGTTCAGGCTGAACCTGACTCACAATCTCAAAGGGTCTTTCAGAAGGAGTAAAGGATTTCACCCAGACATTCCAAAACAAAACTTGTAGAGTTCATGAGGATGTTTTTCCAGAAATCACTAGACAGGACTGCTCTGATCAGATGTCCATTATTTTGGGTGTTTTTAACTTTTTAATCTGAGCTCGATGACGACTATTTCCCCCAACTTTGAGTCTCTAGGATCTTAACATAGCACCAAGTGCTACTTTCTTGGGGGATTGGGAGATCTAGATATATCTCGATGCCCGAAATGGTCAGCAGTGACAAAAATGATGATTCAAGTACTGTCATCCGAAAATGCTGACTTTCAACACAGCTTTCTAACATCAATCATAAGCAAAGGTATGCACCAAAGACTAGCACGGAATGGATAGAGAGTTGCATCTTGCGGACAAGGTAGCAAAGGAAGGGGAAGCGAAGATGAACAAGATCTTTCTGGTCTTTTCGAGATCCGATATACTGCATCTCTGGCAGTTTGCCATAGTCGAAATCCTCTATATAGCCGACATGAGACTCTCGCTCGACATCATGATGCTGACACTCATAAACAGCCATCGCGGGTTCATTAGTCGGGTGTAGCTGTACTCGTAAGAATATGACTTCTTAGTCCCTATCTAGCAGGCCATTGCCACCTACCGATGTCAATGACGCCATCTGGCCCAAGAAGGGTATTCCCGCCCGTTGAAGCCTGTGCTAAGCCACTGTTCTGGTGATAGCACAGACCTCTTCAAACTCGTCGCGATGAACCTAGGAGTGTTACATAGCTCGAGCATCAAGTGCGGTCTCCCCGCCAAACCAAGGACGCCAATTCCGTTTAAAGTGAGCGGGATGCCCACTTTGGCGTACTCCTGAGCGAACAGCCACACCGCGTGCAAAGTATACGTCCCATGGGAATTGCTCACAAGAGTGAAGAGGGTGCAAGCCCAAGAGCTCTTGGGCCTCTACCCGCAATTTTGCGTTTGTTCGGTTTGGGGAGCCGCTTCTCTCTCTTCGAGGTCGAGGCACGTCAGGCTGGCGAGGCTGTTTGTTTCAGGGTGGCTCTAGCGATGGACTGCTCGCACGCCGTTTGCTTTGCAGAGGTTAGTTTACCAGCTCTTGCAGCCAAGCTTTGTGTTGTGCGGCGGGTGGTGCTTGGCTCTCGCGATGGGTATTTAGGGGTCGAGATAGGCGGAGGAGCGCCATAGCCGTTGCAGACGAAGAGGACACCGTTGAAGCATCAACCGGTGGCATCGGGGGAATGAATGATGTTCTTTTATTAGTTAAGTGAATAATCTCCGGCTTGCAGTTGCATTGGCGACGGCCTAATTAAAACAACCAACTAGCTAGTTAAGCAGAATGTCACCATGGCATGCTCACGCTGAAACTCCTCCCCCTTCTCCTGTGACACGTCGGCGTATTCGCACCAACAACGAGAACAACAACGACACGCCCGGCGGCGCCCGGCTCTCGAGTTCCACGGAGCAGAGCAGCAGTCGTGACGAGCCCGCTTCCTCCACACCGCACCAGGCGTGCTCCGGGCAGCTTCAACCACGATGGCGGACAACGTCGAGCCCCCTGTCCGTTCGATTCCCGCTCCGATTTCTATAGTCCCTCGCGACCTCTCGCCGTCGCCGTCGCTCTCGCCCACCCCCGCCATCTCCTCGTGCCCGTCGCCCGACCGCACGTTTTCCACCGGGTCCTCGATCTCGAATTTCTCTGGCGATGGCCGATCGTCGATTTCCACCTCGTCGCGGAGGCGCGGCTACATGCGACCGCAGGGCGCCGTGTTCGCCGAGTCGGCGAAAAACCGCGAGAGCGTGATGAGCCTGGGCAGTATCGCCCACCTACAGTACTACTTTGCGAGAACCGGCCTGCTGGACGGCAAGGGCGGCCAGTTGGCGCGAGCGAAGAAGGCCAGAGGGTCGGATATCCCGAAGTTTATGGTCACGCAGCATGCGCAGTTTGGCGAGGATTTGATCGAGAGCCCCGTCGAGGAGATCAGTGATATTGCCGAGGAGTGGGACGAGTCGGAGCCCCTGATGCTGCCCCCGACCGTCAGCACCTACAGCGTGCGCACGCACCATCTGCCGCCATTGGTAGATATCGAGAAACTCAGAAAGGATTTGCAGTCCGCCCTGGACAAAGCTAGAACCGTCTTGACTGCTACGAAGGACGAGCTGGCGGCTCATACGGCGGCGTCTCCCTCGCGTGATCAGACGCCTGACGCGTTGTCGGATGCCGGGGAGGAAGTTCTGGAGAGACCTGTGCCCCCGAAACCACCGCAAGGATGGCATGAGATTGAAGGCATGCACATCCTTGATATGGTGACCCTTGCTATTCGAGCCGCCAGGGTTTACTACACCTCTCACGAGAATCCGGTACGGCTGGACTCAATCAAGAGCGAGAAGAAGATACGAGAAGAACTACTGAGTGTTTTAGACGTGCTCAAGAAATGGGCGGGGCGAAATTTCTCGGGTGGCCTGAGAAGCGAGGAAAGGGAGACCATGCTTGCATGGATCTCGGGAGTGGAGGTCATGATCGAAGACGAACGGGCGCTGGAGGCCAGTGATACGCAGAGGCGAGCGAGTTGGGCGTGGGCCACGGGCGACTGGTCGGGGCGGGAGCGGGAGAGAGAGCGGATGTTCCTGCAAAGCTTTGAGAAGACCGATGAAACAATGCCCCCCTGGGAGGCGGTTGACAGCAGCAGCGCGCTGCCGACGGCGTTTCTGAGTCGCTGGCAAGACGGGCGCCGCCTGGTGCGGTTGCATAACGCGGCCGTTAGGGCGTCGAAACGGCCGTTTGGGGAGATCCGGACGTTCCACGAGGACGTGCGGAAGCCGTACCGGATGGCGGACAACATTCGCTACTGGGTGAAGGCAGCCGAGATCCGGTGGGAGGTCAAACTCGAGGTCGACGCGTTGGCGGTGGTCAATGGAGACAGCGCGGCGGCCTGGCGGCAGCTCGATGTCGCGCTGCTTGACTGGTGCCAAAGCGTGCGCGGCGAACTGATGCGAGACTGGAGCAGCAACAACAACAACCACCATCACAGCAGCGTGCAAACGGCGCTCGCCACCGCTCTCCCCAACGACGACGATGAGGAGCATGAGCCCGAGCAGTGAGCGGGACTTTGGGCGCACGTCGGCTGCACGGGCGCTGCAGGCGCTGCACATCGGCGGCGCTCATTGGTACACGTCGGCGGGCTGGCGTTTCACTCGACTCTGGAGCTGCGAGACACGCAGTCGGTTGCTGTCTCGTGTGCCTCTGAGTTTGCACATACATAGCGAGCGGCCGACATACATACGGCCATCGGTCTGCAACGGCGTCGCGGTGGTCGGCTGATGGGCGGCGCCCTTGGATTGCAGGGCGGCCGCGCCGTATGGTTGGGCTGGAGACAAAGCAGACATAACTACATATGTAATCCCGTTGCATTTTCTTCTTTTTCTTTCTTCTTCTTTCATTTCTTTATGTTAGGCATGGCGAGCTGGTTGATTCCTCCATACTCATCTACATACATACACACCCAATATAATGCACCAGTAGCCAGATGCTGCGCTGGAGCTTCTTGTATACGCCCACTCCCCGCGACTCCTTCTTCCACGGCCAGGGCATGGCGTGCGCGCGGCGTCCGCTGGCGGCCGCACCGGGCTGCCATGTAGAATTCGCGTTCCCGCGGCCGGTGCGGGTGCTGGACGCGGTGGTCGAGGACCTGCGCGTGGCGGGCTTCAGTGCGCCGCCCAGCAACGGCTATCTCAGCGCGCTCACGGCGTTGCTGCGCGCCTCGCTGTTTGGCCAGCAGCCACCGCCGCCCTCTCCACCGCCGCCGCCGCCGCCCACGCCCGCGATGCCTCCGACGACATCCCCAACCGCAACCTCCACCACCACCACCAACACCAACACCACCACAACCACTGCTTCCTCCTCCCCTGCAGCTTCATCATCACCTCCTCCTCCTTCTTCTCCTCCGCCGCCGCCGCCGCCGCTCGTCGAGACCTCCACCACGCGCACCACCATCTCCGTCAAGCTGATCTCCACTCTGCGCCCGCGCAACACCGCGGACTGTGGCATCCAGGTCTCCATGCCCGCAACCGTGTTCGCGTCTCGCTCCGACTCAAACTCCCCCGTTGCGGCCGCCGCCGCCTTCTCGCCCTCGCGGGCTCCGCAGCAGGATCCTCGAGGATCGCCCGGCCCGGTGGCACACCGCTCCATCTCGTGGTCGAGTGCCACGTCCGTCACGCAGCACACGACGAGCTCGTCTATCGCGACCTCCCCCTTACAACCCGCGCCCGCCGGCCCCGGCCACAAGCCTCCACGCACCTCGCCCGCCTTTCTCCGCCGTCTGTCGCCGAACCTCGCCGCGCGCGTCAAGCTCCTCGACGTCACCGCCCAACCCGCCGCGAACGCAGCCACCAGCAGCAACAGCAGTCGCAGTCGAATAGGCAGGATCCCCGAAGAGCATCTGAAGGAGCTCGACAGCCTCCATCGAGACCTGTCCATCAAGGTTCAGAAGAAAGGAAGAGCCTGGGGCGGTGCTGGTGCGCGGTCGACCACCCAGACCCCGGAGCCGGCCTCCGCCAGCGAGCGAGACGAGGCCGAATGTGTTGAGCCGCGCGAGCCGGATAACCCTGCACCCGGATCCGTGGCTTCAGCGACGCACAGCACACCGCAGGAAATGTCCATAGCCGATGAGAGCCCGCGGGATCGGTCGCAGCGGGCCGGAGACTTTCGTGACTCGCTTTCAATTGTTGCTTCTGTGGAACAGAAGGTCCCAGAACCAGGTCTTCGGAGGAGGGACAGCGATCGGGGCCCAACTCCACCGCCCAAAGACAGTCCGCCCGTTGCTCCTCCTGCCAGCTCCACTGCTACGAACGTCGAATCCTACTTTAATCCTCTTGGACTCCATCGCACCGATTCAATATACTCCCTATCCCGAGCGTCCTTTAGTAATCAGCTCTCGCAACTTACCTCTATCATCCTGCCCCAGCCCGCCACCCTAGAAGCCAGTATCGCCGCGATCCCCACCGCTAGCGCTGCCGTAAAAGCACTCACGCAGGCCGCTGAGCAAATACAAAAATGGATAAACAAGTCTTTGGAAGTATTGGGGGGGCTGGATGCCGACGACGACGTGGAATGGGCAGCCGCTGGCGGCAGGGAAGGGCTGGATGATGTCGACAAAGCAATTACAAAATTTGAAAGCCTGGTCAATGTCTATGTCAAGGCCATTGAGGATGTCCAGCTTCGAAACGATATCGCTGACGTGGGCGCCAACCAACTCAATGGCATTGTTATTCAAATGGAATCAACACTGCAAAATTGGGCAAATGTGCGATCCCTGCTTAGAGGGGTGAAGCAACAGGTGGGGCTGGCCATGGAGTGGGAAGAGCTCTGGAATGCAGTGCTGGGCGACGTAGGCCTGGAGATCGAGAACCTCGCTCGTTTAATCTTTGAAATGGAGGAAAAACGGCATAGGGCCGTGATCTCGGACATGGACAATGACCCGGCACATGGTCTGGATATTAATGAATTGGAAACCATCGTGGAGGAATCTCCGGCGAACGGCAATACCCCATCCAATCCCAACTTCAGTTTTGCTCCTGTCTTTCCGCCGGGAAGCGCTCAGCTGGATCTTCAAACGTCCCAGAGCCCTCAAGACGAAGCCACCCTTCTCGCCCTATTTGCGCGGATGCAGCCGCTTCGGGCCTCGCTTGATTTTCTTCCCATGAGATTGTCGATGTTCCGTGCTCAATCGGAGAACACCTTCCCAAGCGCCTGTGACGAGCTGGATGACCGGAGGCAGCGACTCGAGAGCGGATACAGGAAACTCGAAATGGATGCTGAAGCGCTAAGAAGAGAGCTGGGGGAAGATAGGTGGATCATCGTCTTTAGAAATGCTGGCAAGCAGGCCCAGAAAATGTGCGAATCGGTCGAGCGGAGCGTCAACAAGCTACAAGAAGCTATCCATGGCGGGATCCAACACAGCAACCCTGCAGCATTGGCCAAGAGGGCAGAGAACTTCGAGGCAAAGAAAGAGCATTACGGATCGGCTATTGAGCGGGTGTTTTCGATCATCCAGAAAGGCATCAATGACCGTCTAACTGTCAATGGGGAGGTGATTCGCCTGCTAGCTGATCTTCGCGCACGATACGAGTCTCTCCAGGAAAAGATGAGAGCCATGGATGCAGTATTAGATGAGCTTGCGGCTTCTAGACACCACAATCTGCGAGACTCGGTTTCCACGGTGGTTACGATGGACACACACGCATCACGGAGTGCTTTTGATACGCCCGAAAGTTCACCCGCCTCGTCTGTGATCATGGCGAACGGAGCATCAAGCGCAACGGCCAACGGCTCACGACGCAGCAGCGCCACGGGCAACGCTGCATCAAGGACCCCCTCCTCTAAATACCGGCGTTACTCTGCGCTGCCGCAACCGGTGTCGCCGCCGAGCCAAACCACACGGAGACAGCCCGCGCCACGGTCGATCTCAACGGTCACGGCGTCGTTGAAACCTCCCGCTCCCAAGTTCAAGACAATCTGCCCATCGCCCACGCCTCCCGCCCGGCCCGCCTCACGCACATCGGGTCTGATCAACCCGCTCAAACCGCGATGGAACAACAGCGCTAACACCAGCGACCTGGTGATCGGGCACGCCTACGGGCCCTTATCGCCCGGGTCCCCGTCGACAACGCGACGCCTGCCGGTCCCGTCGCGCAGCATCTCGCACCAGCTGGCCCCGCGCAGCCCGCTGAGCCGCGAGTCGTCCGCGTCGCCGCTGCCGGGCCACCGCCCCCACAGCCGCGTCGACCAGCAGCACCACCGCGGGCGCTCGGGCGCGGCGTCTCCGGCTCCGCGAACGTCGTCGTCGTCGCTGATCGATCCGCCGCCGTACAGCAAGCTGCGCAAGCAGTCGCCCGGCACGCCGACGCCGGCCCCGGGGGCGGCGCGCAGCCGGTTGAGCTACATGGGCGGATACAGCAGCAGCGGCGGCGGCGGCGGGGGTTCTCGGGAGAGCTCGACGCCGAGTCGTCCCGGCACGGCGATGGGGCATGCCAGCCGGCGCGTGAGTCTGCTGCCGATGCCCAAGGGGCGGTCGGGACGCGAGAGTGCGGCGGGCGATCGGCCTCCGTGGCGGCACTGAGAGGGAGATTGTGGGTGTTTTAGGGGGGTTTTGGAGAATGAGATTGGGGGGATCAAGTGCGATATTCTATCATTCTTTTGAAATTTCTATTCTTTTCTTTTCTTGACATTTTTGATGTCGAAACCATACTTCCCTCTCTGTGCTAACTACTCATATACTCCCTTTTTTTTTATTCCTCTCTCTTTCTATGTGTGGGTGCGTCTATTTCATTCTACTCTGAGCGGATTTCTTGGTGGATCTTTTTTTATTTCCCACCTTGTGAAAGTACTATATCTTGTCCCCATAGGCATTCGTTATACCGTGTCTCCTTGTGTTTATCAAACTCGATTAGTTCGGAGCTGTCTGGCGTCCAAAGAGCGTTGCTTGGAGTGATTGTTGGTTTTTTTGGGATTCCTGGCATTCGAGACAGCGTAGCTTAGCTTAGCGCAGCTTGGGCGTGCAACGAGTCTTCCCTCATCCCCCTGATTGCAATATCCCCTGGTCCTCCGTATTATTATTATATTATTCTCTTCTTCTTCTTCTTCTTTCCTTCTCGAAACCTGCGCCCGTCCGCGCTAGGCCCAACACGGCTAGTTAGTCCTGCGCGCGCCAACCTCGGCCGTTCTCGCCAGAAAGGGGGCAAAGAAGAGAGGAAGAGACGCAGGCGAAGACGAAGACGAACAAAACCCACCGGTTGCCCGCTTGATGTCATTGCCGGTATTATATACTCGGTGTGTATTACTGTTCCCGTCGCCAGAGGTTCCTACAGCAGCAGCAGCAGCAAGTCAGTTCCTCCCAGCGAGACACCAATCCGTTTCTTCGCCCAACCAACCGCAGGAGTTGTTTTTCGCACCGAGCTGCCGAAAACCGCCTACCTTGGGTAGCTTTGCTTGACTAACTTCCCTCCGGCGTGCCTAACCTACCTCCCTACCTCCCTACCTCCCTACCTCCCTGCAAGCTCCCCCTGAGCCGAACCGCCCAAAAACCGGGCCACATGACGCCGGGCCAAAAGCCTAAATCCGTGCGGCCATTCCCGTTCGGGCTCGCAGCTCCCCGGGCCAAGCCCGCGCCCGCCCCCCCTCTCTCACCTGGCAAGTCCGGGGTACCGCCGGGGCGCAGCAGCGAAGAAGAAGAAGAGCAAGAAAAATAATAATAATAATAATAATAATAATAATAATGAAAAACGTAAGAAGGGGGATGACATTCTGCTGCGCGAGGGAAATTTGCTGAGGGGTTTGTTTTTTTTTTATGACACGGGTTGGGTTTGTTTCGCAAAGCTAGCTACGTCAAAAAAAAAAAAAAAAATTAATAATGATGATGAAATAAAATAAAGAGCTCAAGCTGCTCCGTGTTTCAGGGCTGATGATGATTATTTATTTTGTGTGGCTGAATCTCTCAGCTCCAGCGATGTGTATTAATTATTTCGCAGGGGGCAAGGGGAAGGGAGGGGGAGGAGGCAAAAAAAAAAGCCCAGCTTGTGAAACCGAGACAAATCTCAGGATTTCAAGCTTAGGGGGGACAGCTTTGACACAAGATCGGGCAAATGTAACGTGTTAGTCGAACTAGCTCGGGTTATGTGCATAAGGTGATCTGCAGACGACAAAAAAGAAAAATAACGCGCGAGGGTACTCCGTAGTAGTAGTGACGAGCATGTAGGTATGTATGTATGTATGCATGTATGTACAAGAAGCAGGCGACCAAAAAGACGAACAAGACGCTATATACAGAAGCCGCGCTGGCACAGGGATCAACCCGCCGTCGGCGCGCGCATCACAAAAGGGCGATGGCAACATCCACAGCAGAAAGAGAGAGAGAGAGGGAGAGAGAGAGAGAGAGAGAGAGGAGGGGGGCAGCATCGCAAGAACACGTCAGGCCGAAAAGAACAAGTAACATCGAAAAAAAGGACTCGACCTCATTGGCTCCCTTTTGTGTGTTATTTTTACCCTGGCAAACCGGAAACCGCAGCAACACGAGCATTTCCAAGAAACCAACCGCAAGAAAAAAAAACTCAAAAACACGTAACTCAACTGGAGCTCGGAGCTCCCGATCCCGCCAATATGCGAAGCTGTATGTGCGATGACTGTATGTATATAACTACCCCCCAGGCATCGTGAGTGGGGGGCATTTGCAGGGCATGCGACGCCCGTCTCGTGGCTGTAGACATAAAAAGGAAAACCATTGGATATCGTAAAAAGCGAGCATCAGGCGTGCATGGGTCGTATCAAGATCGGGGGCGATATATATAAAGAAAAAGAAAAAAAGAAAATATGTTAGCTGTTGTATCACCGGAAATCCAGCTGAAAGTGTTTCCACTTGCGGCCGATCACGCCGCAGCTGGGACAGCCCCGCCGCGCGGGCAGATGCAATCGCGTGCCCGTGATGCCATTGTGGCCACTGAGCCCGTTGTTGCCTGGATTGCTGGTCGGGTTGAGAATCGACGGCGGGCTGGCGCCCGTCGCGCCCGGCAGCAGGCTGACACACTCGCGGCACGCGGCGCAGATGCACTCGGTGCAGGCCAGGCAGTCGCGCAGCGGCCACGGCCGCGCGCAGCCGGCGCAGTAGACGTGGACGTCCTTGCCGCTGTGGCTGCTCAGCGGCGTGGGGTTCGACAGCCGGTGGTGGATGCGGTTGCGGATGTGCGGCTGCAGCTGGTGCGGGTGCGACGACGGCGGGTACGCGCTGGTGCCCGGCCGCGGGGGTTGCACGGGGCTAGAGTCGGCGAGCGGTGGCAGCCCGGCGGCCGAGAAGTGGAAGTTCTTGCCGGAAATGGAGGAATTGGAGTCCAGCGACGACTCCACGGACGGGAACGGCTCGAGATCGGTGTCGGGCGGGCCGCCGTGCTCGTAGGGCGGCGGCGTGAGCGCTTTCTGCAGTGGCGACGCTGTATATGATAGGGGGCCGAACTGGCGGTACGACGACTGGGCGGAGGGCAGGCCGGGGGTGGACTGGTAGGCGGGCGGGAGGGAGGAGCGGTGTTTCTGCGTGGAGGGGGCGGAGGTGACGCTGGCGAGCGAGCGGAAGGACGGCGAATGGGGGGCCTGGAGTAGATTAGCTGGCGGAGAGAAGAGAGAGGACTGAGCGGAACGTACCGGGGTGTGGTCGCGGTCGTCGTCGACCTCGGTGGCGGAGGTGGCGGCCTCGATGAGGTCCTCCCAGCGCTTGCCCTGCACCCAGGCGGCGGTCTGCGGCTCGGCGGAGAGGGCCTTGCGGTCGGACAGGCTGTTGCGGCGGGCGAGCTCCTTGGAGCGGGTGCGCTCGTGCTTGCCGCGGCGGGCGGCGGAGAGCGAGCCCTTGCGCGGGCGGGCAAGCTTGTCGCGGCGCTGGATGGGCGGCAGCGTGGACGAGCGGCCGGGCGGCGAGTGGGCAAGGATGGAGGGCAGCAGCTCGCGCGGCGGGCGCGGCGAGAACGCGGGGATGGCGTCCTGCTTGAAGTGGTCGCGCAGCGGCGGCAGCTCGACGGACGAGCGCAGGCGGTCGGCGTCGGAGTCCTGCAGCAGTCAGTACTGGGGAACACATGGATGTAGATGTATAAGATGCGGACGTGCCGGCTCAGAGTCCCAGTCGGGCTGGGCGCGGTGGTGATGGTGCTGCTGCAGCTGGGCGAGGGCCACGGCGGCGGGGAGGAAGTCCTGCTGCGGGAGGGGCGGTGGGCGGTGGCGCGGCGGCTGCGGGTGCTGCGATTGAAGCTGCGGCGGGTGCTGCTGCTGCTGCTGCTGCTGTTGCTGCTGCGGCGGTGGCGGCGGCGCGCGCGGGCGCTGGTCGGGCGGCGTGGACACCATCAACTGGAAGCTCTCCTCGGTGGCGGGCAGCTTGGGGATGTAGTGGCTGGGGTGGGCGCGGCGGATGTGCTCCTGCATGGAGCGGTAGCGCTTCTCCTGCACGACGGCGGGTCAGCCAGACGGCGCATTGAGGGGACAGAGAGGACAGAGAGGGCGCCGTACTCCCAGGCAGCGCTTGCGGCAGTTGGAGCCATCGTTGTTGGTCAGGGGGCACACCACCTCGTTGGCGGCGTCGGCCACGGCGAACGAGCCGGTGAGGGCGCGGGGGGGCATGGTGCAGCCAGCGGGCGGGCGGGCGGCGGGGGGGAGGGCGGGGAGAGGGGGAGAGGGGACCAGAGGAGACGGCGAGAACAATGAAGCGAAGGTGGTGGAGGGAAGGTGAAGGTGAAGATGGCGGATGATGATGATGATGATGATGATGGAGGTGAGTGAGGGAGTTAGTAAGGAGACTAGCGAGAGGGCGGCGGTTAGTCAGGCGAGTGGCTGGACGGTATGGCTGTACGGGCTGCACGGGGACGGCGGGGACGAGAACGGCATGCCATACAGACCCAAACCACATATCAACGCCGGCTAGATACAGAGAGAGAGAAGATATGGAAGAAGACACGAGACACAGAGACAAAACAATCACTTCCCCCCGCTGACCGCCTTGCCCACCTCGTAGCTCGAGATCATGATCGCACACGCCGGCGCCACCTTCAGGCACCGCGCCGCCCACCCGCGGAACAGCCCGGCCAGCCCTTCACTCCGCGCAATGTGCCACAGGAAGCCCACCATCGACAGCCGCGACGCCGGCCCCGTCTGGCGCCGTGTCTTGCCGACATCGAACGGCGTCGTGACCAGGGCCGCTGCTGCACCTGCCGCCGCGCCCGCCGCGAAGCTCTCGCCAAACACCGCCAGCGCGCCGTCCGCCACCGCCGCCTCCGCTCGTCCCGCACGCTGAGCTGCAAACTGCCGCCGCAGCGCCTCGTAGCCGGCCCAATACAAGCCCGAGAAGGGCACGTCGCGCCACAGCGTCAGCGTCAGGCCACGCCACAGCACGCGCGCACCGTGGTCGCGCGCCAGCAGCCGCAGCCCGCGCAGCGTCTCGCGGAAGTGGTCGGCGCCGCCGCCCGCCTGCAGCCGCGTGCGGAACAGCTCGATCGGGCTGATGGCCGACGCCGCCACCACGCGCGCCGTGGCGCCCGCCGCCAGCGCCGCCGCCTGGTCGGGCGCGCCAAACCCGGCCGTGGCCGTTGCGCGCCGGATCGGGCTGCGCGCGTCGTACCGCAGCCAGTCGTAGCCGGCGAAGTAGATGACGTTGGCCGGGATGGCCATGGCCAGCGTCGGGCTGAGCCCGCGCCACAGCGTGCGTGCGCCCTCGTGCCGAGCGATCTTGCGTAGTCCGTCGAGCGTCGACGTGAACGTGCGCCGCTGCGTGCAGTCCGCCGCCAGGCCGCTCATGTTAGTGCTGCGAATGTTGCTCGTATTGCTGCTGCTGCTGCTGCTAATGTTCTTGTTCGTGCTGGGATGGCTGCCGGCCATGCAGAACTGCGCGTTGTCGCCGACCCAGAACACCTCGCGGCAGCACGCCGTCACGCCCAGGTTGGCCGGCAGCGCCTTGAACGACGCCACCGTCTGCGGCACCGCCAGGTGCTGCGACTGCAGCCGCACACGCACCACGTCCAGAGGGGTCACTGGCGAGGAGTCCGTTAGCACCATACCACAGAGAGAGAAAGAGAAAGAGAGAGAGTCACTCACCCAGCAACGACGTCAGGATGCTGCCCGCCGTGGCCGACACCATGCGCTGGCTCGTCGACACCGAGGCCGCCCGTTCACCGCACCCACCACCGCTGCCACTCCCACTCCCACTGGCCGACACTGCATCGTCCGCGCCGGCCGCCGCGTGCTGGGCCTGCTCCGCCTGGTCCGGTCGAGCCGCTCCCGGCGTGCGGCCCGGCATCCAATCTCGGGCGGCGCGCACTCGCTCACGCTCTCGCTCTCGCTGTCTCGCTCGCTGGGTCCGTTGCTCGAGGTCGGTGTGCAACGCCAATGTTTCCGGGTGCGACGATGGTCAGGCCGCGCATCGTCGAAGATATCAAAAAAGAGCGAGCAAGAGAGCGAAGAAGAGAGAAAACGAAATTATGACGGCGGGCGGCGCGCTAGCCGGGTCGGGCGTAGCGCCGGAGATATCGGCGCGGGCGTCCTGGTGCCGCTTTAGCGGCTGACCAATCTACCGCCGAATACGAGAGACGACGACGACGAGAGAAGAGAAGGGAAAAGAGAGACAAAGAGACAAGAAGACAAGAAGACAAGAGAGCGCACTTCGAAGGACCACAAACTAGACACTGCGCACACGCATGGCCCCCACCCCCGATCGCCGCACCGCTGCCGCCTGAGATAACCATGGAGGACAGCGCGGAGCTGGAGTCGTTCCGCCGGCAGTGGCTGGCGGAGGTCTCCGCGCGGGCGGCACCAGCGACGCTGGCGGCCACTGAAGCCGCGGAACCGCCCAAGCCTGCGGGCCAGACGAGCCGTGAGCTCAGCCCCCGCCGGGCGGCGCAACCGCAACCGCAATCGCAAGCCGGCACCACCCAGAAGGCCGAGGCGGTGGCGGAGGAGAAGGAGGAGCCCAGGGAAGCGGGCGGGCCGGGCGGGCTGGCGGCACGGACACAGGCGTTGCGGCTGACGGATCACAATGAGAACGATACTGAGGAGGACGGGTTTGCAGCGGACGCGGGTGTGGCGGCAGTGCCGCGGTCGGCGCTGGAGCACTTCGAGGCGGCGGCGGCGCACGAGGCGCGCGGGCAGCTGGGCGACAGCGTGCGGCTGTACCGGCGGGCGTACCAGGTGAGATAGTATCCTTGATGAAAAATGACCGTGTGCTAACGGCCGCAGCTCGACGCCGGCGTCGACCAGGCATACCGCCAGAAACACTGCCCGCCCGCACCCCCCACCGCATCACCACCACCGGCAGCATCCGCCACATCACCCGCCCTGTCCACTCCCGCGCTGATCGCGTCCTGCGCGGGCGCGCCCATCACGCCGGCGGAGCCCCTTCTGCCGTGCCCGCTGGCGGCGCTGCCGGCAGAGCTGCTGGGCGAGATCCTGGCGCACGCGGCGCTGCGCGACCCGGCCAGCCTGGCGCGCGCGGCGCGGGCGTGTCGGCGGCTGGCGCTGGTGGTGGCTCGTGACCAGCGCGTGTGGCGGCGCGTATGCCAGGGCGGCGCATTCGGACTGGCGGGCATGCACTACGCGTGGGCGTGCGACGTGCACGGCGGTGATGGTGGTGGTGGTGGTGGCCGTCTGGAGTGTCCCCCGCCCCGCGTCGTCCGCTGCCCGCCGCCGCCCGCACGCTCGTGGGCGCAGGCGTTCCGCACGTGCCCGCGCGTGCGCTTCACGGGCGTGTACATCAGCACGGTCAACTACAGCCGGCCAGGCGCGCACGCGCCGACTGCCGCCGCCCGCGCGGCTGCCGTGGCGCCGGTGCACGTGGTCACGTACTTCCGCTACCTGCGCTTCTACGCCGACGGCGCCGTGCTGTCGCTGCTGTCCACCGCCGCGCCCGCCGACGTCGTGCCGCACCTCACCCGCGACGCCGTCCGCGCCGTCAAGTCGCCCCCGCACCATCCCCACCCCCCCGCCCCCGCCTCCGCCGTTGACCCCGCCTCCGCCTCCGCCTCCGCTGTCTCCCCCAACCCGCTCCCGCCCGCCGCCGCCACCGCCCTCAAGTCCGCCCTGCGCGGCCGCTGGCGCCTGGCACCGCCCGACCCGCCCGGCCCCTCCCCCTCCCCCTCCCTCTCCCCCACCACGTCTCCCCCCCCCCACGGCCCGCCCACTACTCCCCCGCACGACCCGCGCGACGTGTTCATCGAGACCGAGGGCGTCGACCCCAAATACACCTACGCGCTGCACCTCTCGCTGCGCTCGACCACCGCCGCCGCCGCCAGCAACACGCGCCTGGTCTGGCGCGGCTTCTGGAGTCACAACCGCCTCACCGACGACTGGGCCGAGTTCGGCCTGCGCAACGACCGCGCTTTTGTCTTTCGCCGCGTGCGCGGCTGGGGCTTGCCGTGAGGTGTACCGGTGGAGAGAGAGAGAGAGAGAGAGAGAGAGTGGTCGGTTGTTGAGAACCGAGGCCCAAGACACATCACTAGCGAGTACGGCCTGCAGCAGGTTTGCGGCCCTGCATATGCTACTTTCTTAACCTTGTCTAGATATCGCATGTCTTAGTATCTACGCATGACAGCTAAACTGTGGCTAGCGAGCCAGTAGGACTCTGTATACTCCGTACTAGCTTCACCATGTCCATACATTTCCGCAGCGTCCTCCGCATGTCTTCTTTTTCTTCAGCCCGGGGTACCCCTCCTCTCTCTCTCACACCGTCATTTTCACACAGCCAACCCCATATCAAGTCCGACACGCAACCCATGCAGGGAATAGAAACTAGCAAAAAAAGGGGGCACAACGCAGACAGATACTCCGTAGATGCTCCCCCACGACTACACAACAAGCTTGTAATTCCCACCGCCCACCATCCGCAGCCGGCCCTGTGCCACCCGCTGCCCCAGAAACTCCTTGAGCTCCTCGCTGCCAAACGGGATCCCGCCCGGCACCACCATCTTCAGCATCATGATGATGCGCCCCAGCGGCATCGCGCCCTGGTTCGTCAGCATCCCCACGATGAACTGCCAGTACACATTCATCTTCGCCTCCGCCTCCGCCGCCCGCGCCGCCTCGGCTTCTGCCGCCGAGCTGACCATCGCCGCGCTACCTGCGCCGCTGTCGGCCGCCTCCTCACCGCCGCCGCCGCCGCCGCCACGATCATGATCATCCTCGTCCGGCAGCCGTTCCAGCACGCCGAACGTGCCCCCCGCCGTTTCGACCAGGATACGCTTGCCAGCCCAGAACAGGCATGCGCTGCGCACCAGCGCCGCCGACGTCTCCAGCTGCGTCGCGAGTGCGCCTATCGACTTCGTGACCGGGGAAGAGCCCGACGAGTCGGGACCACCCTGGAAGGCGTAGATCACGCTGGCCTGCAGCGGCGTCACCTCGTCGCGGAACACCCGGTCCTCCAGGTCCAGCTCCACCGTGACCGTGCCCAGCCCGTTCAGCCAGGTCAGCTTGCGCGACGGCTTCAGCGTTTCGAACCCAGCCGAGTATCGGCCTTGCAGCGCCGCGATCTCGTCGGGCACCCGGAACTTGTCGTCTGGCAGCGATGGCCAGAAGAGCCGGGAAAGGATTTTAGCGTGGATCTCGGGCACGTCGTCGTCGCGGTCGTCCACCAGAGACCGGTCGAGGGAAGACGTATGCTCTTCTCGACACTCCAGCCGCTGGTCCGCGCGAATCACCGTGTCGACGCGCTTGGAATCAACCACGTCCCGCATCATCACGTCGCACGCATGCAGCGACGACTCCCCGAACCGCAGCTTCAGCAGCTCCAAAACAGATATCTCCAGGTCGTAGTCCTTTTTCTTCTGGATCAAGCGATCGCCCAGCACCTGCTGCAGTTCCGTGACAAACACATCCTTGGACTCGAAGAGACTGACCAAGCTGCCGATGATGTCAAAGTGCCGCGACCGCTTGTAGTCCGGCGCGGCATCTGCGGGGTCGGGCGCCCAGTTCATATCGTCCCAGTCTAGTTCACCGCTGTCGTCCGGGAGACTGAGCTGTTGCGCCTTGGAGAGCTCCACAGACAGCTCGCCCAGGCTATCAGGAGCGCTCTCCACCGGCTGCCCGTCGGGGCCGACGGTGTTTGTCAAGAGCCCGCTCACAATAACCTTCACCGTGTCCTCACGTTCTCGAAGATACCTGCGGATTGGACGTGCGACTCGGTCGAGAAGCACGCCTTTAGGGTCGAGCTGCGTGAAGGCGCGGATTATCGATATGTATAGCTGCAAGATATCCACCGTCGACGCGCCGGGGTGGAGAAGCCGGTTCATAAGCGTGGCTGAAAATGAGCTGGTGAGGTAGAAACGTGTAGAAGGGTTTGTTGTGTAATGCTTGAGGTCCTCAATCGCACCGGCACTAGACTCCCATTCAACAATGATTTCAAATAGCTCACTGATCCGGAGTGCCCCTAGTCTAGCGAGGCCGATTTCTTTCCATTTCTCCACGTCGCTGAACGCCACGACCAGATCATCAGGCTCCGTGCTATTCTCATCATCATTACCACCACTATCATCACCTGCGGGCCTGAATATATGCAAGACCTGAACAACCAGCCGCGCGAAGATATTCTCAACCCATTGCTGCAAGTGCTCGATCACGAGAGACCGCGAGTCCCACTCCCCCGCATATGCAGCCGCGACAAACTCCGTGATCAAATTATTCATCACTTCGGCAAACACCTTCTGGGCCCTGTTCCCGCCCAGCCCAACTTCCTGCACGCCCTGCAGCACGCCGAGGAGCCTCTCGCGTGCCGCCGTGACCCGTGGGCTGTCGTATTCCTGCATGAGGCTCGCTCGACGCGCCGCCGATGGCTCGTGCTTCCAGTCCTTGTAGAAGACCGAATTGCACTGGTCGACATCCATTCCGTCCGTGACAGCCTGGCAGTCGGTCGTGGCAGAATTGTCATTGTGGATTGCCAGGATAATCAGGCTCTCAGTGGCCAGTTCTTCGGCTAGTAGGTAGGAGAAGTCGGCATGCGGTATGGAGTATATTGTAATCGAGGCCAAACACTGCTGGACCTTGGAGAAGGCGGCGCTGCGCGCGGTAGAATTCAACGCGGGGAGAACGTGATTGACAAAGGGCGCATAATACACGCTGTGCGCGAGCCTCAGAAATCGGATAATCCGCGGCAGCACGCCTTCCTGGCCTCTCCTCTTCAGCTCCTGCAAAAAACCTCCACGTTAGAAACAAACAAACATCAATCGAACGAACAAAAACAGAGACAGCCCACCGACCTCCACCATCGCATCCCGAAAATTCGCCAGAAAATGCCTTCGAATCTCATTCATATACCACTCCAGCAACCGCTCCTCCCCCAACGCCGTCCCAACCACACACACCAGCGCCTCGCGCGCCAGCAGCGCCCGCCCGCGCTTCTGGCCGCCCGACCACCACCACCGCCGCCGCAGGCTCTCGTCGTCAGCAGCGTCCACCCGCCCGTCGAAAACAAGCCGGTCGTCGGCAAACGACAGGAACCGCGTCGCCGTGCGCCACGCGTCCGCCAACTTCGCGGCTTCTTGCTGCTGTTGCTGCTGTAACAGCGTCCGTTCGGCGTCCGATGATGGCGACGGCGACGATGGAGAAGGAGGAGCTAGCGGGGCGCGGGGGGATTGCATGATGGCGCGGAGCGGGGTGGCGAGGATATTGGCGCCATTCTCGTCACTGCTGCCGCTGGTGGTAGTAGTGCTTGAGGCATCATTATGTAGAGTGGGTGATAGCGAGGAGAACGAGAAGGTGGAGGAGCACAGCGGCGAGGGCGGGAAGACGGAGTCGAACACGCGCTTGCGACCTATGGCGAGCGGGGGGTTGGGGAACATTGCGACGGATGCATTATTGTTGAAAGAGCAGAGCAGAGTGGTGGGCGACGTTGAGGTTGACGCCGTTGCTCATCCCCCCTTCATGCGGCGCTTTGAGGTGTGTCGTTGGTCGTCGTTGCGCTTCGGCGACGATGACGCGCGGTCACGTGATCGTCTAGCTTGGCGCTATACTGCGAGGTCCATATCTACAGCCTGGATATACGGCGAGACAAGGCGCGAAAAGGGAGTGTCTCCATGACGGCCAGTTTTGTCGGCTTGTTGAAATAGCTCTATTCCTGACCCCGCGATCGTAGCCGGGGTATGTATGTGTATGTATGTATGTATGCGTGGCTACAACCTGCGAGAATGGGGGGCCCGTGTATGAGACGGCCCGTATCGCCTGTTTAGATAGATGCCAAAAAAAAATAAAAATATGAAAGAAAGCTCGCAATGTATGGATGGATGCAAATGCTTCAAATGCCAGTCAGAAAAAAAAAAAAACCAAAAAATAAAATATGGTTTCCGCTAAATCAATGAGCTCCTCCTTCCACTTTCTCCCACTCGCTGTCCGTACTGGCCGTACTGGCGTAGCCCGAGCTGCTATCCTGGTGCGGGGCGTGCCGCTGGCGCACCTTGGCCTCGCTGCTGCTGTTGTTGCTGCTGGCAGCGGCTGTCGAGCCCGGCAGCTGGTTCGGTGCAGACGGCGTGGAGTCTCGCTTGACCAGCGGCGCGGGCGCTTTCCGAGACGCAGGCACGCTGCTGGCAAACAGCGAGGTGGCGCCAGGGGTGGTGGTGGTGGCAGCGGTGGACAAGGTGGCATCCTTCTCGTTCGCTAGAAGCTCCGTCTCGGTGTCACTGTCGGAGGTAGTATCGATGATAGCGCCCGGAGGTCGCATCGTCATATGTTGTCTGGCCGGCGTGTTAGCGGCGGCAGCATCGGCATGGACACCAGCAGGCGACGCGGTTCCTTTGTTCCTCTGCAGCGCTTCCTTCCTCTTGACGGCCTCGAGCTCGGCAGCAAACCAGTTAATCGACCACCACAGAGCGGCGCATAGTCCCGAGAGGACGATGAAGTGGATACTATGGGTGGCATACAGTAGCGCGAGCAGCAGGACCTGTAGGGCGGCGAAAGTGGCATTCGTCGCGAGGAGGAGCGCCGGTGTGGTGCCCGGGGTGAAGATGCTGGACCACAGATCCGTGAGGAAGGAAGCCATGGGCGCGTGGAGCCGCGGTAATCGTCAGGGCAAGATCCTCGCGCAACGGAAAAAAAAAAAAAAAAGGCAGGGTAGGATTGTGTTAGAGGTACTCCGTAGTTACAGGGTTGCCGATCGGATGGCGAGGCGACGTGGGCAAACAAAGAACCGGAGGCGCCAGAAGCGAGTAGAATGATGTTTCCTTTACGAACAGCGTTCACTCGGGGATTATGATCTGCGCGTTCGTGCGATCGGAGAGGGCCGGCCAGGGGGGACTGTTGATTGATGATGGTGATGAAGATGGGGGGTAGAGAGGGGTCAGGTGCAGCAACAGGAGCCTCGCATGGCACGCCAGCGTGTTGATCGCGGGCTAGCTGGAGCAAAGCACGACGGGAAACAGATAGAGGACAGAAGAAGGCCAACGCCGTCCAAGCAGAGAGAGTGCGCAGCGCAGAACAACAGCCGCGGCGTAGCTATACACAGCGACAGCGATGGGCCGACGGGTTTGCGCGCTTTCGTTGCCCAGCAGCCACCGAGCGACGTCACGCGTTGCGTCTGACAAAGCAGATCACGTGGATATAAGGTCACGTGATCTTAATGTTACATAAGCAAGGCGCATCTCTTGGATTCGGGATGGATCGAGGGATTTGACGACAGGGTTGAAAGGATGGCAAACGAAACGGGCGCGAACCACGAGGGTGGTGGCAGCGGAGGGCAGCCGAGTTCCGTGGTTCCTGCAGCCGGTGGGATGAACCACCAGCGCGATCTGCCCTTCTCTCGCTCGCCAGGGCGCCAATGGGCGCGAATTGCGCGGGCAGGGGGGCCATGACATCGCGCATCGCGTTTGAGTGCAGCGGCGGCGGGCGGGCGCATCCCTCGCGGTAGGGCTGGTAGTTAGTTAGTTGAGGCGAGAGTGTGTGTGTGAGGGCGTGTGGTGAGCAATGCCGATCCTCGCAATCAATAAATTATTATATTGCGCGCTGACGTGAGTTGGGCTGGCCCGCCAGTTCACATGCGCGCGGTGGGCCACGGCGACGGCGCAGGGGAAGCACGGCTGGCTTGGCCGGCGGGTAGCCCGCGTGGTGAATACCAGTAATAATAAGTAGTATAGAGCAGGAAAAAAAGAAAAAGAGAAGGACGGCGAAGTACGAGCGTTGACATGTCCTGTGGCAGGCAGGCAGGCAAACCTTACCCCGATCAAGCACCGGCAGGGCAGCGCCCAGGCTGCCGCGCGCGATCCTTCGGCGGGCTAAAAATACGGCGAGCCGGTGGACGCGCGCCGTGACGTACGCAGGCGCCCACCGCGCGAATGAGGCGGGACCCCTGGCTAGCCAACCCTCGCCAAAGGGCCCCCCTAACCACCCCTAACCCCCCCCCCTAAACCACCCCCCGGGCTGCCACCAACGGCCGCGCTCGTCGCCCGTCCGCCCCCGGGCTCCCGCCCCCCCCCCCCCAAGTATCCCCCCAAGCCCTCCCTCCCCCTCCCCTCCGCCCCGAGACAGACATTGCGATCTTCGCTCCCAAGTTCCCCCTCCCAAGCCCTCGCGCGCACCGGCCACCGCTGCGCCCGCCCGCACGCCCCCCCCCCCCCCCCCCAAAATGGCCTGCTGTCGTCTTATCGCACCGCCCGTCTATGCTGCTATGGGCACTGCGGGACCACTCACATTACTTCTCCATACTTTCTCTCTTTCACCCTGGGACCCGGGAACCACTCTCTCATTTCCCCCACCCGCCAGACTCTATTTTTAAGGCGATCGCCGGTCTTTCTGGAAGCTTTGCCCCAGGGCTCCATTCTCGCGGAGAAAACTCGCTGCTGCTGCTGTGCCTGTCTATCCGTCTTGTCTTACGCGGTGGTGGCTGGCAGCTAGTTAGTAGTAGTTAGTTAACTAGCCAGCAGCTCATCTGGCCCCCGCTTCTCTCCGCCCGCCCCTCACCGCGTCGTCCCATCTGGCGGTGTCTCGCCTGATCGCCTGCCAAACATCAAAAAAAGGGGTGTAATTTCCGGGCCCCGCCGGCATGAAAAACACCAAAAAATAAAAAAAGGAGACAGAAGTGGAAAAAAACAAAAGAGGTTCCCGCCAGGATGGCGTGCCCAGTCCTCCTAACGTGGGAGTTAGGAACTTATCCAGTGTTCTGGTTCTATGACACGATGGCATATGTAGTAGAGAGAGATAAACTAGACAACCGGGCTCGCTACCAAACACCTGCCTGCAGCGCAGTCTGTTTGGAAACCAACCTCCCCCAGCAACCGTCAATGCAAAAAAACAAGGACTGGCCAGCCAAACATGATTTGGAATTTCTCCCGCCCAGTCCGGACGAGAGAGTAAACAACACACCACACACCGGGCATGAGAACACCCTGGGGAAAGCAATGCTGAGCTATGCGAGGGTGAAACCAGACGCACGTTGGCACACCGATGGTGTGACCCGGCGGGAACCCCAAGCAAGGCCCACGCCCACACACACACCACTGCTGCTGCTGCTGCTACTTGCTTGCTCGCCGGCCTTATCGCGGCCCCCCCCCCCCCTCACTCCCCTCCTTCCCTTCCACCGGGCCTGCGGTGGTCCGCGTCACAATCGAGATGTAGTTCGTACTCAGTAGTGGTGTACAAAGGTGAAGCGGACTGATCACGCCAGGACTAGTTACTAGTGAGGCCGAGAAATGACAGGGGGGAGAGAGATAGTCAGTTAAGAAGTCTAATAAGAAAAAAAAAGAGAGTTGTGTTTCAGTTTTCCAGTTGGAAATTTTCAATGCGAGGTAAAACAAATGATGCCCGGGACAACCACAGGCTTTTGCCTTTTTCACGTAATATACTTTGCTGGTTGAAGACTACTAGTTTAACGCTCGCCCTAGGGCCTCTGGCTCCCAAAAAAACTTGGCCTCGTAAGAACTCTGCATTAGATCTATTTCGTTATAAACTCTAGGAGACTGGGTGTGCCTGTGCGGCGCCGCGCCTCTTTCGCCGGAACTCGGTCTATCTTGCTAGCAGCCAAAAAAAGGACAAAAAAAAAAGAAAAGGACAAAAACACACACATACAAGAGCGGTCACTGGCAGTCCACATCAGATCAGTTCCAGTAGAAAAGGTTCATATAACACACTTCCCAGAAAAGTAATATAAAAAAAAAAAAAAAAAACAAAAAACACCCAGGATCCAAAGACGTGTAGCAAAATATTCAAACCTAGCCGCCCCCCCCCCCCCCCCCCCCCCCCCCCCCCCCCCCCCCCCCCCCCCCCCCCCCCCCCCCCCCCCCCCC